TCTCGAATTAGGAGTTTTTTTGTGACTGGTGTTCGTTCTGCTATAATGCTTATTTTAAAAATATTTCACATTTTGATCAACGGATTGTAACGCAGTGATGGGTTCCGGATACAATCAGCGACGGACTTTGAGAGGAGTTTCTGTGACAACCCTTCGCGTTAACCTGGGTTTACTTTAACTGCAGTAATTTCGGTGTCAGCCTGGCTCAGTCAGCAGACCCCTGAGTCAGAAGGTTGTGTGGGTTCAAGCCTTCACGTCTGAGCTGACACTGCAATACAATAATACGCTGCATTGTCGGAGATCCTGTCCTTCGGCTGAGATGTTTAAGCGAGATTGTCTTAGGTGGATCTTAAAAAAATCCAGGGTCACTATCGGTAGAGAGAAGGGAGTTTTTCTCTCTCTGTGTCCCTGGTTAACAAGTCCCCAGATAAAATAAGTCAAGTGTTTGCGCTTGAGTTGGCTGGCCTACAAATACAGTCACTCCACGTTACAATAAATCCCGTGAAGCACTTTGACATATCCTCCCAACGTGAAAGGTGTTGTACCAAATGCAAATATATAAATATTATTATATCATAGAATCGCAGAAACATAGAATTATACAGCACAGAAGGAGGCCATTCGGCCGATCATGTCTGTACTGCTCTTTGAAAAGAGCTTCCAAATCAACCCCACTCCCCCGCTCTCTCCCCATAGCCCTGATCAACCCCACTCCCCCGCTCTCTCCCCATAGACCTGATCAACCCCACTCCCCCGCTTTCTCCCCATAGCCCTGATCAACCCCACTCCCCCACTGTCTCCCCATAGCCCTGATCAACCCCACTCCCCCGCGCTCTCCCCATAGCCCTGATCAACCCCAATCCCCCGCTCTCCCCATAGCCCTGATCAACCCCACTCCCCCGCGCTCTCCCCATAGCCCTGATCAACCCCAATCCCCCGCTCTCCCCATAGCCCTGATCAACCCCACTCCCCCGCTCTCTCCCCATAGCCCTGATCAACCCCACTCCCCCGCGCTCTCCCCATAGCCCGGCCAACTTGTCCTCCACAAATATCTATCTACTTCTCTCTTAAAAGTTGTTATTAAATCGGTTCCCACCAGCCTTTCAGGCAATACATTTCAGATCCCAAAAAATCGCTGTGTGAAAACATTTCTCCTCCCCTCCCCTCAGTTTCTTTTAACAACTATTTTAAATCGGTGCCCTTGGGTTACCGACCCACCCGCCAGCGGAAATAGTTTACCCTTCTCCACCCTATCGAATCCCCTCATAATTTTGAAAACTTCTATTAAATCTCCTCTTAACCTTCTCTGCTCCAAGGAGAATAATCTGAGCTTCTCTCACCTCTCCTGATAACTGAAGTCCCTCATTCCTGGTACCATTCTGGTCAATCTCCTTTGCACCTTCTCCAGTGCCTTGACATCCTTCCTAAAGTGTGGGGCCCAGAACTGAACCCAGTCTCTCGCTGAGGCCTAACCAGTGTTTTATATAAAGGTTCATCAGAACTTCCTGACTTGTGTATTCTATGCCCTATTTATAAAGCCTCGTATCCCGGATGCTTTTTTAACAGCTGTATCCCTGTCCGGCCACCTTCAAAGGTTTACTATATGACCCCCAGGTCTCTCTGTTTCTTTGCCCCCTGTAAGATTGTCCCATCAGCGTATATTGCCTCTCCTCATTCTTCCTCACAAACTCCATCACTTTGCATTTCTCCACATTAAACTTCATCTGCCCCGTGTCTGCCCGTGTTACCAGTCTGTCTATGTCCTCTTGCCGTCTGCTACTGTCCTCCTCACTGTTTACTACTTTTCCTAACTTAGTATCATTGGCAAACTTGGAAATTGTCCTCCCTATACCCAAGTCCAGGTCATTTATATAGATCACAAACAGCAGTGGCCCCAATACCGACCCCTGTGGGTCACCACTGCACTTCCCTCCAGTCAGAAAAACAGCCGTTCACCACCGCTCTCTGCTCTCTGTCTCTCAGCCAGTTCTGTATCCATCCTGGCGTAATATTATGGACAGTGTCCTGGTTAGGAACTATATTAGAGGGAGCATTTCTGACTGAGAGAGCGAACAAAACAATAGAGCTCAGTTTCTGATTGCATTGGAGTCTCAGTCTGGACTGTGAGTTCAAAGTCTCCGATGTGGGGGCTCGAACCCACAGTCTTCTAACTCATCAAACAAGAGAACCAATGAAAGACGACCAGGAGGTATAAAAAGGGATTCTGGGGCAACAACCGGTGTGGGTTTAGGGTTGGCACAGAGAATAAAGGAGTTCCTCTTAATAACAATAATATCAATATCATAATCCTTGCATTTGATACAGCGCCTTATAACGTCGCTGAGACGTGCTTCACAGGCTCTACTGTAAAGTGTAGTGACTGTGTATTTTCTGGGCGAAACCCAGCACACAGCAGAGTCCCATTAACAGTCTGACAAACTAATTTTTGTTTGAGGGATTCTTACCCCCAAAAGACAATCCGCCAATCAACTAGCAACCGGGTCCCTACTTACTGCTCGGTAAACAGGCGTGTGGAGTAAGGAAACTTGGCCAACGCCTAAGGTTTTGTGCTGCTCTGGGAATCAAACCTGGTTCCTCTCGCTATGTAAGGGTTCTCGATCCATCACACAGGTGTATGTACCCTTACAAGTTCTACCTGTTGAGCCAGGCTGATTTCTATCATGTTAAGCTCCAGTGACACCAAGTGGACTGTCTACCTGGAGAAGACAGTGGCTGTGAAACGTTGAGCAACATTGCGCGCAGGTTTTCATTGTAAATGCTAGTGGTTTACAAGTGTATCAAAAACCAGTCTGGCAGAAAACAACAACAACGACAACAAGGCGCTGGAGCGAGCGAGCCAATCAGGAGAGCCTCGGTCTTGCTGACATTCAGCTGTAGAAAGTTGGCTCTCATCCAGGACTTGAGGACAGACACACAGTCTGTCAGGATGTCAGTTCCTGAAATCGAGAATGGAGGCAGAGAGATAGTTGGGTGTCATCCACATCCATGTGGAAATTTACCCCTTTAATGTCTGCAGATGATGTCCCAAGGGGGAGCATGTAGAGGAGAGGACCGAGGAGAGCCCTGAGGAACACCGCGCAAGACAGTGCGGGATTGAATTTGAGACTGAATTTGAGAGGGACAAGCGAAGTGAAAGCCGTTTGTACAGCGTTAAAATGAAAGATCGCCAGACTGTGTTTAATCAGCTGCATCAAAATCAAATAGACTCCGATTGAGGGCCATTAGTTGGTGGTTCAAAGCAGTTTACTGTCAGCTCCTGAGCTAACCTTTTCTTTGAGTTATTAGTAAACACAGAAAGCTTTTTAGTAAGTTTTTTGAAAGACATTTAGTTGAAGTGTTCGTAAAACTTTTTACCTGATTAGGTTTCAGACCAGAAGTGAGCAGAATATTTAAACCCTACAGAATAGAGAAGGGGAGGAATTTGTGTGTAAGAGAAAAGTATGAGAGAGAGACACACACACACACACACACACACAGACTACAGAGAGACACACGCACAAACTACAGAGAGAGAGAGACACACACACATACTACAGAGAGAGAGAGAGAGAGAGACACACACACACACTACAGGGAAAGAGAGTTCTCTCCTGTCCACAGTAAACCTCTCGAACTTCTCTGCCACACACGTGTAACAAACAGGAAGGGGATTGGTTTGTAGATAGAGGGTTAGAAACGAAACCCAGCACTTAACTAACCCGCACAGTAGGTACCTTAAAGGAACAAGATGCCTTTAGACGCCAAATATTTCTCAATCTTGCCTGCTTTGACATAAGACACACAGCTCAGTCTGTGCCACAGTTGTTCCAATCCCCCATTTGGCCTTTATCAAAGTGAGTCAGCCAGAGTTGCACAGGGAACAGACTTTGTTCAAAGAAACTGGGAACTATAATAATAATAATAATCCTTGCATTTGACAGGCTATACTATAAAGTGAATTGACTGTATATTTTGTGGGCGAAATGCGGCAACTAATTGCGCACAGCGGCGTCCCACAAACAACTGTGGATGGAGTGACCAGTTTATTAACTTTTTTTGAAGGAACTATTACCCCAGAAAAGCGATCCGCCAGTCGACTAACAGCCAAGTTCCTACTTACTGCTAAGTAAACAGAGACATGTGAAGTTGCCCGTTTCGTCCTCCTGTGAATCGAACCCAGGTCTCTCGCTTTCGAGGCGAGGGCTCTAACCACTGAGCTACAGAACTCCACATGCTGTCATAGCTCCCACCAAATCCACGTGATCTTTAACCTCTCCAAAAGTGCAGTTCGCTTTCAGATGATGTCTATCTACTTGCATTCCTCGAACACAGAGAGTCAGAAACTCAGGCCGGCATTTAATAAATAATAATAATAATAATAATCCTTGCATTTGATACAGCACCTAATCACGTTGTTGAGACTGTCAAAACGCTTCACAGAATACAAGGTAAAGTGAATTGACTAGATACTTTGCAGCAGCCAATTGTGCACAGCAGTGTCCACACAAACAGTAGTGGATTGAGCGACCACATTTTTTTTGTGGGGGGAGGGATTAAGAGGGATTATTACTCCTAGAAAGCGATCTGCCAATTAACTAACAACCAGGTTCCAATTTACTGCTAGGTATACGGAGGTGTGTGGAGTAAGGAAAAGTTGCCTGAGGTTTCACTCCACCCAGGGAATCAAACCGGGTCCTCTCTCGCAAGGCGAGTGCTCTAACCACTACGCGACAGAAACGATGGGACAAATGGCCTCCTTCTGAATTTCCACAGCACCATCCCCACTCTCCTCCTTCCCCCATCCTACCTCAGTACGTGTGGAAACAAGAACAACAACTTGCATTTGTACAGCGCCCCTCACGTGGGGTAGCGTCCCAGAGCGCTTGACAGTGGGGAGCACGGGTGACCGCAGGCACGGTCGAAGAGGAAGGTCTGAAAATGGGGAAGGAAGGGGGCGAGCGCGGAGGGATGGAGGATGAAAGGCAGGTCTCAGCACTTACGATGCTCCTCATCATCTTGTCCCCGCTGCTGAAAGTGACGGCTAACATGGAGGCGCACTCCTCCGCGTAGAACGGCATCCGCCCCTCTTCGTCCACAGCTCCTGGGCAAACGGCGCAGACAGGGAAACAGTCAAGAAAATAGGAACACGAGGAGGCCATTCAGCCCCACGAGCCTGTTCTGCCATTTAATTAGATCTTGGCTGATCTGTACCTCAACTAATCCTTCAATTCCAATTTCCCACTTTCCCCACTTGTGAGATCTCAACCACACACAGCTCCCCCAGCAAGAGAAACAATCAGAACCCTCGCAGTTATTAATCTATCTCGGGCACTGACCGATGGTGACGGTGTAGATGGAGTTGGCGTAACCGTCGTAGTTACAGTTGTCCTCATACTGTCCTCCGTTGCCGCTGGCGACCACGAAGATGCTCCCAAAGCCCCTTCGCCCAGCCATCACCCCGTGCTGCAGGGCCACCTGTCACAGGGAACGATGAACGTTAGAGACACCTCGCGTCGGAGGCCATTTTGGCCCATCTTGTCAGTGCTGGTGCTCGCTCCCCCACACTGGAGCTCTCTACTCTAACCCCATTCCCCTGTTCTCTCTCTCCCCCCATCGTGTCTGTGCTGGGGCTTTCTACTCTATTCTTCTCGGTTTGGGTTTCCTCCCATTGAAATGCTGCCCACAGATGATTTCTTCCTTGGATATTTTGTCCAAAGAGTTTGCACATTCCACTGAGGTCAGAAATATTCCAGTGCAGGGAATGCCTTGTGAGGTGGGAAGCGCAGGGGGTGGGGGGTGAAGAGTGTGTGGGGGGGGGACCTTTGTGGCTGATAAACGCTGCCCCAAGGCGCTGGCCGAATATTAACAAGAGTCAGCTCAGAGACACTACCCCACGCTCTCTATGAGCTCTATGTGAGTTGTTGACTTGAAAACGGGCAGAGACTGGAACCTCGTCTTAAACGTTTTCCACCTTGCGTCGCCGCCCCACCCCCCCCACTCCCCTCCCCAAGCAGAACCTGGACACACACAGCTCACATTCTGACGTGGAACTTGAACCTGCACATAAGGTATTACCGCAAACCACAGGAAGTTGCATTTCAATTAAGGCTTGGTGGGGGGCGGCGGGGAGCAGTGGGGGGAGGGAGGGACTGCGTACTTTGAGCTCAGTTTCCTTTCGCAAACATCACACACAAATATTAATCTCACTTTCTGCCCATTTGATATTATTGATAATATAACTCTTGTATTTGATTCAGCACTTCATCGCATCAAACTACCACATGTAGTTTGTCGTTTATTACCCTATATTCCTGATAAGCCAACCCTGCCTCAGCTTGTGATGGCCACGTCGGGAGGACGTCTCAAAAGCGCTTCATGGGATTTACTGTGAAATGGAGTGACTGTGTATTTGCAGGCAGACGCAGCAACCAGTTCTGCGCTCAGCAGCGTCCCCCCAAACAGCCGTCGGGTGAGTGACCAATTTTATTTGGGGGAATTGTTGTCCAGGACGCCAAGAGAGAGTGAGAGAGAGAGAGAGAGAGAGAAGCCAATTGCACAAATAGCGTCCGAGATTTTTAATGTCCCCCTAAACAGGTGGCTCCCGGACACTACCCCACGCAAAAGGCACTGTATAAATGCAAGTTGTTGTTGTTGAACAGGTTGTGGAGTCCTGTAGCTCAGTGGTTAGAGCACTCGCTTTGCAAGTGAGAGACCTGAGTTCAATTCCAGGCAGAGGGCGAAACCTTGGGCAAGTTTCCTTACTCCACACAGAGCCTAATAATAACCCTCCAAAACAAAACAATAATAAATTGGTCATTTTCAATCTACGACTGTTTGTGGGACATTGCTGTGCGCAATTGGCTGCCGCGTTCGCCCACAAATATACAGTCAATTCACTTTACAGTGTGTTCTGTGAAGCGCTTTGGGACGTCCTCGCGACGTGAAAAGAGCTATATCAAATGCAAGGATTATTATTATTATTATTATTATTATAGACGGGACCTCGGCTTACCGTCTCATCCGAAGGACGGCACCTCTGACGATCCAACAACCCCCACCTCCCCAGCACCGCATTGGAGCGGCAGCTTAGGTTATGAGTTCCCGATGTGGGGACTTGAACCTCCAAACTCCTGATGCAGAGGCGAGACACTGCTCCCAGTGCCAAGCGGGAGCTTCAGATACTAGTTTGTAAATAGCGTGTCCGAAGAGATTATCTGTAGCTAAAGGATACCTAACACAGAATTTTTTAATAATATGTTTGGGTCTTTCCCAACCTGGACATCTCTCTCTCTCTCTGGGCAATTGGCTGCTCGTTTTGCCCACAAAATACACAGTCACTCCACTTTACAGTGTATTCTGTGAAGCGCTCTGAAACGTCTCAACCACGTGATATGGCGCTGGGTCAAAAATAAGGATTATTATTGTTAATTATTATTATTTGATACAACACCTTTAGGCCTTCAGTGCCACCTGGAGGCAGACTTGTGCCCACACATCTGCCTCGAATTGATTGGGGGAATCTTATCCAGAGACGTACGTGCAAGTGAGGAAGGAATTTCAACTGCAGGTGGGGAGTGAAAATATTCTTTGGTGGGGAGGGGGTTGAGTAACACTCAATTAAAGGGTCGATCCCCTTTAAGACAGGTGAGCCATTGCATCCAAAACCTCTATCCCTCTGCCTTGCCTCTTCCCCATTTTCAGGTCGTGCCTGAAGACCTTCCTCTTCGACTGTGCCCACTTTCACCCCTCCCTCCCCCCAGCTCGGAGTTGTGCTCCCCCACTGTCAAGCGCTCTGGGACTCTATCCTGCGTGAGTGAGGGGCGCTGTGTAAATGTGAGCTGTTGTTGTTGTTGGGAGAGGGGCAAGAGGGGACCTTGAGTGCCGTGTGTTGGGGTTACTCAGAGAACTGGCGGTGTTCCTCCTCAGGGCTCAGGGATTTCCCCTTCCAGCTCCCCTTAAACAGGCGACTGTGGATAGATTTTAGATAGTCCTTGTCCCCCGTCACCTAGGATTTCAACCCAATCCCAACACATTCCCTGAAGAACAGCAACCCCACTGCTGTCATGTTACAGCACGGAGACGTTTGTTAAATGATTTCCAGTGTCCTGGTTCCCATCGCTGTTCCTGGATTAGATTAGATTGCTCGCTCCTAAATCCCATTTGATCCCAGGCCTCGTACACCTCCCCCACCAAACCCCGCCCCCTCCCCCCAACACCGGGGCGATCCCAAACTCTCTCGCGGCCAGATCGGAAAATGCCATTAAGCTTACAACGGGTTTGGCAAACCACTCGTTTCACCCATTAAATCCAATTATAGAGACGGAATCCAGATTTGTTCCCATTTTGGGCTGGATTTTTACAGCTGTTCAGCAATTCCCCACCCACTCTCTTGCCTCCGCCACCCTTTCCTTCACCAGGTCTCCTTACCTTCCCCAGGGGATGGGGACCGTCCACTGTTTTGCCATCATCGTCGGGACCCCAGCTACGGAGAGAAAGAGAATGTGAAACTCACAATGGGTGAACATTATTATAATAATAATCTGATAATAATAATCCTCGCATTTGATACAGCGCCTTATCACGTCGGGAGGACGTCCCAAAGCGCTTCACAGGATACACTGTAAAATGAATTGACTGTATATTTTGTGGGTGAAACACGGCAGCAAAATGCATACAGCAGCGTCCCACAGTCATGGATTGAGCAACCAAATTATTATTAATTTTTATTATTCACCCTTCACGGCCTGCTGGTTGTGTCAACCTGACTCCCCCACCCTTTGCCTACAAATGCACAGTCACTAAACTTAGCAACAACCTGCCACAAAGCACTTTGAGAAGTTTTGTCAAATGCAAGAATTATCATAGCGTTGAACAAATACAGCGGATCGAAACGGACGGGTTATCTGAGGCGAGACAGATTGCAATCAGTCTTCTGAAAACGAAAACCATAAATGAGGAGCTCCTCCCTCTCGGTCCAACACTGGGCGAACAAGTGCCTGATCTCAGGAGGTTTTACAATGGAACATTTCAGTCTTCGACACTGCGTGCGTCAATGGGGCTGGCCAAAAGATTGTATCACTAACAGGGAAGGGCTGGCCTCAGCGACGGAGCTTTGTATAATGACGGTAATTATCCCTTGTGTGGATTTGTTTGGCCAGCCGAGTGTCTGACACATGCGGAAACCCACCACCGCACTTAATAGTATCCAAACATCTATAAACCATCGAAACACATGGAAATTTCATCTCGCCTGGAATGGAATAAATCTTCGGAATTAATCTGATTAATCTATGGACAAACGTGGCAGCCAATTTGCACACAGCAACGTCTCACAAACAGCCAGGAGACAAACAGACAATTTAAACACATATTGAGAAGAGGAAGATCTCTCTTCGAAGAGGAAGGAAGCTCTCTTTTAACGGCCACCTGAACAGACACAGAAGGGACAACATCGCATCTGAAGGACAGCACCTCGACAATGCGGCATTCCCCTCCCTTTTTCTCACCCCCAGGACTGCACCAGAATGTCAGCCTGGACTATGAGCTCAAATTCCCAGACAAGTTTCCAGCAGTAACTTCACAGTCTTGGACAGATACGAATAGGCGCCAGAGAAGTACTGATGTAACACCACACATCGCCACGGTCTATAATAATAATCCTTGCATTTAATACAGCCTTATCACATCGTTGAGATGTCTAAAAGCGCTTCACGGGATATACTGTAAAGTAGATTGACCGAATATTATGGGCGAAACGCGGCAGCCAATTGCACACAGCAGCGTCCCACAAACAGTAAATAGTGGATTAAGTGACCATTATTATTTATTGAATGAATTGTTATCCCCGGAAAGCAACTAACAACCGAGCTCCTACTTACTGCTGGGTAAACAGAGGTGTGTATGCGGAGTAAGGAAACTTGCCAAAGGTTTCGTCCTGCCCGGGAATGGAACCTGGGTCCTCTCGCTTGCGAGGCGAGTGCTCTAACCACTGAGCTACAGCTACAGGAACTATACAATATACTCCGCCGTTAGGCCAGAACGGAAGCCAGTTTGAATTTCAAGGCCACGTCCCATTGTAGAAAATTCAATGGTTTTATGAGGGTCACAGAAAGCGAAAGAACATTAATGTGGAAAATATAAAGCACAGGAAAAACTTGCGTCAACTTATATTCCGACCCAAGGATATCCCTGGTTGGGGCACAAAGCAACAGCCTGGGACCAGGAACTGATCCACAGTAACCGCAGGGGAGAAGGTTGGTAATCGCATTGCAAAACTTATGAACTTGGCTTAAACTGGGGAAAAAAAAGCCACTCACTGCAGCAACTGAGAAGTATAACATGCAATGTGTTTCCACACCACGATTTCCACGATATACATTTGAAGGTCAGCTGAGGTTGTCTGACACGCGTGGAAACCTGTTGCTGTGCTTAAGAGTCTCCGAATCAAACTGAGAATTCCCCGCCTCCCACCCGCACGTGGGAATATTCCCGTGCGTTGGAATGGAATCCGCAAATTCCTCAATTATGATCAGAAAATTTATAATAATAATAATAATCCTGGCATTTGATACAGCGCCTCATCACGTCTTCGAGACGTCTCAAAGCGCTTCACAGGATACACTGTAAAGTGAATCGACTGTATTTTGTGAGAGAAACGCGGCAGCCAATTGCGCACAACAGCGTCCCACACACAGCCGTGGGTTGAGTGACCAAATTATTATTGAATTTACAAAGCAAGTCAAATTGAAAACACAATTTGCTGCAAAATTTATATGTAAAACGGGAGAGAGGGAGGGAGAGAGGGAGGGACAGAGGGAGGGAGGGAGAGAGGGAGGGAGGGGTGGTGTGTGTCTCTGTATATCTCTCTCCCTCTCTCTCTCCGTTAAACCAATCTACCAATCTCCGAACATGAACTCAATTTTTTTGGTTTAGCTTTCCCGCTGCTTGTCAACTCTGCTCGACCCCCCCCCCACACCCCCCCCCACCCCACCCCACACTCCCCCACTCCCCGGGGGACAACACAACCTTTCAGATATTTTCTGAAACGCAGAGATCTCGACTGCGGAGATCAGCTCCTGTCCACACAACCAGTCAACCAGTACTCACTCACTGACCCACCCCCCCACCACCCTCACCGACCCCCACCCCTCACTGACCCCCACCCCTCACTGAGCCCCCTCACACTCAGCCCTCCCCCCACACTCAGCCCCCCCCTCACTCAGCCCCCCCTTCACTGAGACCCCCCTTCACTGAGCCCCCCCCCTCACTGAGCACCCCCCACCCCTCCCTGAGCCCCCCCTCACTGAGCCCCCCCTCACTGAGCCCCCCCCCTCACTGACTCACCTGCAGCTGTAAATGTCATTGATCTGGTAATGTTTGTTAAATGCGATGGCCTCCATACTGTCAGTCAGGGGCCCATCCAACACCCGGATACCTGTGTAACAAGACGAGACAGTTTGGTTACTCCGACACCCGCTCCTCGGACTTGCGTTAAGATTAAAACAGCTTCACTGCACGAGTCCCTATACTGCAAAGTCTTGCAAAGCGCTCAGGGGCGCTATCCTGCGGGAAGGGGGCTATATGGATGCAAGTTATTGTTGTTGTTGTTGATGATGATGATGATGATGTACGCCAACTTATTCTTTCAAAGTAACTGTCTGTGGGATTCGCTGCCTCCCACGAACTTCCTTTCCTTCGGTACAAAACCCAAACCCCTCGGAGAAAATCACTTCCCCGAAGATGGGAACAGTTTTGATGGGAACAGATAGTGCAACAGTTAAATGCCAGTTTAAGGCACTCAGCAACTCAAGGCCCTCTATATATACACATATCTTAATTATTATTAGTACTATATGTTATATTTATGGTGTGCAGTGCCGACTCCTGGACACATGGTGTTACGACAACTATTTTGCCTAAATCTCCACTATAATAAAACTCATTTCAGTCGGACTCCCGACATTTAATATGACTTAAGGCAAAAAATGATGCACGAATTGTAAAAAAAAACAAATTCATCTATAATCCACACTGTGTACATGTACTTCAATGCGCAGCCAGTAAATGCATGAGTGACGTTAAGAGTTAGGAGATGATTTGTTTTGGAAATTTCGACTCGTACAAAGTGGTTTTGGGTAGGAAACTGAATAGGGCTCAGGTGTGGGTACGACTTAGGCCGATATATGATTGATCAAAGAGACTTCCGCACGTTTTATTGTAATTTCATGCTGTAATCGCTGAAGGATCTCTTTCCAGTCCTGAATTCCTACGTCTCCCACTTGCCAAGTCCTGACATCGGGGCTTGAACCCACGATCCTCTGAATCAGAGCCGAGAGCATGAGCCGGGCTGACACATCATATTGCACCCTTGGGAATGAGGTCTGGTGACTCCAGAGAGATTCCCTCACACACACCTACACACACACACCCATCCACCCACACACCCACACCCACCCACACCCACCCAGGCCCCCGCCCACACAGTGCGGTTGAATCAGATGGTGGATTTGCATTTAAGAGGAAGTGAGACACACATGTGAGTGAGAGGGGAATACGATGATATGGGAGGGAGTAAGCAGCTGGATGGAAACTTGTGTGGAGTATAAACACTACACGGAGTGGCTGGGCCGAGTGGCCTGTTTAGGTGCTGTACATTTCGCATTTTTTTAAGGGATTATTGCCCCCGGAAAAGCGATCCGCCAATTGACTAACAACCAACTAACTACTTACTGCTGGATAAACAGCAACAACAATAACAACAACAACAAGATTGCATTTATAGAGCGCCTTTCACGTCGGGAGGACGTCCCAAGGCGCTGGACAGTTGGGTAGGTACCCGATCAGGGGGGAAATGGTCAGGGTGAGGGGAGGGAAGGGAGGGAGCGAGGAGGGGGTAGAGAGTCGAGAGGGGAGCTGAAGGCTGAAGGTCAAAGAGCAAGGTCTTGAGACCGGCCTTGAAGGAGGAAAGGGAGGAAGCGGCGAAGGCACTGGGGGATGGAGTTCCAGAGCCTCGGGGCTGAGAGGCTGAAAGCCACCGATGGTAGGGCGGTTGGGGCGGGGGATGTGGAGCAGACCGGAGCCAGAGGAACCTACGGGCAGGTAGGTAGGGGGATAGTAGGTCGGAGAGGTAGGAGGGAGCGAGGCCGTGAATGGCCTTGTAGGTGAGGAAGAGGATCTTGAATTCGAGATCAGAGGCGTATGTCTGTGTGTGTGTGTGTCCGTGTGTCTGTCTCTGTGGAGTAAGGAAACTTGCCTAAGGTTTGGCCCTGATCCGACCAGGAATCGAACCATGGTCCTTTCGCTTGCGAGGCGAGGGCTCTAACCCCTGAGCTACGGGACTCTACAGGAATGAGACCAAAGCTGGAAACTCACCCGCTATTCGACAGCCGTAGGCAACCCCCACAGCGCAGAAGTGGTTGGGGGCAGCGGCGATCTCCCCGGCACAGCGAGTGCCGTGATGGTTATCACCGTGTTCATCAGGGTGGGGCATGGGGTCGGGGTCGTTTGAGTTCAGATCGTAACTTCCTTCGGGAGCCTGGGAAATATAATATAATAATAATAATAACAATCCGAGGAAGAGTTAGGAGATGATTTCATTAAATCATACATAGCACATAAGCACAGAGGGAGGCCATTCGGCCCATCGCGTCTGTGCCGCTTTGAAAAGAGCTTCCAAATCAACCCCACTCCCCCGCGCTCTCCCCATAGCCCTGATCATCCCCACTCCCCCGCTCTCTCCCCATAGCCCTGATCAACCCCACTCCCCCGCTCTCTCCCCATAGCCCTGATCAACCCCACTCCCCCGCTCTCTTCCCATAGCCCTGATCAACCCCCGCGCTCTCCCCATAGCCCTGATCAACCCCACTCCCCGCTCTCTCCCCATAGCCCTGATCAACCCCTCTCCCCCACTCTCTCCCCATAACTCTGCAAACTTGTTCTCCCCAAATAATTATTTATTTCTCTCTTAAAAGTTGTAATGGAATTGGTTCCCACCGGCCTTTCAGGCAATGCATTCCAGATCCCAACAACTCGCTGCGTGAAAACGTTTCTCACCTCCCCTCTGTTTCTTTTAACAACTAATTTAAATTGATGTCCTCGGGTTACCGACCCCCCGCCAGTGGGAATAGTTTACCCTTCTCCACCCTATCGAATCCCCTCATAATTTTGAAAACTTCTATTAAACCTTCTCTGCTCCAAGGAGAATAATCTGAGCTTCTCTCACCTCTCCTGATAACTGAAGCCCCTCATTCCTGGTACCATTCTGATCAATCTCCTTTGCACCCTCTCCAGTGCCTTGACATCCTTCCTAAAGTGTAGGGCCCAGAACTGAACCCAGTCTCTCGCTGAGGCCCAACCAGTGTTTTATATAAAGGTTTATCAGAACTTCCTGACTTTTGTATTCTATGCCCTATTTATAAAGCCTAGTGAAGGAGAACAGGAGTTCTGGCCTGAATGCCCGATTGTGACCCTGTACAAAAACTGCTCAGGCTAATGGTTTTATAATCAGCATAGAGTAGGTTAAACTGGAATGGCCAAGACAGCTGCCCAGGGACGGGGAACAAAGACAGGGATGAGTAACTGAATAACAAGTTCATATTAGGACAGTTAGAGAGGCCGAGTTAGGGATAATAATAATAATAATCCTTGCATTTGATATAGCGCTTTTCACGTCGAGAGGACGTCCCAAAGCGCTTTACAGAACACACTGTAAAGTGAATTGACTGTATTTGTGGGCGAACGCGGCAGCCAATTGCGCACAGCAATGTCCCACAAACAGTCGTGGATTGAAAATGACCAATTTATTATTGTTTGATATGAGAGACAGTTAGAAGGGGGTGGTATGAGAGTGGTAGGCACAAAACTTAATTACAGCATTGCATTATACCTATATGTGGAATGTGTGCCAAGTTTTTCTTTGTTCGAACCACAAGAGTGTGCCTGGACTGTAACCTGTTTGCGGTGCGGTAATAAAGAAGAACTTTTGAAATCTACCTGAAGTCTGAAGATTATTTTACACACATAATGACGGTTTGAGAAGTAGCCCAACACCTAGTATCCCGGATGCTTTTTTAACAGCTGTATCTGCCTGTCCGGCCACCTTCAAAGATTTACTATATGACCCCCAGGTCTCTCTGTTCCTTCGCCCCCTTTAAGATTGTACCATCAGCTTATATTGCCTCTCCTCATTCTTCCTCCTAAAGTGCATCACTTTGCATTTCTCCACATTAAACTCATCTTCCCCGTGTCTGCCCGTGTTACCAGTCTGTCTATTTGCTTCATAAAATATGACCAGTGTTTTTTTTGGTTGGAGACTGAATGGGCCTCGGGTGCCCAACGTCTTGGGCAATTATAATATTTATCAACATAAGGCTTAAGCGAGTTTTAGTCTGGAATCACTGAACAAATCTCTGTTCATTCCCACTTCCCGACAAAATAATAATAATCATAATAATCCTTGCATTTGATATAGCGCCTTATCATGTCATCTCAAAGTACTTCACAGAATATACTGTAAAGTGGAGTGACTGTGTATTTTGTGGGCGAAATGCGGAAGTCAATTTCGAGGATTGAGCGACCAAATTATTTTTTTAAAGGGATTATTACCATCTGTTTAGACTAACATCCGGGTTCCTACTTTACTGCTAGGTAAACAGGCGTGTGGAGTAAGGAAACTTGCCTAACATTCTGCCCTGCCCGGGAATTGAACTCGGGTCCTTTCGCTTGCGAGGTGAGCGCTCTAACCACTGAGCTACAGGGCTCTATAATATACATCAAGTGTATAATAGACATATTAAGCATGTGAGCACTTAGACAGTCACGTACGTAGTTTTCCTGGATATCTGGCACGGTGTGCTCCACCCCATCATCAACAACAACCACCGTCACATTTCTGCCCGTCACGTTGCGTTCCCACACCCCCGTCACGTTAATGTCCATCCCCACCCTCTTCCGATTGTGCTGCAGGTAAGAGAGAGGGAGAATAATTCCATTAGTCAGCTGTTAAAATAACACGGCCAAACTCCGCCTTAAAATGAACATTACACAAATGGCCGACTGTGTGGTAAAGGTCTCCTGCGCTTTTGAAAGAGAAAAGGGATTTTCTCCTAAACTTAATAATAATCCTTACATTTGATACAGCGCCTCATCACGTCTTCGAGACTTCTCAAAGCGCTTCACAGGATATACTGCAAAGTGAATTGACTGTATATTTTGTGGGTGAAACGCGGCAGCCAATTGCGCACAGCAGCGTCCCACAAACAGTCGTGGATTGAGTGACCAAATTATTTTTAAAATTTTTTTTGAATGGATTATTACCCCCAGAAAAAAATTGAGGATGTGTGCAAACAGGACACCGGGAGAGACAAACTCCCTTCTCTTCCCGAATAGCGCCAAAGTGATCTTTAATGTCCAAATGAACAGGCAGACGGGATCTCGGTTTTACGTCAATCAAAGGACGGGACCTCCGACAATGCAATAACCCCCAACACTGCATTGGAGCATCAGCTTAGACTGTGTGATTCCAAGTCCTGAAGTGGGGGCTTGAACCCATAACTGGAAGAAGGGGGATGTTATCTTAAAATTAGAGCCGGGCCATTTAGGTGTGAAATCAGGAGGCAGTTTGTCACCCTAAGGCTAGTGGAAATCAGGAACTCTCTCCCCAAAAAGGCTGTGGATCCTGGATTCATTCACCTTTTCAAGGCTGAGGTGTTTGTTAGGGTCAGGATATTAAGGCATATGAGGCAAAGGCAGGTAACTGGAGTCAAGGTACAGATCAGCCATCATCTAATGGCTGAACAGCCTCGAGGGGCTGAATGGCCTCCTCCTATTTCTATGACTCAGAGGCACGAGTGCTACTGACTGAGCCGACACACAAACAGTGAAGTTAAAACATTGCTGTTTGGATCTGTCAGAGAGCAGCACTGAAAGATACACAACTGTGCTCACACACACTTCGGCGCACTGGTCTTGTGTAGCTAATCATCGCCGGGGATTGTTCAACAGGATCCCACAACAGGAATTTCAGGGTGGAGCAGTGCAAGAAATTGCGAAGCTTTGTTGTGAAATCTGCCTCACCCCTAACACTGTGTCACACACACTCCCCCAGTGTGTTGGCTTCTTGAAGTCTGAAAATAATGAAAAGTTACCACAGAAATGTTTTAAATGTTGATGTTTTTCAGCGCTGAGCTGGTCAGTCAATGATCTCCTTAAGGACAACAACAATTTGCCTTTACACAGCGTCCTTCGCCCACGGCAGCATCTCTGAGCGCTTAACAGTGGCGGAGCCTGACACGGAGCCGGGGGGCGCGGGAGTGAGGTGAGGTGAATAATAATAACCCTAACACTAAGCACGGTCAAAAGGGAAGGTCTTCGGTCGTGATCTGAAAGAGGGGAAGGAGAGAGGGGGCAAGGCGGAGGGATTGGGGGAGAGAGAATTCCAAAGCTTCGGGGGGTAGAGGCTGAAAGTGCGGCCACCGGTGGTGGAGCGGAGGGGACGAGGGACGAGCAGGAGGGCAGAATGAGTGAGTGTGAGAGGATTTTGAAATCAACAATGAAAACCCTCCAGGTGTCAGGTCAGGACTTGTTTGAGCTGCTGTCCAGATCCCTCACCACCTTGGGTTCTAAAGGATAATAATAATAATAATAAGCTCTTTTAAAAGAGCGGCACAGACACGATGGGCCGAATGGCCTCCTTCTGTGCTGTATAACTCTATAACTATAATAATCCTTGCATTGGATACAGCGCCCTATCACGTCTTCGAGACGTCCCAAAGCGCTTCACTGGATGTGCCGCAAAATGTAGTGACTGTGTATATTCTGGGCGAGACACGAATAGAATGTTGGAAAGCGCGGAGCCGGACTCACTAAGTGCCACTGGAGCGGGTACTTGGGATCGCTGAACTGCAGCCCACGTTTGGACCGTTTCAGCAGCTTCTGCTCCGAGTGCCAGCGCACCCCCTCGTGCTCCGTCAGGGAGCTCTCGATGCTGCTGCGGACGGAGTCCGCCTCCCCTCCCCCGAGGTCCCTGGGGGGGCGAGGGAGGGGGTGATGGGGGAGCGGCAGAGCGAAGAGGTAGTGCCCGGCCAGCTCGCCGATCTGCCCGTGGTTGTCCAGCCTCGCCGCTCGGGCCACCTTGTCAGCCAGCCGGTCCAGGGCCTCTCGGTCACCGGGGCGATCGGAGAGGGTCAAGTGAACGGCCCACGTCAGGGTCCCCCCGTCGGCCTCCGTCCCCGGCCTCGGCCCCACCTCCCCCTCGCTCTCAGGGCTCAGCCCGGACGTCACCGCAGGGTGGGGGTCGCCGTTGGAGGGGGCGATGGGGAGCCAGAGCACGAACACTGACAGGCAGAGCCAGGCCGGCAGCACAGCCTCCAGCCCTCTCCACCTGGGCTTCTTCATCAGATCCGATCCCTGTAACACAGCATCACCGTCAGTCAGCAAAGAGTACCCGAAAAAATAAAACAACAGAAATCGCCCCCCACTCCCCCCCGGCCTTTCACAATGTAGACTCTTGGAGTCCTGTAGCTCAGCGGTTAGAGCCCCCGCCTCGCAAGCAAGAGGATCCGGGTTCGATTCCCGGGCAGGTCAGTTTCCTTACTCCACACACCTCTGTTTACACAACATGAAGTAGGAACCCGGTTGTTAGTCGATTGGTGTAATTATTATTACTGATTGGTGATAACCCCTTCAAGATGAAATTTAGTCACTTCAATCCACGGCTGTTTGTGGGACGCTGCTGTGCGCAATTGGCTGCCGCGTTTCGCCCTCAAAATGCACAGTCAATTCACTTTGCAGTAAATCCTGTGAAGTGCTTTGAGACGTCTCAACAACGTGACTAGGGATTTATATCAATCGCAAGGATTATTATTATGAAATAGGCTGACAACTTAAAAACTTAAAAGTTACTGAAAACACGAAGTGGTGAGAGATGGGAGGAGGAAGTCAAGAATAAGATTATCCAAGATCGAGACACATCCAGCAAGAGGGTCACTGTTTTCCAACACAAAGCGATTTTAGTTAAGGGGGTGTGAGAAATAGCACGACTCCGCCATCTCTGTTCAGCAGCCTGCAATAATCTCTCAACCGATTCTCATCTCTTTGAGAAACAAAGACGTGAGAGGCAGTTGAGAGATCTTCATTAAATTCAATAGGGTGCTCAGCAACAACAATAATCCTTGCATTTGATACAGAGTCTTATCACATCGTTGAGACGTCTCAAAGCACTTCACAGACTATTTTGTAAAGTCAATTGACTGTGTATTTCATGGACGAAACCCGACAGCCAATTGCACACAGCAGTGTCCTACAAACACTCGTGGATTGAGCGACCAAATTATTATTATTATTTTTGGATTCTTACCCCCTGGAAAGCGATCCTCCAATATCCTAACAACCGGGTTCCTACTGATTTCCTCAAGTGTTGCCAAAACATTACCATGTGTGGTAGCAAACTCAATCCATAACCGAAGTCCAAGAGTTGTGCAACATTGCGAGAGGCAGGAAACAGCCAATGAATTTGCAGAATTAAACGAGGAACTAAAGCTTAATCACATTGCAGAACAGAAACAATGGAGTTCAGATTCTTCCCGTTTCTTGCCGATGCCGTTCCGCTCGGTTAGCCTGCAAGCCTCGCTCCATCCCCAACACTGGCCTTGGGCAGCGGCTCCATGGAAGCCGGGATAAGTCAGCGCAGGTAACGGGAGCCAGGGCGAGGGCACAGGCTTTGGAATCACTTGCGATACGTAGGGCAGGCTAGGAGGGTGGGCGTTATTAATGATAAGAATAATAATCCTCACATTTGAGACAGCGCCTTATCACGTGGCCAAGGCGTCTCAAACGGCTTCACAGAATATACTGTAAAGTGGATTGGCTGTGTATTTTGTGGCCAAAATATCGCTGGCGCCCTATCATGTCATCAGGACGTCTCAAAGCGCTTCACAGGATATACTGTAAAGCGCAGTGACTGTGTATTTAGTGGGCGAAACGCCAGCAGTGTCCCGGACAAACAGCCATGGAGTGAGTGACCAATTTTATTTGGGGAATTGTCAGCCAGGACAGCGGGAGAGAGAAACTCCCTTTTTCTTTTTGAAAAGCGTCACGGGATCTTTAACATCCACCTGAACAGGAAGCCGGGACCTCAGTTAAAATTCCTTGCAGCGCTATTAAAAAAGGGGGATTCTCTTTCCCGGCATCCTGGCCAACAAGCCCCCACCCCCCAGATAAAATTGTGGGACATTGGCCTCCAAATAGGCAGACACTACACTTTACAGTAAAGCCCTGTGTTGCGTTTTGAGGCATTTGATGTGGATAAGGTACTGTATAAATGCAAGTTGTTGTTGGTGTCTTCCTGTGGCTTAGACTAGGGTGGGTGGTCCAACTGGCAGCATGAGGGCTGATTTCATCCGGTCCCTCCCCCACCCTCGCTCTCCCCACCTCGCTCCCTTTCATCTGACCCACCCACTTCCTCCATAACCCGTAAATGTTGTTGTTATGTTATGTTTCTGAAAGCGAAATACAAAAATGTGGCTTTTCCAGCCCTCGGCAGCCAAAAGGTTGGACCAAAGGGCAAAATACTGCAGATGCTGGAAATCTAAAAATAAAAATAGACGTCGCTGGGAGCACTCAGCAGGTCAGGCAGCATCTATGGAGAGAGAGGCAAGCGAGTTGAATGTTTTAGGTCGATGACCTTTCGTCAAAAAATCAGGACCACACCGATCTAGAGAGAAAAGCAAAATCATCAAGTCCATTTCAAGCGTGGAGTGAAGTCAGAGGCATCGCTGGAGTGGAAATTGACCTGCAAGGAAAAGTTTGGGAAGAGTTCGGAAATCTTCATCAACATTGTGGGGGGGGGGGGAGGGACAGACAGGAGCCACTGCCAAAGCCCAACATCCACAAGATCACAGGACGTGCGACCGCATGGTAAATACAGACTTATTTGTTTGCTTAGAGCAAGTCGTTCCAAGGAGATGGTTGGCTAAAGGAGAGAGGAAGTGGACACAGAAACGGGCTGAAAACTCCCGACAGTGGTGTTAATGCATCGCTGGTGACATTCCTGCAGTTTCCGTGGAACACGTTAGTTACAGAACAACTTGTAAGTAAGTCTCTTCCCCCCACCGGGCTTCAACAACAACAACAGATGGCTTTTACAGCAACTTTCACATCAGGCGGACACCCCGAGGCGCTGGACAGTCAGAGATCCGCGCCCGAGCTGGTGGTTGGGATCAGGAGGGGTGGAGGGCGGGGAGGGTGGGGGTAGGAGGGTGAGCGAAGGCTTCAGTGGCAATCGATTGCAACTGTGTCTCGGACTCCGTTCCCATTCATAAAATCACGCAACAAACCCAACAAACCCTAAGTCTTAAAGCGCTTCTCTGGAATAAACTGTAAATTATTGCAAATTCCCTGATCTTAATCACCCACTTCTCCCTCTCTCTCTCTCTCTCTCTCTCGTCCCCAACCCCTAACCTAAAAAATAGTGTCAGGATATCTTTCAAAATGAATTGTTTGACTGAAGTAAAGTTGCTGACCTCTGCCTCAGGCAGGATGCAGAATCAAGTAGGATTTGGGTAATGTCGGCTGCTGAGGTTGAGTGAGTGGATGGTCTGCAAGGCAGCGAGTCACCAAACCCCAGACCATCTACAACAACAACAACAACAACAACAAGATTCCATTTATAAAGCGCCTTTCACGTCAGGAGGACGTCCCAAGGCGCTGATCTACTGACCTCGACTGTGGGTGATACATAGTTTCCTGGCGCTCAGAGGCTTTGAGATGCATTACTTGCGATATCAACAACAATAACAACAAGATTACATTTGTATAGCCTTTCACGTCGGGAGGATATGTCAAACCGTGTCGCTGGGCAAACACACAGACCCTTTTTTAACCAACTGCAAGAATAGAAATGCAAAGGGTTTTTGTGTGTTTAACATTTGTTCCCATCCACTAACCTCAGCACAGCCTCCCCACGTGAACGGCACTACACAAATTAATATTACATTGTATTGAGTGGAAAAATGAGGGAGTGATGGGGTGAGGGAGTGGAACAACAACAACAACTTGCATTGATATAGCGCCCTTCACGCCGGATGGCGTCTCGGAACAGTGAATGAGTTGTTTTTTGGGGTCTGACACACGCGGAAACCCATCACCGGACTTCAGGGCTCCAAACCCAACTAAGAAGTCTACAGTGAGTGAGTGTGTCAGCGAGTCAGTGAGTGTGTCAGTGAGTATGTCAGCGAGTCAGTGTATCAGTGAGTGTGTCAGCGTGTCAGTGTGTCAGTGTGTCAGCGAGTCAGCGAGTCAGTGAGTCAGTGTGTCAGTGTGTCAGTGAGTCAGTGTGTCAGTGAGTGTGTCAGTGAGTGAGTGTATGAGTGAGTGTGTCAGTGAGTGAGTGTGTCAGTGAGTGAGTGTGTCAGTGAGTGAGTGTGTTGGTGAGTGTCGGTGAGTGAGTGAATGTGAGTGAGTGTCAGTGAGTGTGTCAGTGAGTGAGTGAGTGTGTGAGTGAGTGTGTCAGTGAGTGAGTGTATGACTGAGTGTGTCAGTGAGTGAGTATGTCAGTGAGTGAGTGTGTCGGTGAGTGTCGGTGAGTGAGTGAATGTGAGTGAGTGAGTGTCAGTGAGTGAGTGTGTCAGTGAGTGAGTGAGTGAGTGAGTGAGTGGATCAGTCAGTGAGTGCGTGGGTGGGTGGATCAGTGTGTGTGTGTGAGTGAGTGTGTGAGTAAGTGAGTGGGTGGACCAGTGTGTGAGTGAGTAAGTTAGTGAGTGAGTGTGTCAGTGAGTGTGTCAGTGAGTGAGTGTATGAGTGAGTGTATGAGTGAGTGTGTCAGTGAGTGAGTGTGTCAGTGAGTGAGTGTGCCAGTGAGTGAGTGTGTCGGTGAGTGTCGGTGAGTGAGTGAATGTGAGTGAGTGTCAGTGAGTGAGTGTGTCAGTGAGTGAGTGAGTGAGTGTGTCAGTGAGTGTGTCAGTGAGTGTGTCAGTGAGTGAGTGTATGACTGAGTGTGTCAGTGAGTGAGTATGTCAGTGAGTGAGTGTGTCGGTGAGTGTCGGTGAGTGAGTGAATGTGAGTGAGTGAGTGTCAGTGAGTGAGTGTGTCAGTGAGTGTCAGTGAGTGAGTGTGTCAGTGAGTGTATCAGTGAGTGTGTGTATCAGTGAGTGAGTGAGTGTCAGCGAGTGTATGAGTGAGTGTGTCAGTGAGTGAGTGAGTGTGTGTCAGTGAGTGAGTGTGTCAGTGAGTGAGTGTTTGTGTCAGTGTGGGAGTGAGTGAGTGTGTGAGCGAGTGAGTGTGTCAGTGAGTGAGTGAGTGAATGTGTCAGTGTGTGAGTGTGTGAGCGAGTGAGTGAGTGTGTGAGCAAGTGAGTGTGTCAGTGAGTGAGTGAGTGAGTGTGTGAGCGAGTGAGTGAGTGTGTCAGTGAGTGAGGGTGTGAGTGTGTCAGTGTGTGAGTGAGTGAGTGTGTGAGCGAGTGAGTGTCAGTGAGTGAGTGAGTGTGTGTCAGTGAGCGAGTGTGTCAGTGAGTGAGTGAGTGTGTGAGCGAGTGAGTGTGTCAGTGAGTGAGTGAGCGAGTGTGTCAGTGAGTGAGCGAGTGTGTCAGTGAGTGAGTGAGTGTGTCAGTGAGTGTGTGAGCGAGTGAGTGTGTGAGCGAGTGAGTGTGTCAGTGAGTGTGTCAGTGTGTGAGTGAGTGTGTAACTTACCAGAGCGCGTGTGAGTCGCTGCTATGGGTCTCTCACACTCAGTCCCTCTCTGAGCATTGCCTGTGGCCGCCGATGCGGAAGTCCCTCTCAGTCTTTACACTGCACTCGATCGCGATGCGCCCCTTCCGAGCAATGGACGTCAGTTCCGATCGCTGTTCAGGGGGTGTGTGTGTGTGTGTGTGTGGGTGGGGGGGGGGGATGTGTGTGGGGGGGGGGGGGGGGGAGGTGGGTGTGGGGGGGGGGGGGGGAGGTGTGTGTGTGTGTGTGAGGGGGGGGGGAGGTGTGTGTGTGTGGGTGTGTGTGTGGGGGGGGTGTGGGGGGTAATGTGTGTGTGTGTTACATGTTGGGAAAGAGGTGGAGCTGTATATCATCCCCTCCCCCTCCCCCCCCCCCAATGTTTTTATATAAAACACTGTATAAACCTTTGCAGTGCCCCCCCGCCCCTCCCCCCCCCAGCCCCCCTCCCCCCCCCCCAGCCCCACCCCCCGCCCGCCCCGCCCCCCGTCCCCGCCCCCCCCCCGCCCCCCCCCCGCTCCCCCCCGCCCCCCCCCGCCCCCCCCGCTCCCCCCCCCGCCCCTCCCCCCCCCCGCGGGCACTTGTCAGATCAGCATTTTTGGTAAAAACAAACGATGCTTTTATTTGGGATTAACAACTCGCGGTTTCCCGATTTGTTGCCATCTCAGGTCAGAGCGGAGCCTGAGATTGATTGACAGGTGGAGCGGGGGGGCGGGGCGAGGGCGGGGCGGGGAGGAGGGAGGGAGGAGTGGTTCAGCCAATCAGCGCGGGGAGAGGCGGGCTGTTGCCACGCTACGCGCCGATTGACGTGCGTTCCGACCAATCACAGGGCAGAAGGGGGCGGACCCCCACCTCCCCGGTGGGCGAGCGCGAGTGACGGGCGCCGCGTCCAATCAGAGGCCGCATTCGCAGTCGCCGCCTCCCCCGATACATTGTAACCGCGTCATTGATACAGTGTGACCCCCCCAATCGCCGCGCCGTCCAATCGGAGGCCGGGTTCCATGGTGACTGACGCGCGTCACGTCCAATCAGAGGAGGGGCGGCTGGAATTAGAGGCGGGACGTGAGGCCCCGATGTGTCAACGTGTCACGTTGGAGTGACAGGAGCGGCGCCCAATGCGGGGGGAGGAGGTGGAGGGGGGGGCGGGGCCTGGTGTGTGTCAGAGAGAAGCTGTGGGGGAGGAGGGTCGGTGGCAGAGCCTCTGGTGATGCAGGTGAGTGTGTGAGAGAGACCTGTAGGGGACACAGGGAGAGAGAGAGAGGGAAGGGGGTTAAAATCTCCCCCCCTTTTCCCCCCTCCCCCTCCCCCCTCCCCCCCCCCTCCCCCCCATGTTCAATGCCAACACTGATTGCAGCAGCAAATAATGCTTCGCAATTGTAATGAATCCGACCTCTGCCCCAACAGCTCTCACCGGGACCTCTCCCCCCGACTCCTGAGCTCATAACCTCTCTGAGCAGATTTTTCTTCCAAAAAAAAAGATCATTTCAAATTGTCATCACATCTCTTTTTTTTAAAAAAAAATTAAGAAGAAAATCACAGAGAGAGAGAGAGAGAGAGAGAGTGAGAAAAGGGACAAAAATTCCCTTTTCAATGCCAAAAGATACCAACAGCAGCAATTAAGAGTATTGCAAATGTAATTAATCCAATAACTCTCAGTGGGATCTCTCCTAACTCTCTTGATCTCATTATTCTCTGAGCAGATTTTTTTTTTTGGGGTGAAATCATTTCAATTCTCATCGTCTTTTTTTTAAAAAAAAAGTTAAGATTTTTTTTATTGGACTCTCAACTGATTCGAATCCAGTTCGACGTGGAGTCCCATCAGTAAAGGATTGCCCCTCTCTGGTCTGTCCTGGTCACAGGAGAACCTGCTTTCAATTCTTTCAATTGCAAATTGGTTTTATTTTTAATTTTTTTTTAAAAAAGAAGAGAAAAAAATCTTCTCTTCCCTTCTCTGCGGCTGTTATTAAGTTGTTTGACTTTATGTAGATTGGTGGAAGTGAAATAACAAGCCTTGGGAATTGGCGGTGAGGAAATTGAGGGGGTGGGGGGGATGGTTGGAGGGTGATAAAGGTTATTGCACAGCCTTGGGGACTGGATGGCGAAGTGATTTGGGAAGTGGTGAGTGGGTGTTATTTGAGGTGGACGAGCAGAGCACCTTCCTGTGGGTGTCCGGATTCTCTCTCTCTCTCTCTTTCCCTTCAGTCCGGCCGGTGAAGTCGACTCAGTTCAGCGCAGTAATAATAGTACTTGCATTTGATATAGCACCTGATCAGGGTGTTCAGTCGTCCCGGGTGGGGTGAAACCTTCAGTAAACAGACGTGCGTGGAGTAAGGAAACGTGCCTCGCAGTAAGTAGGAACGTGGTTGTTAGTCGATTGGCGGATCACTTTCCAGCGGTAATAAACCTTTCCCCCTCCCCACAAAATTTCATCACTCAATCCATGACTGTTTGTGGGACATTGATGTGTGCAATTGGTTACTGCATTTCGCCCACAAAATACACTGTCAATCCACTTTACAATAAATTCTGTGAATCACTTTGAGACGTCTGAACGATATGATCAGGTGGGATATCAAATGCAAGGATTATTATTATTAACATTATTATTATTATCTTCTGTAGATACTGTGCTGATCTGACGGCCAGGCTTATTCAACCATAAGAACTTAGGTTTAAACTTCCACCACAATTAATTTAGTATTAAATTAGTGCTCTGTGTTAACGTTACAATCGGGCTGGCTCTCTCCAGTTAGTGTTGTGTAAGATTGTGGGACACTTGTTTATGAAAGAGAAATTAATGATTAAGTTGGCAACCTTGCCAACACAGGTGAAGAGGGTTACAGCGGATCAATCAATCAGATTCTGGCTACTCTGTTGTCAGTCACTCTGACAGGAAAGCAAGACTTTCCCCTAATTTGGCTCAGTTTCCAGCTCATTCACGTGTCGGAACTTCCCCGATACTGAACCCACTCTCTGGCACTGATTTTACCAGTAGCACCCCATGACTGAACTGGGAGTCGATCCATCTGCATAGAACCCCCCAGTGTAAGGTGGTGCATAATGTACTAACAACAACAACAATAAATGACATTTACACTGCGCCTTTCTCGTCGGAAGGACGCCCGCAGGCGCTGGACAGTCAAGGGTTTGGACCCAAGTAGGGGATTGGGATCAGGAGGGGTGGAGGGCAGGAGGTTAGGGGTAGGAGGATGACTGAAGGTGCGGTCAAAGAGGAGGGTTTCGAGATGGGCCTTGAAGAAGACAAGGAGGGGGGCAAGTCAAAAGGACTGTGCGACAGAGTTCCAAAGAGTGGGGGGCTAGAGAGGCTGAAGGCCCGACTGCCAATTGTGGGGTGGGTAGGGCGAGCAGGCCAGATGGGCAGGTAAGGTGTTAATAGGTCGCAGAGGTAGGAAGGAGGACGACTGTGGAGGGATTTAAAAATCAAGACGAGGATTCAAAACTTGATTCTCTGAGGGATGTGGAGCCAGTGGAGCCGGGCGAGGATGGGGTGATCGGTTCACTTAAGTCCACCACTTTAAGTCATCATGTTGTTGATATCCCAGCCAGATATTCATATGTCCGCCTACAAAACTCGCCGGTCTGGATAACTCATCATTGAGCCCTTTTCCCTCGGAGCGCCGAGGGAAAGGGGTTAATCCCTTGGATTCGGTGATTTTCTTTTCACATCGAGCATTAACTTTCCTCTATAAGGATTCGCCCACAAAATATACAGTCAATTCACTGCGCGGTACGTTCTGCGAAGCGCTTTGAGACGTCTCAACAACGTGGTAAGCCACTGTATCAAATGCGAGGATTACTATTAAACCCTATTTATTGACCTGATTGAAATAGAGGGATTCCACCTGCAGTTTAGTGTGTTGTATTGTTACTAAATAACTGACAACAATATATCTTTCATCAGGGATATTGCTTGTGTTACTGTTCAGCTTTCCTGCCCTTGTATTCAGGACATGTTCTTTCCTCCCTCACCCCTCATCCCCACCTCCCACCCTTCCCCACACACCCGCCCGCTCCCCTCTCCATCTTACCCTCTGCCCTGACATTGCTTGGCTGCTTTCACCATCAGTTATTGAGTGTGTCAGCCTGGCTCAGTGGGTAGCGCTCTCTCTCTCTCTCTCTCTCTCTCGCCTACGGGTTAGAAGGTTATGGGTGAAGCCTTCACGTCAGGACATGGAATCACACAGTTTAAGCTGACGCCCCAATACAGCGCTGGTGGGGGGGTTCTTGTCACATTGTCGGAGGTGCCGTCCTTCGGATGAGTGTAACCCGAGGTCTGGTCTGACTGTTCAGGCGGATGTTAAAGTTCCCGCCGCGCTGTTCGAAAAGAGAAGTTTCTCTCTCTCTCTCCCAGTGTCTTGGCCAACAATCCCCAAATCAAATTGGTCACTAGCTCCATGGCTGTTTGTGCTTCGCTGCTGTGTGCAAATTGGCTGCCGTGTTTTGCCCACAAAATACACAGTCACTGCACCGCACAGTGATTGCAGCGATTTACAATGATCCACTGTTAACTCTTGTGAAGCACTGTGAAATGTCTGGACGACTTGATAAGTGTTATATCAAGATCCAAGGATTATTTCTTATAATTGCTTCCGGTGGTAGGGGCGATGGGGGTGGTTTTGTCTTTGTTTTGTGTCCAAAACTGTCTGGTGTCTCCCTCACTCCGTAACCCAAGCAGTGCTGCGTCATTGTCATAGAATCCTACAGCTCAGAAGGAGGCCACACGGTTTATGAAAGGGAAATCGTGTTTATCAAATTTTTAAAGAGTTTTTTGAAGATGTAACTAGCAGTTAGATAGGGGGGAGCCAGTGGATATAGTGTACTTAGATTTTCAGAAGGCATTTGACAAGATGCCACATAAAGGTTGTTACATAAGATTAAGGCTCATGGAATTAAGAGTAATATATCAGCATGGATCGAAGAATGGTTAATAGGCAGAAAACTAGGGATAAACGGGTCCTTCTCAAGTTGGCCTGTGGGACTAGTGGAGTGCCACGAGGATCAATGTTTGGGAACTGTTTACAGTTGACATCAATGACCCAGATGAGGAAATCGAGCTTAATGTATCTAAATTCACGGACGATACAAAGCTCGGTGGGAAAGTAAGCTGTGAAGAGGACACAAGGAGGATGCAAAGGGATATTGACAGGTTAAGTGAGTGGGCAAGAAGGTGGCAGATGGAGGATAATGTGGGCAAGTGTGAAGTTATTCACCCAGGTAGAAAAAATAGAAAAGCAGATTATTTTCTAGAGGGGGAGAGACTAGATAGTGTTAATGTTCAGAGGGATTCAGGTGTCCTTATATACCAGTCACAGAAAGTTAGTATGCAGGTACAGCAAGCAATTAGGAAGTCTAATAACATGTTAGTGTTCATTGCAAAGGGGTTAGACTACAAGAGTGGGGAAGTCTTGCTTCAGTTGTATAAGGCCTTGGTGAGACCGCACCTGGAATATTGTGTGCAGTTTTGGTCTCCTTATCTAAGAAAGGATATATTCGCCTTAGAGGGGGTGCAATGTAGGTTCGCTAGGTTGGTTCCTGGGATGAGGGGGTTGACCTATGAGGAGAGGTTCTCTAGAATATAGAAGAATTACAGAATTATGGAATCCTATAAGATTCTTGAGGGTCTTGACAGGGTGGATAGTGTGAGACTGTTTCCCCCGGTTGGAGAATCTAAAACTAGGGGTCATAGTCTCAGGATTAAAGGTCAGTCTTCTAGAACTGAGTTGAGAAAACACTTCTTCACTCAGAGGGTAGTTTATTTATGGAATTCTGTGCCCCCGAGGCTGTGGTCGCTCAGTAGTCATATTCAAGAATGAGATCGATAGATTTTTTAAAAAAAATCAAGGGATTAAGGGATATGGGGCTAAGGCGGGTAAATGGGATTAGGTTAGAATGGCCTACTCTTGCTCCTATTTCTTATCTTATTCGGCCCATCATGCCTGTGCCTGCTCTTTGAAAAAGTTTACCAACTAGTTCCACTCGCCCCCCCCCCCCCCTCTTTCCCCATTGCCGTACAACTTTTTCTCTTTTCAAGTACGTATCCAATTTCCTTTTGAAAGTTATTATTGGATCTGCTTCCACCACCCTTTCAGGCAGCGCTTTCCAGACCGTAACAACTCTCTGCGTTTATATTTCAAAAAAATAATAATCATTTTTTAAATTCTCCTCGTCTCCCCTCTGGCTCTTTTGCCAATCACCTGAAATCTGTGCGCAATTGGCTGCCGCGTTTCACCCACAAAAATACACAGTTACTACACTTTACAGTATATCTCGTGAAGCGTATTGAGGTGTTTTGAAGACGTGATGAGGTCCTGTATTAAATGCAACTTATTATTATTATTATTATTATCATCTGTGTCCTCTGGTTAACAACCCACCCGCCAGAGGAAACAGTTTCCCCCTATCTACTCTGTTGAAATCCCTCCTAAATTTGAACACCTCTTGAGTGTCGGAGGTCTCAGACGCTCGACACGAAGGGGTGAGATATGAGCACTGACAAATTAAGGATACTAACAACCCAGCTGTTCGCTGGGAATAAAGTGGCTGAGTCATCAGTGAGCAGTGAGCAGACTGTGGGCTCTATTTAAACAGTTTAACCTTAACTGAAAAGCCACTGATGGTTAAACAAGGCGTAAACAGTACCACTCTCACGTACTCTGCCTGTTTTGTCTTGTTTTTTTTGTCCTTCTCAGCATCAAGATTTCGTCACCAGAGTCGGGGAAACATTCAGAGTTAATCTTTTCGCAACCAGTGGCTCTGAAAAGCAAACAGCAAACCACAAAAAGCCCTGACTCAGCACAGGAGAGGGACAGACAGGAAAGTGTTGGAGGAATTAGAGCGTGAGATATGGGCTTTTTTCCTCCTCTGTTGCTCGAAGTGACAATCAAGCCGTGTTTTTTATACATATAAAATATCTCGAGATTCCCTAAAACGTCTATGGATCGATTGCCGGTGATAGCAGCAAACTTTTGATAGCACGTTTGATTTAAAATCAGCGGAACTGCTGAAGCCCACCGTGCCAGGCTGTGAGATTGCTGGGTCCATAGGTGGTTGCTGATTGTTTTCTGTGTGTGTGTGTGTGTGGGGAGAGCCCCATCCTGGAAACTGACCACGATGGGTTCCTACGGCTACTACAGAACTACCATCTTCACTTCGATGTTTGTGGGCTACACCCTGTATTACTTCAACAGGAAAACCTTCTCCTTTGTGATGCCATCCATTATGCAAGAAGTCACACTTGAGAAAGATGATCTGGGTGAGTCTCGATTTATTTATTTAATTTAATAATAATAATCCTTGCATTTGATACAGAGCCACATCACGCAATTGAGACGTCTCAAAGCCCTTCACAGGATATACTATAAAGTGTAGTGACTGTGTATTTTATGAGTGAAACGCGGTAGCCGATTGCTTTATTCATCTGGAGTCCTGTAGCTCAGTGGTTAGAGCACTCGCTTTGCAAGTGAGAGACCTGAGTTCAATTCCAGGCAGAGGGCGAAACCTTGGGCAAGTTTCCTTACTCCACACAGAGCCTAATAATATTCCCTCCAAAACCAAAAACAATAATAAATTGGTCATTTTCAATCTTGAATGGCCATATTATTATTATTTTTGTTGAGGGTTTATTACACCCATTAGCCAATTGACCTAATAACCAGATATAGTAAAATGCTTTGAGACGTTTCGATAATGTGATAAGGCGCTGTATCAAATGCAAAGATTATTATTAGTAGTAGTAGTGGTAGTAGTATTATTACTCTCACACCTGTGTTTCTCGCACAGGTTTGATCACCAGCAGCCAGTCACTGGCCTACGCAATCAGTAAGTTTATCAGCGGAGTGCTCTCGGACCAGATCAGCGCCCGCTTGCTTTTCTGCACCGGCCTCTTCCTGGTCGGGGTGGTGAACGTGGCCTTTTCCTGGAGCTCCTCCGTGATGGTCTTTGCCATCCTCTGGTTCCTGAACGGGCTGGCCCAGGGCTTCGGCTGGCCTCCCTGTGGCAAAATACTCCGCAAGGTAGGCGTCGCCTCTCAGCAGAGAGGGTTTGGTGTCAGCCCGGCTCAGACGTGAGTTTTGGGGCGTCTTGCTGATGTGAAAGGCGCAGAATAAACATCAGCTTTGCATTGCAAGTGTCTGTGTGTATATGTTGTGTGCTGTGTTTGTGTGCGCGTGTGCTGTATGTATATGTTTGTATGTGTGTGTGTGTTCAGTATGCGCTTTGTGATTTCTCCCCTGGTTCAAGGGAATTATAACCATTGCTGGATGGTACAGATGCTGTTGATCAGAGTTCAAGTGGCTTCGCTCAAAAGCTGCACACAGTGCAATAAACCTACAGGGTTTGCTCCGGTAGAAAATAACTTGGGAGCAAGTTACAGTCTGTAACCCAACCTCAGGTCTCTGGTGACTCTTACAGATCGTTCGCTGGCTCATGCGTTCTCGGGGCTGGAATACACCCTATAACAAGGCATAATCTTATCCCATACCCAACACGTCATCACAGGTGGGGTGGGGGAGGGGGTTGAAATATGATGCACAGAGTCTTGTTGCATCGAAACACTCAAAAGTGTAATGACTGTGCGTTTGTAGGCAAATTGCACACAGCCACGTCCCGCCAACCACCTCAAAGCAAACAAATTTGTTGTTGTTGCAACGGCTCTGGGACTCCCCGAACAAATCCCTGTCCACGCCACTGGCCTGTCTGACACGCAGGTCGCATTTTATCGGACATCAACTGCGCTTTTGACTATTCTTCCTGATTTATGAGGTTCTCATCTCCGGAAAGCACGGGGCAGGTGCTCTGTAGCTCGGTTGGGAGATTCCCTGGTTAAATTGGGCACGGACGATATGTGCGGTGAGAGCTGAACCCAGCCATGGGCTCGGATCACTGCATTTCCCTCCTCTGTCTATTTGCAGCTCGGCTCTGGATCACACGTTCTGCAGCGCGTGAGAGGCTGTCAGCTTATCTTGTGCTGTGTAAGCGAGGAAGCTTCCAGCCCTTTCATTTCACTCTTCAGTGGGTCCTGAATGTGTCAATACAACATAATACAAAGTGACATTTACACTGCGGCGCCTTTCACACCGGGAGGACGTCCCAAGGCGCTGGACAGTCAGGGATTTGGACCCAAGCTGGGTGTCGGGATCGGGGAGGGTGGAGGGCAGGGAGGGTACGAGGGTGGCCGAAAGCTTGGTCGAAGAGGAGGGTTTTGAGATGGGCCTTGAAGGACTCAAGGGAATGTGGGATGGAGTTCCTTAGGGTGGGGGCAGAGAGGCTGAAGGCATGAAGTGGGCTGGGTGGGGGTCGTGGAGTAGGCCAAGCCTGCTGAGCGGAGGGAGCGGACAGGCCAATGTTGAGTGAGGACAGGAACTCAGTTAGTGAGGTCTCAGCCTTTAATGCACCTCTTTTCTCTCCCCTCCCCACTGTCTATTTTCCACCCCGTCTGCCTCTCAATCCAAAACCGTGATGACCCACCCACATCCTCTTCCTCTGATATCATTGGGTCAGCGTTAGGCTGGCGATTGGATATGACAGTGCATCAGAGGACATGACTCCCACCCAAACAGAATCTTGTAGCTCAGTGGTTAGAGAACTCGCTTCACAAGCGAGAGGACCTGGGTTCAATTCCCAGCAGGCTGAAGGCAAATTTCCTTACTCCACACGCCTCTGTTTACCCAGCAGTAAGTAGGAACCCGGTTGTTAGTTGAATTGGTGGATCACTTTTCCGAGGGTAATAATCCCTTCACAAAAAATAATAAATTGGTCACTCAATCCTGGTTACGGGACGCTGCTGTGCGCAATTGGCTGCCGCGTTTTTGCCCACAAAATATACAATCAATTCACTTTACAGTGTATCCTGTGAAGCGCTTGAGACGTCTCGAAGATGTGATAAGACGCTGTACCAAATGCGAGGATTATTATTATCCTGCACAGTCCCGAGAGGGAGAGAAATGGGTTAACTGGGGACCGGGTCTTCTCCCTCATTTCTCCTTGCCAATAGTGTATCTGTGCCAACCTGCCCCAGCAGACACACCGTGAGCATACGCTCCCAGAACAGCAGCTGGCACAGTGTGGCACCACGTTTAACCACCACCCTCCCTCCCCCCGCCCCGACCCAGCCGTTTTGAGGCAGCCATAAAGAAACGATTGAAATGGGAGATATTCTATATAAAAGCCAAAAGTGAGGATCTTATTTGTTTTAAATAAAAATAAATTTCTAATCAATGAGTCGATTCACCTGAATCCAGGAACCACAGGGGGAAAAAAAAACACAAGTCTATGGGCAAGCTGTGCCAACTCACATCGTGCCATTGGCTTCCCGGCGGCCAATTCAGGTTTGCAGGATGCTTACCCGACCAGACAAGCCAGTCACTGTGTGTGGACAGTACGGTCTGTGGTCGATTTGAAACCTTGATTCTCAATCGCCTTCCAGATCCTTGTCCCGACTTACAGAAATCCCTCCCTGCTCTCTCCCAACCCGCACCTCTTGCATCTCCTCCAGCCCCACTCTCTCACTCACTCCTTCTGCTCCGTAAATATAGGTTTCCCCCCCACCACCCCTTCCCTTCTTCCCTTCCCTACCCACCCAACCTACCACCGCTCACCCCACCATTGGTGTCAAGGTATGGTCATCAAACCCAATCCTGAACTCACCCAACCTTCCTGTTGACCTGTAAGCTGGGTCTCCTCACAGCTGAACTGGCTCTATGTTTGGCAATGGAATGCCAGAATTGAGCCCTCCCCTCTGTGATGGTCTCAGTAGTCCCAGTTCCTGAGCCAGGAGGGACCGCAGTATTCCAGGGCACTCACTGCTGATGGCAGCACAGGCTCATCGGCAGGATCTGGTAGTGCCGACCAGCCACTGGGGGCAGGGAATCCTCCCCCTCAGCTCCTGTTAACCCTGCAGCCAAAGCCCTAATGGGTAAGGGTGGTCCTAGCTGGACAAGCAGTGGAACAACCTACCAGACAGCTGAGGTTGACCTTGTGTGTCTAGCAACGGTAGAGATGTATCGTACTCTGACCCTCTTTTCTTTGCGTTATCCCCCCCACCCCGCAGTGGTTTGAGCCGTCACAGTTTGGCACATGGTGGGCTGTTCTGTCGACCAGCATGAACCTAGCAGGCAGTCTGGGCCCTATCATCGCCGCCACCATGGCTCTAAGCTACAGTTGGAGACAGACGCTCTCCATGTCCGGCTGTGTGGCCATCGGAGCCACGTTCCTGTGTCTCATCTTCATCCGAAACGAGCCCAAAGACGTGGGGTTGACCAACATCGAGCCAGGACAGAAGAAAGGAGACAAAAAAGGTAATAATCCTTGCATTTTGATACAGCGCCTTATGTCTTTGAGATGTCTCAAAGCGCTTCACAGAATGTACTGTAAAGTGTAGTGACTGTGTGTTTTGTGGGTGAAACGTGGAGGCCAATTGCATACAGCAGTGTTCCACAAACAGTCGTGGATTGAGTGACCAATTATTATTTTTAATCGATTTGTCCACCTGACTCGCAAAAACGTCGGCCTTTTCCTCTTCCTTGCAGTTTTTTTTCTTTCTTTTCCCACTTTCTCTCCTTTCCCTGGACCTTTACTACAACAACAGCAACAACAAAATTACATTTATATAGCACCTTTCACGTTGGGAGGACGTCCCAGGGTCCATATACCTCTGTCTGCAAGGAGGTGCGTATGACTGTCGCACCTGTGCTGTTAACTCCACATAGACCTTTCCACTCCCTCCCTTGCCTTCTTCAAGGTCTGTCTCAAGACCCTCCTCTTCAACCACACCTTCGGTCACCCTCCTGCCCCACCCTCCCTGCCCTCCAGCCCTCCTGATCCCAACCCCAAATCCATGACTGCCAGCACCATGAGATGTCCTCTCGATGTGAAAGGCGTTGTACAAATGTAAGTTGTTGTTTACTCCCTTCTCAGCCTTCCCTTGTGAATGAAACCATTTCAGATGTTTCAATCTAGTAAGCGCTGTCATCATCTGCTCAGCTCATTTGGAGAACGTAATAGGCCTGGAACTATGGAGTGATAACTTAACCTACCTTCCATTCAATGCATCAGTAACCTTCACGGCCCCAGTACATTACTCATTGCTCTTTACATAGTGCAGAGAGTGTTAAGGAGCATTTTTTGGGGGGGGTCAGCCGAGTGTCTGACACGTGCGGAAACCCATCACCGTTGCTTAAGAGTCTCCAAACCGGACTGAGAATTCATGCATCCCACCTACACATGGAAATTCCAGACTTAATTTATCGGACTAGGTTCTCCTTGAAAGACCCGAATTGCCACTTGGTTCATGGCTGTTTGTTTGATGATTTCTGGTGCAGATTTCAGCTGTTGTGTTTGATTACGTAACAGTCCTCCACTCCAAACGGAAAATTATTGGGCAACACTCTTCAGATCTGACGTGATTACCAGCCATCAGAAAAGATGTAAAGTAGGGTGAAATTCCATCTGAGTCTAGATTTAAGCCATTGACATGGCATTTCAGACCGTCCTGAATTTGGCGAATTCTTAAATACATTTTTTAATTTTGAAGCTTTTTTTTAAGAACTACAGGAAACCTTCTTCAAAGCTAAGACTGGATTCTCGATGCTCAGAAATGCTGAGCGAGAAGATCCGGCCTCGATTTCCAGGCGGGGAGAGACATTAGTCAACACACACCTCTGTTTATCTAGCAGTAGGAAGCCAGTTGTTAGTTGATTGGAGGATTGCTTTCCGGGGATAATAATCCCTCCCCACCCCAAATATTATTGATAATAATGGTCACTTCAGTCCACGACTGTTTGTGGGACGCTGCTGTTGCACAATTGGCTGCCGCGTTTCGCCCACAAAATACAGTCAATACACTTTACGCTATATTCTGTGAAGCGCTTTGAGATGTCTTAATGACATAATGAAGCACTGTATAATAATAATAATCCTTGCATTTGTTATAGCGCCCTATCATGTCTTCGAGACGTCTCAAAGCGCTTCACAGAATATACTGTAAAGTGAGTTGACTGTGTGCTCTGTGGGCGAAACACGGCAGCCAATTGCACACAGCAGCGTCCCACAAACAGTCGTGGATTGAACTGACCAATTTTTTTTTATTATTTATTGTTATTATATCCGATGCAAGGCTGTATATGCTTATAGGGAACAGGCAGGTAAATGGAACTGAATGGGTTCTATTTTCAAGAGCTGGTCCAGACACGATGGGGTGAATGGCCTTCCTCTGTGCTGTGAATTGCTATGTTTCTAAAGTACTACAGTATAGGGTCTTGTCAGTTTCTCTAGCTAACAGCAAAGCTGTGTGATGTCCGTGTGTGCTGACCTCTCGATGGCATTGTTGGCCCTCGTTGACCTGTGTTCACGCACAGACTGGATTTTACTTAAGTAATATTTCTGCAAGTAAACGTTACTGAAAGTTACAGATTATCTTTTTTTCCTTGTGATGGAACATACAGAGCAAAGGGGCAAGGATCGCTTTCTGAAGGTAATATTCCCTTAAAAAAGTAATGTGGTCACTCAATCCACAACTCCCTGTGGGACGCTGCTGTGCACAATTGGCTGCCATGTTTCACCTGCAAAATACACAGTCACTACACTTTACAGTATATTCTGTGAATGCTTTGAGAAGTCTCAACCTCGTGATAAGATGTTATATCAAATATAAGGATTATTATTACAATATATTCTGTGAAGCGCTTTGAGATGTTTCAACGATGCGATTAGGTGCTATATCAAATGCAAGGATGATGATTGTTGTTATTCTCAATGCCTGCCCTTGTCCACTGCCCAGGAGCTGCCAGAGATGACAGCACCCTGAGGGAGCTACTGCTGAGCCCGTATCTCTGGGTCCTGAATTTTCGGATACTTGGTGGTGTTTGGGGTGAAGACTTGTTGCACTGACTGGGGCCAACTCTTCCTCATCCAAGACAAGGGACAGTCTGCCCTCATAGGTAAGCCTCGTCTTGTTCTACCTCTGCTCAGTGGTCTGTGGCCTCCTGCTGTCCCTCATCCCCTCTGCTCCACCATCGGCGGCTGCGCTTTCAGCCACTACGCCTGAAATTTTGGAACTCTCATCCCCCTCGATCCCTCCGCCTTGCCCCCTCCTTTCCCTCGTTTGGATCCCGGTGGAAGACCTTCTCCTTCGACCGTACTTAAGGTCACCTTCTCCCTCCCCCAGCTCGGGATCAGGCACCTGCCACCTTTAGTGTTCCGAGACGCTGACTGAAATTATCAAGAACAAATTAGATCAAAATTTGTCAAATTTGCTAGAAAATAATATCTCAGGATAATACAGGGTATAGTTGGGACACGACATGTCAAGCGACTGCCAGAATAGTGGAAGGTGAACTAGATGGACCTTGATCTTCTTTCACCCAGTCAGCAAATTCTTATGACTGTGACCTCCTGATACTGCAATGGCTGACCTCCAATCTCTCCGCTGTTTGTAGGCAGCTCCTTCATGAGTGCGCTGGAGGTCGGGGGTTTTCTGGGTAGCTTGGCCGCTGGGTACCTGTCGGACAGAGCTGTAGCTCGGGTATGTACTCGCACATCCCCTCCACCTCGCACCTTGGATTCCACTGACATTAAACACTCGCTGGACAACTTTTTTAGGGCCTCCGTGTTGTGTTGGTTGATGTCACCAGCGCAACAACTTTATACTTGTGAGTCAACCGGGTGTCTCACACATGCGGAAACCCATCATAGTGCTTAACTCTGAGGATTCCACATATATTTGCCACCTACACATTGAAATTCCTTTGTGTCTGAAATGGAATGCGCACTCTCCTCTCCCCCACACACCACACACAACCCTCCTCTCTGTCTCCTTGGGGGGACAAATCCCTCTTGCCTAAATCCCGGAGAGTATTAAATCCAGTATTAAATCCAACTACAACTGAATCTTGATCCGGCAACTTTTTATATGTTGTGGAGTCCTGTAGCTCAGTGGTTAGAGCACTCACCTCGCAAGCTGGAACCTTCGGTTTGATTCCCGGGCAGGACGAAACGTTAGGCAAATTTCCTTACCCCACACACCTCTGCTTTTACCGAGCAGTAAGGCGATTCATTGGCTGTTAAGCCGATTGACAGATTGCTTTTCTAGGGGTAATAATTCCTTCAAATAAAATAATGAATTGGTCACTCAATCCCATGGCTCTTTGTGGGACGCTGCTGTGCGCAATTGGCTACTGCATTTCCCCCACAAAATATACAGTTAATTCACTTCACAATATAACGTATGAAGCGCTTTGAGACGTCTCAAAGACGTGATAAGGTGCTGTATCAAATGCTTATGGATTATTATTATAGCACGGTCTGCGGAGTCACGGAAACCCTCGGCACGGGCTTCTGCTCTCTATGATGGCGGGGATGGCTGTCTCGTTGCACCTCTTCAGAGTCACGGTTGCCCCAGAATCTCCCAAGGTAATTGGATTCTCATCCGCCCCGTTTAAGGGAAGATTTAGAGCGATGATAACTTTATTTGGGGGGGGGCATTTGGACAAAACCACAAGATTCAAGGTAATTGGCTAAAGAACCAGTGGGGAGTCGAGGAGAGTATTTTTTTCTTCACCAGCGAGTTGTTGTGGTCTGGAACGCACTTCCTGAAAGGGTGGGGGAAGCAGGTTCAATAGTAACTTTCAAAGGAGAATTGGATATGTGCTTAACAAGAAAGTGCAAGGCTATGGGGTAAGAGCAGTGGGAGTGGGACTAGTTGGGGTAAGAGCAGTGGGAGTGGGACTAGTTGGGGTAAGCAGTGGGAGTGGGACTAGTTGGGGTAAGAGCAGGGGGAGCGGGACTCGTTGGGGTAAGAGCAGGGGGAGCGGGACTCGTTTGGGTAAGAGCAGGGGGAGCGGGACTCGTTGGGGTAAGAGCAGGGGGAGCGGGACTCGTTGGGGTAAGAGCAGGGGGAGCGGGACTAGTTGGGGTAAGAGCAGGGGGAGCGGGACTAGTTGGGGTAAGGGCTGAGGAGCGGGACTCGGTTGGGGTAAGAGTGGGGGAGTGGGACCAGTTGGTAGCTCTTTCAAAGTGTCGGTTCAGGCTCGATGGGTCAAATGGTCTCCTTCTGTGCTGTAAGATTCTATGAAAACAGGGTCTGAGTGCAAGAGAAAAAGGGTTTGAAGGGTTTCGGGGAGAGGTAGAGAAGAAAATCAACAATTTCCATTTACTTTCACCTTGGAAGAACATCTTAGAGTGTTCTACACAGCAGATGGGGGTTGGGGGGAAACTCAGATGCTATTTTGCTTTGAAAGGTGTTTTTTTGGGGGGAGAGGGGGAAATAATCTTTAATTCCTTTCACAAATAAAGTCAGGAGCCTGCAGTACAATACTTTGAGGGTTTAAAAAAAATAATGAATTGGTCATTTAGTCCACGACTGTTTGTGGGACGCTGCTGTGCCAATTGGCTGCCTCTGTTCGCCCACAAAATACACAGTCGCTATACTTCACAGTATATTCTGTGAAGCACTTTGGATCGTTCCAACGAGGTGATAAGGCGCTGTATCAAATGCAAGGATTATTATTATTATTAATAAAACGGTCTTGCTGCTCTGTGGCTGACTACTGTGAGTGATGCTTTTCCTTTTTCCCTCAGGAGACTGATTTCTGGACATTAATCTTCTTGCCTCTGACTCAAATCACCAACCTAACCGAACACGAGGTTTCTCGCTCTCTCTATTCTGTCCTCTCCACCTCCTTGTCCTTTTGTCAACTCAACTCTCTTTGTACTCTTCCCTCCTTCCTTTCTGTCTGTATTTCACCAGCCGTTAGTTTTTAACCTGACTGTGACCACAATACAGTGAAACCCAGTTATAAAGCACTTTGATCGCATTTAAATGTTAGGGTCCAAACCGCAATGAATATTGGGGAAATCATGGGGAAATATTACCATGGGAAATTCTGGACACGATCCCCCTCTCCCTTACACCGGACTAATGCGCCTAACGGTTTCACTGTCGCACATTCATCCCAGAATTGCTTTATTGGAGTGTCTTTTTTTTTGTAATCCCATTGATTTTGAAGCGTGCAAGAAAGGTCAGTAAAGCGGCTTCAGCAACACTCGTTACTAGGGTGTAATATTGGGCGGTGGAGGGGGGGAAGCCCAGTTACTCAGTGGAAGTGCTTCACCCTGAACAACAGCAACATTGGGAGCAGATTGAGTGGGAGCTGGGGGTCTGGCGGATCAGGGTGTGGCACTTCCGTTTCCAATGCCCCCCCTCCCCATCTCCAACCTCTAGCGATTAAGAACAATTAAGAATTTTGTACCCCAAAAATACTTATCTTGATTTCCTATCGCAAGCGCATTGGTTGGTGTTTGTACACATGTTCTCTTGTATCAAAGCCACTTTTCTTTTTGTTTCCAAACTCTTTCCTGTCATCCAGCTGTGGATCCTGATCCTGGGAGNTTTTTTTGGCTTCTGCTCCTATGGGCCGATCGCACTATTTGGAGTCATTGCCAACGAGAGCGCGCCTCCTAACCTGTGCGGCACGTCTCACGCCATCGTGGCTCTGATGGCGAACGGTGAGTGTGACGGTAAAAATCCCGGGAATACCACTGGCCAGCGGGAAGTCCATCCCAATCTGGCTTTATGGATGTTCACGTGCAGAATAGTTCCCGGGAGGGCGGGCGGGAAGGGTTCACAAAACCTGCATCTGGGTAAATGGAGTCCTGAAGCATATTGGTTATCACGCTCACCTTGAAAGCGAGAGAATTCCGGGTTCGATTCCCGGGCAGGGCGAAACCTTAGGCAAGTTTCCTTACTCTACACACCTTTGTTTACCCAGCAGTAAGAACCCAGTTGTTAGTCGATTGGTGGATTGCTTTCCGGGGTAATAATCCCTCCCCTAAAAAATAATGATTTGGTCACTCAATCCACGATTGTTTGTGGCACACTGCTGTGCGTAATTTGCTGCCACGTTGCGCGCATAAAATACACAGTGAATTCACTATACAATATTCTGTGAATATATTTCGGGAGAATATATCTCCCGTTCAGCTTTGAGACGTCTCAACGACGTGATAAGGTGCTGTATCAAACACAAGTATTATTGTGTGGAATTCTCAGTAGTTTGAGTACAGTGAGAGGGGTCTCAGACAACCTTTTTTCTTCTGTGTCTCGCAGTGGGCGGTTTCCTGGCTGGGCTCCCATTCAGTACCATCGCAAAGCATTACAGTTGGGACATGGCGTTCTGGATCGCTGAGGTGTCCTGTACCATCGCCACCGTGGCCTTCTTCCTGCTGAGGAACATCCGCACCAAGATGGGACGAGTCCCTAGGAAGGAAGACTGAAGTTTCAGAAACCCACCTTCAATCGTCAGCCGTCTGCTCTGATCATGTGTTGGTAAAGGTTCACCAGCAAAGCTTAATTCTGCTCATCCCAATGTTGAGAGTCAACCAGTCAGTCCTGTCTCAAAAGTTTTTTTGTGCACATTTTAGTACCTGAAACTACATCCAAAACACAACACAGGTCACCCTCTGTTTTTTTGGGTTAAGTTAAACTTTGATCATGACTCACAGAAATACCCAGTGCCAAGTGAATCCTACCTACTCTGCTCTGTGCCAGGGTGGAATCTCCTTTTTTTTTATTGGTGAGCGAGTTTGGGGCCTGCCCCCCCCACCCCATTAACCAAATTGGATCGAGTATGTCCCACTTAGGCAATGAGGGTTGTCTCCACAGACAAGCCCCCCTCCCGATTCCCCAACTCTGCCAGACCCCAAATTGTCAAAGGACTTGTGTGGATCTGAATCATGTCTTTATGTCCATCCGAGCGAGTCGGGACTGGATGGAAATCTGCCTCATAGCACTTTGTCCGTTTGACCATTAGGGGTCACTACTGCTGCCACGTCCTCCTCTCTCTATTGAGTGAGTTAATACCATTCTGCCGAAGCCACTTTCTCTGCACGGGGTTTCTGAACAAAATGAACCATTTTCTATTAGATACACTTCAAGGGAAGAGGGCTCTCTATAATCAACTCTAAATTGCGCCATTTCTTATTCAGGATTTCTTAAGAAATTCCAGGTAGAATTTCTGTCAGGAACCCCATTTTTGGGTGGAGGTTTCAACTGGGTATCTGACACAAGCAGAAACCCATTACCCAACTCAAGAGTCTCCAAACCAAGCTGAGAATTCCAGGCATCCCACCTACACATCGAAATCCCAGAGATAATTATTGGAATATAATGCGCACACTCTCTCCCTGGAGGGAGAGAATTACCTAATTCTGGAAAGTTTTAGGTGACAAAATACCTATTTTCTGCAGATATACTTCAGGACAAGCGGGATTAACGGACTCTAAATTGCACCATTTCCTAGTTGGGATTCCTTAAGAAATCCAGGTGGAATTTGTCAGGAACACGACTTTGATTGTGATTGGAGCAGAGGTGGGATTGCAACATTCCGGTTATCGGGAGTTCCCACTTGATTGACACGGATTCCTTATTAAGCGATCCCAAAAAGAAATACCGCAAGTTCAGCAACGAAGACTCTGTCACGCAATCTTCCCCCGTAACCAGCCAAGAGGAGGGGGAGAGATGACAGCTGTGTAAGGGGAAAAAGCACTGATAGCTGCTGGATTTCCCCAGATTAATACAATTGGCAGAGGAATGTTCATTGCAAGGGACGGGATTAATAAAATGAAAGCTCTTCCTGTATCAAGAGCGAGCTGCTGTTTCAAAGGTTAAGCCAGAATGTAGACAATTCTGCGGGCAACAGATTTGTAGCAGTGGGTGGAGGGTTCTGCTCTATCCTGTTCTGTTAAGTCAATGTTTTTTGTCCCTGTAAAATCACTAGAACCACAAGCTAAGGCCTCGAGTTTTAAACCACAACAAAATAGCTGGAGATCAGAGTAGAATTAACCCCCACTCCTTTCTACTACCCCCCCGCTCCAGTCTGTTCCCCTCCCGCGCCCCCACACACACTTTTATTGATTGCAAAAGCTAGTAAGCTATTAATAGGAAATTATTCCCCATATTAATAATTAACAAATTGAAGCCTTACACACAAAATGGGTCTCAGTTGATTCTATTCATGCGGTGTTTTCCGAGTGTCTAGAATTTGGCAAGTTAGAAAACCAGCTTGAAAATGGAGGCTGTGTTTTAAGAAGTTGCCAAATCCTGGATGCTCCAATAACGCTACGTCAATAGGGTAAACCGAGGCTGGCTTCCACATTATTGGACTCACAATATTGGAGTGAATGGGATGTATTTGAAGGGTCAGCTAATTGGTGAGCCATTGCCCATGTGATATCACAGCAACTGTCTATTGATGAGTGTTGGGTTTCTTAACACAGATGAGCATTTCTCCATCGAGTCCGCAATCCGTGGCCAACTGGAAATGACTTGACCTATCGCCTCGCTGGTTGCTGGAGCAGAAGAGATGTCTACAATCAAAGATGTCTGCCTCGTGGCCTTCCTTTCATCCCCCACTGCACAGAAAACAGGAGACACTCACTTTCTTCACCTGAGTTTGATTCATGTTTCGCCCACAAAGTATATACAGTCAATTCACTTTACAGTATATTCCGTGAAGCACTTTGAAACATGATAAGGCGCTATATCAAATGCAAGAATTATTATAATTATCCTTTGTCCCAGATGGTGACAACAGATGCAGATGAATCCTGAAAATAATTGAGGAAAAAACAACCTATATTTATAGTTAAAACAGTCCTGGAGCCATGACAATGGAACCGTGCGTTGGGAGTGTTTGGAATTTCCCTTCGGTTAAGACTGTCAGAAATGTCTTTATACCAGCACATTGATTCAGACATTGACCCAGAACCCACGTTAGAATCATGTTGAACCAGAGATTGAAGAACTCACAGTGAAGGAATGGAAACCTTGCCCGGTGTTGCTAATGATCAAATCTCGCCACAAGACCCAAGGTGTCTGGCTCTTAGCACCACTATTCAGGAGAAGGCACTTGTTATAATCAGGAACAGTATTTGACGGTTAACCCACTGCAAATGCCCCCTTTCCTGCCCTACATTTGAACTTCAGTGAAGCTCGTCTGAATAGAATAGACCCGCCTTAATTGATACAGGAGTTAATTGGCATTATGGTTGAAACCGACGTATTATCCCCAATGTTAACTAACTTGTCGTTGCCCGTCTTCTAACTGGGAGGATGTGAAGTCCAGATCCGAGGCTATTTGAGTCAGCCTCTGGGAAGCAAAACATACCAATTTTCCCTTCCTACAAAATAGTGTAGCCCTCACAATGACAAAATAGCGTAGCCCTCACAATAACCTACCATCCCATTGGCACAGGTGATGGGAGCACAAATGGCTCAAGGTTGTGCATCCTGAGGTCCCTGTCCTCTGTATACACCAGTTTCTGTTCAGACTCGCCCAGTCTCACTGTGGTTCAAGACTCTGCAAATAATGGATCTGTCACAATCTGCTAAAACTAAAGAAAAATCAAAGAAAATAATTGAATTCTGGCACATTTTGCAGAATATTAAATAACATTTTTTTAAAAGAGCTAATAAGAAAAAAACTTTGGACTGACAGCGGGAACTTAAAAATGTTGCTTCATTTTTGGGGTTCCAGCATTTTAAAATTAATTGATGGCATTGCCAGAAATTTGTACACTAAAAGCCCACAAATTCCCCTCGGTCTCAGGCTTGTGTGACCCTGAATTTGCCTTCAAATGAGATGGTGCGGAATTAAGGATGAGGTAAATTAACTCTCGATTTGGAATTTGCAGGAATTTAAAGAGGCAACTTCCAAACCAAGAGTAGATGGAAGAGTTTCCCACAAAACATTAAAAAAAAACTTAAGAAAAAGTGGTCTCACAACCTAAGATTAAGTGGAATTTGGGGGTCTAGGTTCTTCACTGTGAATCTTACCTCAAGGGAATGTAATTTAAACCCTTAATTGGTGCTGCTTAGTTAACGACTGTAATGTCACTGACTTACTTCATAAAGTGGTTTTATGACCACCTCTCCTCTCACCTCAACTTCCACAGCGCTGTCTTTGATTGGTTCAGATCGTACCTCTCACACCACCTGCACTTCGTCTCCACAAAGCCTTCTCCTCCAGCCCCTACACCATCTCGTGCGGCGTTCCTCAGGGCTCTGTCCTCGGTCCCCTCCACTTCAACATCTATATGCTCCCTTTTGGTGGACATCATCCGCAGACATGGGGTCAACTTCCACACATATGCGGATGACACCCAACTCTCTCTGCCTCCCCCCTCAACTCCAGGACCCACTGCTGTCTGACAGAATGTCTGTCAGACGTCAAGTCCAGGATGAGAGCGAACTTTCTTCAGTTGAACGTCAACAAAACCGAGGCTCCTGATTGGCTCCCGTCAGCGCTTCCTCACCTCAGGCACTGACAGCATCACCATCCATGGGGCTCACTCCCCCTCACTGAGCCAGTCCCGAACCTTGGGGTCTTGTTCGACCCTCAACTATCCTTTCTACCCCACATTCGCACCATGACCCGCTCTGCCTTCCCCCACCTCCACGATGTCACCCGGCTCCGACACTGTCTCACTCCGCAGCCCCCGAGACCCTCATACACACCTTCATTACAATGAGGCTCAACTATACAAACTCACTGCTTGTCGGCCCCCCCAACTCCTCCCTCCATAGACTGCAGATCATCCAGAACTCTGCAGCCCGTGTCCTCTCCCGCACCCGGCTCTGTGACCCTATCACCCCCATCCTCGCCCGACTCCACTGGCTTCCCATCACACAGGGGATACAGTTCAAGATCCTGGTCACCTTCAAAACCTCCCCCCAGTCTTGCTTCCCCAGATCTCTCCGACCTCCTAACCCCCTACCACCCTGTTTGCTCCCTCCATGGGCTCCAGCCTGCTTCACGTCTCCCACCTTGCTCACCCCACTATTGGCAGGCAGGCCTTCCACCACTCTGCCCCCACCCTCTAGAACGCCATCCCGAAGTCCCTTCATCTCGCCCCCTCCCTCACCACCTTCAAGACCCACCTCAAGAACCTCCTCTTCGACCATGCTTGAGCTCCCTGCTTCCCCCCCCCCGCCTTCCACTCTCCACACCGCCCCCCCCGCCCGCCCCCGACCCTCAGCTTGGGTCCATAGCTCTGTCTATCCAGCACCTTGGCACGTCCTCCCAATGTGAAAGGCGCTTCAAACATGTCATTTGGTTGTTGTTAACTGTGTTTTGCATTCCAAACGACACCCGGATATCACACAAGAGGAAGGAAATAATTCTCAATGCAAGGGTTGGAGTGGAGTCCTGTAGCTCAGTAGTTAATGCGCTCACCTTGCAAGAGAGACCTGGGTTCGACTCCTGGGCAGAGTAAGTTTCCTTACTCAACACGCCTCTGTTTACCCAGCAGTTGGCTGCCGGGTTTCGCTCACAAATATACAGTCAATTCACTTTACAGTATATTCTGTGAAGCGCTTTGAGACATCTTGAAGACATGATAAGATGCTGTATCAAATGCAAAGCTTATTATTGGTGGATTTAAAGCTCTTACTGCACTGAGGCTAAAGAGGTTACTGCTGCTCCATAACCTTGGGAGCTCCATCTGCCATTGAAAATAGTGCAACATATGAGAAGCATCTGTCAAACTGTTTCAGATAACCTGGTTTGGAGCCTGTGGTTAGAAGGGTGGGTGGGTAGAAAGGGTGGGGGAGGGGGTTAAAGAATGAAGAAGGATGTCCTTCACTCTCCCATTCAACTTGAAAAAGATAGCATAAAGTCTCTCTTAATATGTGGTTGACCCATTAAGATCCAGCCATTTTTAAAAGGCTTTGCACCGTGAGCTAAAGGTGTGAGTCTTACAGCGAAGGGGCATTCAGGTCTCTGTATTGTACTGAGAACTCATTCCTCCGGCCTCTTACCATCTGACTGACTGTGCGACCTACAAGAACCCCAAAGGCAGTTTGAAGAGCGATAAGGCCAATAATCAACAACAAGACAAATAATAAGCCTCGCGTTTAACAAACACCAACCATGCGTTACTAAAATAATCTTCAATATAAAGAATTTTTCCAAGATTAACTGGAGACAATTTAATCATCTGACAAAATCACTGGTGGTCAACGTGGGAAACGAACCCAGCACCACACAAACACTTATCTGAAATAGTTGAAATGAATTGATAATTAATAAAAAAACACATGTGAATAAGAGGGATTCTGTCAATGGGTACAATCACTGAAAGCATTTTTATTATTTTATCTGTTTTGAATCGGATGCAAATCTCTAGTGACTTTAGAAGCAAAGCGTTTGATGTCTTGGCCATGGTGGCAAAGCCATGGTTTCTCAGATGCCCTATTTGAGAAATGTATGTGGGCCACATAAGCAATATTCTTGTGTTCCCCTCCAGAAACATAACATTGACGGGTTATGGAGGGAGAGAGGGGGGGGCAGGTGAAAGGGAGGGAGGGGGGGGGGGGCAGATGAAAGGGAGGGAGAGAGGGGGGGGGCGGATGAAAGGGAGGGAGAGGGGGGGGCCGGATGTGGCCTGTGGGCCGCTAGTTAGGCCATCCTGTCTTCGACACAAGAAGTCTACACAGTGATTCACAACCTTTTTTTGTGGTGGGGAGAGGGGGGTGAGGAAGGAGTTACAAAATGAAATGAGCCAATTGGTTTGATCGGAGTTGCAAATGGAGGCAAATGGCAAGGGATTGTGTTGAACACATTAGGGATTGTGTTGAACACATTAGGGATTGTAATGAACACAGTAGGGATTGTGTTGAACACAGTAGGGATTATAACGAACACAGTAGGGATTGTAACGAACACAGTAGGGATTGTAACGAACACAGTAGGGATTGTAATGAACACATTAGGGATTGTAATGAACACAGTAGGGATTGTGTTGAACACATTAGGGATTGTGTTGAACACATTAGGGATTGTAATGAACACATTAGGGATTGTGTTGAACACAGTAGGGATTGTGTTGAACACAGTAGGGATTGTGTTGAACACAGTAGGGATTGTAACGAACACAGTAGGGATTGTAACGAACACAGTAGGGTTCCGCTTTGTCACTGGTGAATAATCTGGGCACGAATTGAAGACATGATGCAGTTTCCTGTACGTGAGTGACCTCATTGCAAGCCGGACAATCGCTGGGTGATTGGCCTCCCGTTGGTTCTCCTGCGGCCCCAGGGTAGGGTTGCACGGGGCAGTTTCCTCAAACCCTGCCTCCCCCACTCCGGTCCCCATTGGAGTTACAAGAAGGAGGCGGGATAGCCGAGGGCACAGCTTGGGCACGTCTTATGCTCCTTCAGCCAAACTGAGATGCACTGCGTTTGGGAACAAGAGAGAGAAAAGGAGGTAAGGGATTAACCAGAGGCACTTAAGGTGGAGCCACAGATTACAGACTCGCTCTGCATTCTTTAGCTCATTTGAAATTCAATTGGATGCAATTAACCTAGTCCACCCCGGAGGCCATAGCTTCATTGCCAACCATTTGTGGAGTCCCTGTAGCTCAGTGGTTAGAGCACTCGCCTCAAAAGCGAGAGGACCTGGGTTCCATTCCCGGGCAGAGCGAAATTTTGGCCAAGTTTCCTTACTCCACACGCCTCTGTTTACCTAGCAGTACGTTGGAACCCAGTTGTTAGTTGATTGGCAGATCGCTTTTCCAGGGATAATAATCACTCAAAAAATAATTTGGTCACTGTTTGTGGGACACTGCTGCGCAATTGGCTGTCGCTTTTCACTCACAAATATACAGTCAATTCACTTTACAGTATATTCTGTGAAGAGCTTTGAGACGTCTCAACGACGTGAAAAGCCCTATATCAAATGCAAGGATTATTATTATTAATGGGCCAATGGCCCAACATTTGTGACATAAAGTAGGCCAGTCTTTAATGAGAGACCTACATTAAGCCATAAGTAGATCAAGCCATGAATGTATTTGCCACAGCCAGACCGGAAATATCACCTGTTAATGTATCAAAGACAATTGGTCTCTAGTTGAGATGTGAGTCAATGGCTAGCACTAAGGCTGCCTAGTCACCAGAGGTTACCCCAGGACATGGTTAGGGTTACCAGCCTGGTTCAGTTGGTAGCATTCTCACCCCTTGAGTCTTCTTGGCAGTCTAGGCTGACGCTCCAGTGTCGAGCAGCTCTGCATTGTCAGAACTGACGTCCTTCAGGCGAGACGTTAAAGCGTCTGCCTGTTTGGGTGAGCATTAAAGATCCCACTGCACTATTCAACAATAGAAGGGAGTTTCTCTCAGTGTTCTGGCCGACCACAGATTAACTGGGTCATTCTGCTCCTGGCTATTCATGGGATCTTAGCAGGCAAACTGGCTGTTACGTCCACCTATAAGTTACTTCACTCAATAGAAATGAGTGTGAAGTGCTTTGAGACATTTCAACATTATAGGCTTTGTATCAAATGTAACAACAGCAGCTTGCATTTATATAGCGCCCCTCACACAGGGTAGAGTCTCAGAGCACTTGACAGTGGCGATCAAAGAGGAAGGTCTTCAGGCACGACCTGAAGATGGGGGAGGAGGGGGCGAGGTAGAGGGAATGAGAAAGAGAGAGAGTTCCAAAGTTTATGTTCCAGAGAATCTAAAGTTGTTGTTATTACCTCTGGGTGGTATCTGTGTCCACATTTCAGCACAAATAGATGATTGGCTGTCAACTCCTCGTGGCACATCTCACACACAGCATTGTTCTTTACCTGGAAATACAGACAAGATTCATGACACTAATCAGTCAGTCTCTGGGACCCCCGGTCAAAAAGGAAGGGCTTTAGGCGAGATTTGAAAGTGGAGAGGGAGGGGGCAAGGCTGAGGGATCGAGGGAGAGAGTTCCAGAGTTTGGGGACGTAGTGGTTGAAGGCACGGTCACTGATGGTGGAGTGGAGGGGTCGAGGGACGAGCAGGAGACCGGAGCCAACCGAGCGGAGGAAGCGGGTGGCGGAGTGGGGAGTAAACAGATCCGATAGATAAGGAAGTAAGTAGGAACCCAATTGTTGGTCGATTGGCAGATCGCTTTCCGGGGTAATAATCCCAAATAATAAATATTTGGTCACTCAGCACAATCAACTCACTTTACAGTATATTCTGTGAAGCACTTTGAGACGTCTCAACAATGTAATGAGGCGCTGTATCAAATGCAAGGAACTATTATTATTATCATTATTAAGTGTGGGGAAGGGCTATGTTTCCACTCTGTGTTCGGGAGACATTCGGGATCGGGAATTACCTGAAGAACGTTCACATCCCCGCTGCCTCCGCTTTGCTGCAGTGGGAGGATGGGATTTCCCTGCCAGCTCATCTTAAAGGGATCTGGGTTCCCTGGTCTCCACAGTCCAGAGGGAGGTACATCCACAGGAAAGATTGGGTAGTCCACATTTGAGTTCTATGGGGTGGGGGTGGAGGGAGAAAGACAACGGGACATCCTGAACTCTGTTGCAAACGCGGAACTCCCCCATCCTACAACCCCAACACCGGACACCCACTCACTCCCCCTCCCCCTCCCGTCCTCACCCCTGAAGAGATGGGCTCCTGATTTTTAATCAAGACGGTCACGTGACCGATGATTTGGTCAAACGACAGGCCAGACAGCGAGTTATTGTTCCTGGTACGGACTTCCTTCAGAAACCCGATCATGGTCTCCCTGCCGGAGAGAGAGAGAGAGAGAGATTCACAACTTGAGTCCAGACCTGCATTTTAACAATAACAACAACTTGTGTTTATGTAGCGCCCTTCACGTGGGGTAGTGTCCCTGAGCGCTTAAACACTCTCACAGTCAAGCACTTGAGCCTCACACGCGGCGGGGCTGACGCCCCAGTGCAGTGATGGGCGTGGGTGGGTTGGGGTGGGGGGAAGAAGCCTCTTGTGTTGTGGGAATAATTCAACACGGTCTCTTCAGGAGCGCTCTGGGACGCTGCCCTGCATGAGGAGCACTGGATAAGTTGTAGTTGTGGTTGTTGTGATTGAGCGGGTAGGGAGCGAAGGTGGGAGGGGAGCATTGCATCGCAAGGCATCGTCCTTAGGTGACGCATTTAAACCGAGGTCTGTCTGCACCCGTTCGGGTGGACGTTAAAGATCCCGCTACGCTGTGTGTCGGGGAACAGAGAGAAGAGAGTTGCTCCCGGTGTCTCCAGCTGACAATCCTCCGAATTGTCCCCTCCAACATCCGTTCTCCACCGGCCCACCCGCCCACACCCCTCCCTGGGCACGTCACCTGTTGTGATGTGGGAATAACTCAAATAGTCTCTCCATCAGTCTCTCCAGGTGGTTGGCGTTGGTGCTCCCCACTGGGCCGGGATTAGCTTGGCCGATGGGAGCCTGGTGCTGCAGCGGAGTCTGAGAGAATAAGCCAGGAGACATGGATCTCTGAGGGGAGAGGGGGAGTGGGGGGAAGGAGGGAAGAGGAAACAAAACAAATGAGAGTAAATTTGAAAGAAAACCATTTCCCCCCCCACCCCCCACCACCGCGAGGGGTCGACTCACTCAGTGGCACCCCTGGAGTCCCATAGCTCAGTGGTTAAAGCACTCGCCTCGCAAGCGAGGGAGAGCATCCAGGTTTGATTCCTGGGCAGCGCAAAACCCTAAGCAGGTTTCCTTACTCCACGCGCCTCTGTTTGCCTAACAGTAAGTAGGAACCTGGTTGTTAGTCGATTATCGGATGACTTTACAGCGGGAATAACCTCTTAAAGTAAAAAAATAATAACTTGGTCACTCAATCCACGATTGCTCCTGTGCGCAATTAGCTGCCGTGTTTCGTCCACAAACTACATGGTCAATTCACTTTACAGTGTATCCTGTGAAGCCCTTTGAGACGTCGCAAAGACGTAATAAGGCGCTGCATCAAATGCGAGGGTTATTAATAATTATAATTATTATTATCCACGAAGGATATGGGAGGAGAGTCGGGTATGTACCTGTGCTATTACCAGCTGGTTGGTGCCCAGAGTCCCGAGGCCTGGAGGGTAGGCAGGTGGCAACGTCATGGGGACACTGTTTACAGTGGTGTCGGAGTCCAGCAGTTCCTTCTGTTTGCTCATGTAGATCATCTGAGTGGGGTGGGGGGCGCCGGGGGTCAAAGGGGTCACATAGTCAGCGCAGCAGAGTGGACAGGCGTTTGTTCCAGACTAATGTTCTCAACAGCAACAACAAATGACATTTACACAGTGACTTTCACGTCAGGAGGACATCCCAAGGCTCTGGAAAGTCAGAAATCTGCATCCGAGGGCAAGGAGAGTAGAGGTAGGAGGGTGACCTAAGGCACAGCCGAAGAGGAGGGTCTTGAGGCGGGTCTTGAAAGAGGCAAAGGAGGGGGCGAGCCGGAAGGACTGCGGGATGGTGTTCCAGAGGGTGGGGCAGAGAGGCTGAATGCCTGCCCACCAACAGATTTGAAGCAGGCCAGAATCCACTGAGCGGAGGGAGCGGACAGGTTGGTAAGGAGTTAGGAGGTCATAGAGGGAGGGAGGAGCAAGGCCACAGAGGGCTTTGAAGGTGAGGGCCAGGGTCTTGTTCTGTATCCCCAAGGAGGGAGCCGTGGGCTCGGAAAAGGACAAAAGGTGCCCCGGGAGGACTCACCATGAAGTCGGCCTGGGAGGGTGGCAGCAGGCTGGCGAGGGGAGGCAGGCTGCTCAGCTTCGCTCCATTCCGCACCAGGTCGATCTGCTCATTGAATGAGCTCTTCAAAAAGACAAAGGCAACTCAAGTTATTTTCAGCGCTGTGTAGTGGTTAGAGCACTTGGCTCATGAGCAAGAGGTCCCGGATTCGATTCTCGGGCAGGCGAAACCCTAGGCAAGTTTCCTTAATCCACACTCCTCTGTTGACCTAGTAGTAAGTAGGAACCCAGTTGTTGGTCGATTGGCAGATCGCATTCCAGGGGTAATAATCCTTCAAAAATAATAATTTGGTCACTTCAATCCACAGCTGTTTGTGGGACGCTGCTGTGCACAATTGGCTGTCATGTTTTGCCCACAAAATACACAGTCAATTCACTTTACAGTATATTCTGTGAAGCGCTTTGAGACGTCTCGACAATGCGTTATATCAAATAAAATGCAATTAGTAAATTTTATTAAGAGGAAGGTGAGGGGGCGGTTATTCAGGTATTGGTTGCTGGGCGGTGGGTAATTTCCTCACTGGTGGGGTTTGGGGTGAGGGAGTTGGAGGGGGGGGTGGGGGGGAGAGGAGAAAATTTCCCTTCAAAGTTGAACGAGAAAGATGCCTGTAAAGAGGAAGGTACTGACCGTGGTGTTGTGTATTTTGGATTTAATGTCGCTCTGTAGAGTCTCGTACGCCAGAATTGCCGCCTTCAGGTCAATCGGTGGAGAGCTTGTACTGCAGCAACAAAGAGAGGGACAATTAAAGGAACAGTCTGGAATGCACTTGCCTGGAAGGGTCGGTGGAAACAGAGTCAATAATAGCTTTCAAAAGGGAATTAGATTGGCACTCGCAAAGGAAAAATTGGCAGGGCTATGGGGAAAGTGTGGGAGTGGGACTGATTGGGTAGCTATTCCAAAGAGCTGGCACAGGCACACTGGGCCAAATGGCCTCCTTCTGTGCTATAATATTCTCTGATTCTACGATAGCTTCCGAACAGCAAGGATTCATCACTGAGCTCCACACTGTACAGAGATACATCACTGACACATCAACAACAATAAATGACATTCGTATAACGCTTGTCACGTGGGGAGAACGCCCCACGGCCCTGGACAGTCAGGATTTGCACCCGAGCTGGGCTGGGGTTTGGGGTCAGGAGGGGAGAGACGGAGGGCAGGGAGGGTGGGGGTAGGAGGGTGATCGATACCGCGGTCGAAGAGGAGGGTCTTGAGGTGGGCCTTGAGGGAGGCACGGGAGCAAGCAAGGCGAAGGGACTGTAAGATGGAGTGCCAAAGGATTGGGGCAGAAAGGCTGAAGGACCGACCGCTGATGGTGGTGAGGGCAGGTCGGGTGACATGGAGCAGGCGGAGGGAGCAGAGAGGTCGGCAAGGGGTTAGAAGGTCACAGAAGTAGGGAGGAGCGAGAGCGTGGCGAGCTTTGAAAGCGAGGATGAGGATTTTGAACTCGGACCTCTGTGTGTGTGTGTGTGTATATATATATATATGAGAGATTCATTGCTGTACAGAGACACATGTCACTGGAGACTAGTTTCACACCTCATGAGCTGCTGCCTCAGACCGGGCAATTTCATTTCTCCTTCCTTCACTGCTTCCTCCAGGATCATGATGGCTTTGTCTCTCCAACACTCCAGCACTTGGATCTGGAACAGAGGGAGATGTCAGGCAAGAGACCCCAGAACTCAGTCAGCCTGGCTCAGTTGGTAACACTCTCGGTTCTGGGTCAGAAGGTTTTGGTATGAGCTCCACATGACGCTCCAGCGCAGGGCTGGGCGAGCGCTGTATTATCGGAGGTGTGTCCTTCAGATGAAACGTTAAACCGAGTCCTGTTTGCCTGTTCAGGTGGACGTTAAAAGATCTATTTGATAAAGAGGAGGGAGTCTCTCTCTCTCTCTCTCCCGGTGTCCTGGCTGACGATCTCCCAGATAAAATTGGGCACTCACTCCATGGCTCTATGTTGCTGTGCGCGAGCTGGACACACAGTCACTACACTTCACAGAAAAAAACCCTGAGGCACTTGGAGACGTCTCGGCAATGTGAGGGGATGCTGCATCGAACGCGAGGATGGTTGAGGTTTATTGATCGGTTTGGTCTGTCTTACTTCCCTCTCCCCAAAGTGGGGTGAACAAAAAGGGGAAAAAAGGCGGGCGGGGGTTGGGGGCGAAAGAGAGAGAGAGAGAGAGAGAAGGAAAGGATGAAACAGGTGAGAAACGATTGTGAGAAATGGGTGAGAGACTCAACGCCAACTCACCTCCGCACTCATCGCTCTCATCATGGCTTCCACAAAGTTGTCCCTGCTGTTTGCTGACACCCTCTCCAGCCGGGCTTTCTCCTGGTCCCACTGTTCCCTGTTGGAGAGAGAAGCAAGTTACCAGCTCCGTGTCCTCTTCAGTCACAGCGTTAGACTGTACGCAATTGGCTGCCGCGTTTCGCCCACAAAATACACAGTCACTCCACTTTACACACAATATATCCTGTGAAGCGTTTTGAGACGTCTCAACGACATGATAAGGTGCTATGTCAAATGCAAGGATTATTATTGTTATTATAAACGATCAGTGGCAGAAATTACTGGCAAACTGGGCGGGGGCGGTGGGGGGCGAAGGGGAATTCAACATAAAACCTCCATGCGTCAAAAAACTTTATTGGAGGAGGATTGACTATTGTAGCTGTCACTCATCGGGGTGGGGGGGTAGGGGAGGGGCGGGGGGAGGAGAGAGAGGAGGGCGGCATCGAGAGCCAAACACTCAGGAAATTCTCCATATAGCCATTCCATCCGAGTGGGATAATCGACTCCATACAAGATCCCAAAAAATTCCACCCGGGTCCAGACTCAATCTACTTACGTGGCGTTTCAGAGCATTGTTTTGGAAGCAGTTTATCTGTGAGCTGTTTCCTCCACCACTCCTACTCCCCTCCCCAATCCCAACCCCTCCCCAATCCCAACCCCTCCCCACTCCGACCCCCTCCTCCGAGCTGACCAGTGAGAGCCCTGGAGAGACTTTACTCACTGTTCTCTTTGGTAATGTTTGTTCTGGTTATCCACCTCCTGTTCCTGCGCTCGCATCTGCTTCTCAAACCTGCACGAAGCAAAGCATCACAATGATTCATCTCCCGTATTGTAGTGGTCAGAGCACTCGCCTCGCAAGCGAGAGGACCCGGGTTCAATTCCCCCGGCAGGGCAAAACAAAACATCGGGCAAGTCCCCTTACTCCACACTGTGTTTGCCTAGCAGTAAACAGGAACCCGGTATTGGCGGATCGCTTTTTGGGGCAATAATTCCCCCCACCCCCCCCCCAAAATGCTTATATCCACGGCTGTTCATGGGACGCTATTGTGCGCAATTCGCTGCCGTATTTCGCCCACAAAATGCACAGTATTAATGCTTTGAGATGTTTCAACGACGTGATAAGGCGCTATATCGGATGCAAGGATTATTATTATTATGATAGTTTGGGTTTGGACCCCCAGATGCCAAGCCAAACAGAGACCCGGGCGCAAGCAGGAGAGGCTTACTTCCTGAGCTGCTCCTCCTTGCTCTTCAGCGCCCCCTGGAGGCTGCGGATCTGGCTTTTCAGCGTCTTGGTCTCCTGTTCCTGAACCTTCCGCTCGTTCTCCATGTCCAACCGCAGCCGTTGGAGCTCCGCCGTCTGGTGCTGAGGAGATCACGAGCATTGGTCATTCCACACTCTCAGTGCCAAGCATTTCACACAATATAGTCCCACAGGGGGACACACACAGACACCCACTCACAACGCACCTCAACTACTCATGGCTGATTGGGAGCGTTGGTAGTTCAGAGGAGGAGGAGAGCAGAAGGAGAAGTGAGAGAAGCAAAGAACGAACGAGAGAAGAGATGTGAAGAGCGAAGGAGAGCAGAGAAGAGATGAAAATCTTCTATGAGTTGTTCACAAGGGGAAACGGACTCAAGCTCCCATAACAAGGTGTACACACAGATCAGGTTTAATGGCTTCACGCACAAGAGCATGGCGAGCGAGTAGAACAGACAGAGAGGTTTATTGGAAGGGCAGGGAGGCGAGCGACCTGCTCCGGATCACTGACCTTACACAGCTCCTGGGCCTTGCCTTGCTGCTTCACCAGCTGCTCGTACTCCGCGCTCTTCTCTTCATAAAGCAACTGAAAAGTCCGTGCGGTAGCCTCCAGCTCTGCAAGCTAACACACAACAGCAACCTGTGATGTGACAATGGATCTACTGAGGCACTGAGGATGCCTACAATTACACAGTCACTACACTTCCATTCCTCCCCCCCACACAGTGAATCTACACACCAGACCCTCCCAGCAGCAACAACAACAAATTACATCAAGAGGACCAAGAGACTAAGGTGCTGGACAGTCAGGGATTTGAACCCAGGCAGAGTGTTGGGATCAGGAAGGGTGGAGGGCAGGGAGGGTGAGGTTAGGAGGGTGACTGAAGGCGCGGTCAAAAAGGAGGGCCTTGAGATAGGTCTTGAAGGAGGTAAGGGAGGATGCGAGGCGAAGGGAATGTGGGATGGTGTTCCAAAGGGTGGGGGCAGAGAGGCTGAAGGTTCGACCGTCAATGTTGGAACAGGAGCCTACAAGTACACAGCCATTGCACTTCACAGCAATTCCCTGTGATGCGCTTTGAGACCATTTGATGTTACAAACCCAAGATTAAAGCACAAGATCGAATGATACCCACTTTGCTTGCCCGTCACCCCCGCCCTCGCCAGGCTACACTGGAACTCCATCGCCTACACTCAGGCACCTCCTACACTCAGGCACCTCCAACAGTGCAACACCCACTCCCCCCCCACCAGCGCTGCATTGGCCCATCAGCTTAGACTATGTGCTTCCAAGTCCCAATGTGGAGCTTGAACCCAAACTTTCTGACTCAGAGGTGAGAGCTCTATCCAACACTGGGCCTGGCTGACTCACTTGGACCAAGGGCACAATGGGCCAAACAACCTACTCTTTCATGAAATTCTTGTTTGCCCACAAAACACACAGTCACTACAATTTACTCTTACCTCCTTCCTCTCCTTGGGTTCAGCTTGTGATGGGAGAAGCCCCTCTTCCTCCCTGTGGAGGAACAGAAACAGTTTCAATCTTCAACTTGTGGAGGTTTTTTTCCCCGTATAAAATAAGGCAAAGCGCACCCATCCCTGGCCCCGCCCTCACCCACCATTTGGCCCCACCCTCACCCACCACTTGGCCCCACCCTCACCCACCACTTGGCCCCACCCTCACCCACCACCTGGCCATGGCCTCACCCATCACCTGGCCCCGCCCGCACCTACCTCTGGCCCCGCCCTCACCCAACACCTGGCCCCGCCCTCATCCACCACCTGGCCCCGCCCTCACTAGTAACCTGGCTCCACCTCCTCAGCCTCACTCTGACCCAATGTTGCCAGGTTGAGGTGGGGGGTGATGTGGGTTTATGCCCAATCGAGTGTGTTTGGGTTTCACTGTGCATGAAAAAAAGTGCCTAAAACCTACAAAAATGTTTTTTCCCCGACCTTTGAAGACCTTTTCTCACTGCGTGAAAAGTACCATCTAAATGTCCCGCTCTATTGCTTCCCATAGAGGAGGCAACGCATCATATTGGGCTACTTTTTGGTTGACTTTTGGGCTACAAACATATTTTAATTTCTGGTCCTGAATCATAAGCCCAGGCTCTTATCTGCCCCCCCTGTCCTGGGCCAGACCACCCTCCCCCCACCCCATACCTGTCCTCCTCTCCTGTGCTCTCCACCTCCTTCTCACCAACACTCTCCACAGGAAAAGCGGATTTCTGCAGAAACACAGACAGAAACGTGTTAATCAGCAGTGGCTATGGGCGGACATGTCCCTCTTTGAAACCTACATGTTTTTTAAAAAACACACACACAATAAAATATCAATACCTTTTTGCCTTTGGACTTTTTCCTCCTTTTCTTGAATGATGGTTTCTGCGTTTCGTTCTGAAATTCAAAGGCGATTGCATTCAATAGACTAATTGTACTGTTTTGAAACTTTTAGAAACTTTGGGGAAAATTTTGTGAACAAGATGGCGGTCGGGCGGAATCCACCGGGAAATAACCTGAGGTCATAAGACATTGAAACCAGCTGTGAAGGGAGGCACACCTAAATCACATAAGGGGGAGGAATGAATGATCGATACAAGACAAAAATCTGAGAAGTGAGGAGCGATGGAGAGCAGAGAAGACAAATCTTAATGAACTGTGGACAAGGGACAGTTTATGACAGAATCATAGCAATTTACAGCACAGAAGGAGGCCATTCGGCCCAGCGAGTCTGCACCAAGTTTCCCGTTTAATCCCATTTGGTGTCCCCATTCCCACACCCCTTCAAGCCTGTGTCCTTCACATACCTGTCTCGTTCCTGCTTGAAACCCACAATGGATTCTGCCTTGACCCCTTACTTGGCAGGGCATTTCCACATCTCAACAAGTCTCTCATTTCACCTAAATTCTCCTTTCACTCTTTTTGTGACTCTTTTATAACTATAACAATTATTGTAATAGTTATAGCGCCTGATCACATTGTTGAAATGACTCAAAGCGATTCACAAACTATACTGTAAAGGGAATTGACTGTGTAACTTGTGGGCGAAACGCGGCAGCCAATTATTGACAGCAGTATCGCTGTCCCACAGACAGTCGTGGATTGAGTGAGCAAATTTATTGATTGATTGAAGGGATTATTACCCCAAGAAAGTGATCCGCCAACAGACTAATAGCTGGGTTCCTACTTACTGCTAGGTAAACAGAGGTGTGTGGAGTAAGAAAACTTGCCTAAGGCTTTACGCCCCCGAGGATCAAACCCGGTTCCTCTCGCTTGCGAGGCGAGTGTGGGCTGACTCCCCTGCTAGTTGCCCTGTCAAAACCCCTGACAATACCTTGTGATTTCAGATCAGAGACAAGACTCTGCTCATGTGAACACTCGTCAGCCTCCGTGACAAGCACAGGGATCAGCCGCACTCACCAAATTCGGGGGATCAGATGGCTTGGATCCTCTGTGGGCTTTCCCCGCGACCTGGGACGAAACGCTGGTTTTCTGCAAGATCAGGGGAAAAAATTCTGACTGTTAAAATTCTTTTAAAAAAAATTCACACAGTAAGGCAAATCATGTTTAACAAACCTGATAAAGATTTTTTGATGGAGTAACGGAGAGGGCGGGTGAAGGGAGTGCAGTTGATGTAGTTTATATGGATTTTCAAAAAGCGTTGATAAAGTGCCACATAAGAGACTTGTAGCAAAATAGGAGCCCCCGATATTACAGGGACAGTGTCAGCGGATACAGAACTGACTGGAGACAGAGAGCGGTGGTGAACGGCTGTTTTTCTGACTGGAGGGAAGTGCAGTGGTGACCCACAGGGGTCGGTATTGGGGCCACTACTGTTTGTGATCTATATAAATGACCTGGACTTGGGTATAGGAGGACAATTTCCAAGTTTGCCGATGATACTAAGTTAGGAAAAGTAGTAAACAGTGAGGAGGATAGTAGCAGACGGCAAGAGGACATAGACAGACTGGTAACACGGGCAGACACGGGGCAGATGAAGTTTAATGTGGAGAAATGCAAAGTGATGGAGTTTGGGAGGAAGAATGAGGAGAGGCAATATTCGCTGATGGGACAATCTTACAGGGGGCGAAGAACAGAGAGACCTGGGGGTCATATAGTAAATCTTTGAAGGTGGCCGGACAGGGAGATACAGCTGTTAAAAAGCACATGGGATACGAGGCTTTATAAATAGGGGCATAGAATACACAAGTCAGGAAGTTATGGTGAACCTTTATATAAAACACTGGTTGGGCCTCAGCGAGAGACTGGGTTCAGTTCTGGGCCCCACACTTTAGGAAGGATGTCAAGGTATCTTTCCCCTTCCCAGCTACCCCCCCCTGACTTCCCCTCCCACCCCCCAGCTCAGGTTCCAAGTCAGGACTGTTAAGTTCCTTGGAACGTCCTCCTGATGCGAATGGTGCTATACAAAATTTTATTTTACATCATTATTAATAATAATCCTTGCATTTGATACAGAGCCTTATCATGGCTTCGATACGTCTCAAAGCACTTCACAGGATATACTGTAAAGTGAATTGATTGTATATTTTGTGGGTAAAACATAGCAGCCAATTGCAAACAGCAGCGTCCCACAACCAGTCATGGAATTGACTGACCAAATTATTATTATTAATATTATTTTTTGAAGGGATTAATATCCCCGGAAAAGCGATCCCCCAATCGACTAACAAGCGGGTTCCTACTTACCACTAGGTAAACAGAGGCGTGCGTATGGAGTAAGAAGCTTGCCCAACGTTTCGCCCTGCCTTGTCACATCATTGAGACATCTCAAAGTGATTCACAAGATATAGTGTAAAGTTGTTTGACCGTGTACTTTGTGGGTGAAACGCTACAACCAGTTTGCGCGCTGCAGTGTCCCACAAACAGCCATGGAGTGAGCTAACCCCCCAACGCTGCATTGGAGTGTCAGCTTAAGCCTCCACGTGGGGGACTTGAACCCACAACCTTCTGACTCAGAGGCGAGAGAGAGAGCGCTACCCACTGAGCCGGGCTGAACTATCGTATTGCAAGTGGTTGGAGATGGTTTGAGGTTACTGGCGCTATACGAGATGCAAGGGTTATTATTACTGAATGTGTTAGAAACCTGCTTCGCTTTGGAGTTGCTCTCCTACCTCTTCTACGATGTCCAGGTTTTGCCCAGACTGCTGATTCCCTTCCCCCGCCCTCTCTTTCGAAGCTTCTCTCTCGCTCCCGTCGGGAGTGGGAATTTCCTCCGCCTTTCCCTTTTCCGGGTCTGTTTCCTCCCGTTCCGTTCGATGCCTCCACTGGATGGTGTCTGTAATTTTACCCCCCGTTTCTGCAATGTTAACAAAAATATTGATATCAAAAACAAAGGAAACTATCATGTAAATGGAGAGAAAGTGTTGACTACTGAGCACTGGACACCAGGTGGCATTGCAGAGTGAGAGTAATGTACAGTAACTACAGTTCACACACCGCCTCTCAGTGGTTGATATTGGATAAAGAATATAAAAAACGTTAGACGAATAAAGACCAAGGTCCATCTAATTCGCCTTCCACCTTCCTGGCGGTCTCCTGCACATATGCCCCAAACTCCCTATGTACTGTATCCCGTAATGTTATTTCCTAAAAGAAAACGAACTAATCTGTGTTTGAAAGAATCAACATTTCCTGCTTCAACCGTCTCCCTCGGGAGCCTGTTCCACAGGTTCACTAACGCTCACTGAGATAGTGTTTGTGTAGATTTGTTCTGAATTTACCCCTTCAATCGCAGGCCGTGTGTCCTCTGGTTTTACTCTTCTGGACAAGTTGGAACAGTCTGCAATGATCTATATTGTTGTGGCCCATTAGAATTTTAAAGCCAGCAATCATGTCGTCTCTCAATCTTCTCTTTTCCACTGTAAATGTACCCGATTTAGCCCAAACGCACAACAGAATTAATATCCTGTCTTGACCTGATTGTTATTGGCAAAGCTGATGATATTTTGCTGAGCCCCCTGAGAGAGCTGGAAAAAATTGTTCCTCCAGTCTAAATCCATCGATGCCCCAACACCTTCCAACCCCTCTGATCTCCTTCTACCCCACTCCTCCGCTCCCCCCAAACCCCTCTCCTATCAGCTAACTCTGGCCTGCCTTTCTCTTTCTCTCTCTCTGCTCAATAATCGCTGACATGGCGTTGACATTCAACCCCCTAATCTCTTAAAACCTACTTCTTCGACCATGCCTAGGGAGCTCCCAATTGGAGTCGAGGTACACATCAGCCATGATTTAACAGAACGGTGGAACAGGCTCGAGGGGGTGAATCCTGTTTGTATGTTCCCTCCTCCCACCACTCCCCCGTTTTCTTCTCGCTTCATGTCTGAGCCACATGAAGCAAATGAGATCAATGTATTTTAGGAAATAATAATACCTGGGGGATACAGTGTATAGTTTGGGACACGCATTGTGCAAACGACTGCCGGGACAGTGGAAGGCGAACTGGTTGGACTTTAGTCTTCTTTGGTCTAGCAAATACTTATGGTATTATGAGCCCAACCCCACGTTGGTGGTCTACACCAGGGTGGTCTATCTGGCAGCCCCCAGGGCAATTTTATCTGCACTCCCTCCCTCCCTCCATTTCATTTGGCTCCCTCCATAACCTGTCAATGCTATGTTACGTTTCTGGAAGAAAAACACAAAAATATGGCTCATTCGGCCCACGGATGTTTCTCAACTAGGGCATCCGGCCCTCGGCAGCCAACAGGTTGTCCCCCGCACCCCCCCACCCCCGTCCTACGCGAATCGCAGCATCTAAAAGCCGTCTAAACGCAACCCGTGTCTCGCTCATGTATGCGTCGCGGGTCTTACTCAGGTGTTGTTTCATGGCCGTCATGTAGCGGTCGATGGTGTCAAAGCACTGGCGTCCCATCAGCCGGGCAATGCGCTCGTGGTCGTGCCAGAGCAGGTAGCCGGGCATGAACAGGATGTCCTGGATCTCCTCGGGGGTCTTGCCCAGGCACTGCAGGGCCTCGCTGCTCTCCTCCCACATGGACAGGAACTCCTCCTCGGGGACCCCCATGTACCCGTTGCGGGTGACCAGCTGGCGCCGGAGGTAGAGCAGCCGGAGGAGGCTGCCCTGGCGCGAGGCGTCGGGCCCGCTCGGGCGCATGTGCCACCCTCTCTTGGGCTGCGGGAGGTGCTTGAGGTTCATCATCACGAAGACGATCAGGGTCAGGTCGAACTTGTCGAACTCCAGCTCCGACCACTTTTGCGGGAAGAGCAGAGCCCAGTCCGAGTGCGAGAGGAATTCTGTCTGGAATTCCCGGAAGTGCCGGTGCAGCTCGGATTTCCTCAGCTTGCGGAGCTCGGCCTGCAGGCCGTCCAGGGGCACCTCTTCGGCGAAGACCTTCTGTGCCACTCTGGTGCCCTCCAGCACGATCAGATACATCAGACGGAAGAAGTTGCAGTATGCGTTCCTCTCCTCCGGGGGCAGGTCCTCCCTTCGCCGTGGTCTGGGCAACGGCATGTATCTGCGGAACTTGTTCACGTAGCCTTCGCCTGGAGCAGCCGAGAGGACGGATCGGTCAACAACATCTCGAGCTGTGACCCACCTTCAACCCTTTGATTGGCTCACTTTAGCTCACTCCCTCTCACTCCCCCGCACTCCCTCCCTCCCTCGCACTCCCTCCCTCCCTCCCTCCCTCCTGCTCTCACTCCCCTGCACTCCCTCCCTCCCTTCTGCACTCCCTCTCTCGGTCCCACCTTCCCTCGCTCGCTCCCACCCTCTCTCCTACCCTCCCTCCCTCCCTGGCTTCACTGCTCACCCAGCTTCTCAAACTCCTTCTGGAATTCCTCGAGGCACAGCTTGAGTTTGGGGAAGGTCTCCCGCTCCTCTTCCAGGAGGAAAACGAAGTCCAACTTCTGAGCGGTGGTCTTCATGAAGACGATGACCTCGAGCAGGCGCTGTCCTCGCTGCTCGCTCGGGGTCTTCATCAGTAGGTCGTTCTCGGTCTCCGTCAGCACACTCAGCATCTGCAGGCTATAGATCAGGTCTTTTAAAGGGGCCTTGTTCAGCGGCTCCGCCAGGACCTCCAGGAACAGGTACAGGAAGCTGTCGGCACAGCAGTTTCCTTTAAGGAAACCAATTCAATAGGATTAATGTTGAGGGAGGGTGGGAGGGAGAGAGGGTGTGAGGGAGGGGAGGGGTGAGGGAGGGGAGGAGGGAGGGAGGGACGGATGGATGGATTGGAGGGGGACGATTATAATAATAATTATCCTTGCATTTGATCTCGCACCTTACCATGTCGTCGAGACGTCTCAAAGCGCTTCAAAGAATATACTGTAAAGTGAATTGACTAAATTTTGTGGGTGAAACGCGGCAGCCAATTGCGCGCAGCAGCGTCCCACAGACAGCCGTGGGTTGAGTGACCAATTTGGAGAGATTATTGCCCCCGGAAAGCGATCCACTAATCGACCAACAACCGGGCTGCTGAACCGGTAAACAGAGGCGAGTGTGTAGAATAAGGAAACTTGCCTAAGGTTTCACCCCCACTCCCCGGGAATCAAAACCAGGTTCTCTCACTTGTGAGGCGAGCGCACTAACCAATACGCTACTCCACAATATAACCTGATCGCATTACAAGGCACGTTGTATTGTGAGGTAGGGGGTGAGTTGGGGGGGGGGGGGGGGAGTAATAATAATAATTGCCTGACTCAGCACAAACAGGGTTTGAGGGAGGGAGGAACGGCCCTCGTTCTGATGGCCTGGGAAGAAGGAGTTGAGTGGGAGAGACAACAACAAATTACATTTGTACAGCGAGTGCCCTTTAGGTCGGAAAGACATCCCAGGGCGCTGGACCCGAGCTGAGAATTGGGGTCAGGAGGTGTAGAGGGCAGAAGGGGTGGGGGTGAGGGTGGGGGAGAGTGGCTGAAGGCACGGTCGAAGACGCAAGCACAGGGAGGTTGGATTTCCAACCAACGAGGTTGGATGGAGGAGACAATGTAGTCGGTTGTGTTGGGGGGAGAACTATTCAAGGGACGTACCCATGCTCTCCAGGTTGTTGACCCATTTGAACAAGTCTGGTTTGAGGCCATCGATGGCCACCAGGACGGAGGTGAATTTGCGGATCTCCAGGTTGGAGCTTTTCTTCAGCACGATGTCGATGAGAGTGCGGAGCTTCAAGGGGGGGGTGCTCTGCCTCTCCACCACCTCCTGGTCGCCCTCTGACAGGAAGCGCTTCAGTTTCAGGCGGTACAACAGGAAGGAAACGTCCTCCACCCCGTTAGCGATCAGCTCCCGCTCCGAGTTCACCGCTCGCCACAGGCGGCATTTGGCCGGGTCAAAAACCACCTTATCTGGGAGATCCCAAGGCCAACGAGTCAATATAATAATAACAACAAGATTTCATTTATAGAGCGCCTTTCATGTCGGGAGGACGTCCCAAAGCGCTGGACAGTTGGGTCGGGACCCGAGCAGGGGGGAAATGGTGAGGGGAGGGAAGGGAGGGAGCGTGGAGGGGGTAGAGAGTCGAGAGGGGAGCTGAAGGCTCAGTCAAAGAGAAAGGTCTTGAGACCGGCCTTGAAGGAGGAAAGGGAGGAAGCGGCGAAGGCACTGGGGGATGGAGTTCCAGAGCCTCGGGGCTGAGAGGCTGAAGGCCACCGATGGTAGGGCGGTTGGGGCGGGGGATGTGGAACAGACCAGAGCCAGAAGAACGGAGGGTACGGGCAGGTAAGTAGGGGGATAGTAGGTCGGAGAGGTAGGAGGGAGCGAGGCCGGGAATGGCCTTGTAGGTGAGGATGAGGATCTTGCATTCGATCCTCTGGGGGATGGGGAGCCAATGGAGGTGAGCGAGGGCGAGGGTGAGGGTGGGAGTGATGTGGGCGCGGTGTCTGGTGCGGGACAGTACACGAGCTGCAGAGTTCTGAATGACCTGCAGTGTGGAGGGAGGGCCGGGAAGGCCGGCGAGGAGAGAGTTCCCATAGTCCAGCCTTGAGGTGATGAAGGCGTGGACCAGAGTTTCAGCCGCGTGAGGGGTGAGGTAGTGCCGTAGTCTGGCGATGTTCCGGAGGTGATGGAAGGCGGTGCCAGTTGTGGTGCGGATATGAGGGAGAAAGGACAGCTCAGGGTCGAACAGAACCCCGAGGTTCCTGATGGCTTTGAGAGGTGGAGAGTGCGGAGCTGATGGTGTCAGCGCCTGAGGTGCGGAGGCGCTGACGTGAGCCAATCAGGAGGGCCTCAGTTTTGCGCACGTTGAGCTGAAGAAAGTTGTCTCTCGTCCAGGACTCGATGTCGGACAGACAGCTTTCAGGACATCGGTGGTCGTGGAGTTGAGGGTAGAGGAGGAAAGGTAGAGTTGGGGGTCATCCGCATACATGTGGGAGTGAACCCCATGTCTGCGGATGATGTCACAACAGGGGGAGCATATAGAGGGTGAAGAGGAGGGGACCGAGGACAGAGCCCTGAGGGACACCGCACGAGACAGTGCGGGGGGTGGAGGAAAAGCCGTTCGTGGAAACAAAGTGAAGACGGTGGGAGAGGTACGACCTAAACCACTCAAGGACAGGACCTTGAAGGTTGAGGTGGGAGGACAAGCGGTGGAGGAGGATAGTGTGGTCAACCGTATCAAATGCTGCCGATAGGTCGAGGAGGACGAGGAGGCAGAGGGAGCCCTGCCTCAACAACAATAATAACAACAACAACAACAACATTATTGTTAATAATAATTATAACAACAATAATAATCAAATTTCATATAGAATTTGGCAAATTGGTCAAAACTTTGAAGTCTTCTTTTCCACGATTTGCCAAAGAAAATCCAGCTACAAAATAAGTCAAATTCTGCTACGTTAATACGAGTAAATCTCACTCTGGATAGAATGAGCCCTTTTTGTAGCGATGACAATAATGATCTTTGATACAACGCCTTATCGCGGCTTCCAGACGTTTCAAAGCGCTTCGCAGGATACACTGGAAAGTGAATCGACTGTATTTTGTGGGTGAAGTTTGGTGACTCAAGATGTTTCGCATCACATCTCGTTTCACCCGCAAAATATACAATCAATTCACTTTACGGTATATCCTGTGAAACGCTTTGAGACGTCTCGACAATGTGATAAGGCGCTGTATCAACGACAAGCACTGCTAATTATTATCACACACCTTGACCTTCGAACAAAGGAACTTGCTGATTACACGTGGAGATGTTTTCACAGGTTTATGACGACATTAAAGGTGCACTCAGCCCGTCAGCTGCATATCAGGGACTTTGAGCTCACAGTCTGAGCTCAGTCAGTGCAGTGCTGGGGACAAGTGGGTGGGGGAGGGAGAGCACTGCATTGTGGAGACGTTAACTAAATAATAATAAATAATCGTTGCATTTGATATAGCGCCCTATCACATCGTTGATGCCACATAGCCCAGCCAACTGCGCACAGCAGTGTCCCACAAACAGTCGTGGATTGAGTGTGGATTATTGATAATAATTGACTAACAACAAGGTTCCTACTTACTGTGAGGTATACAGAGTCAAGTGCTCTAACCAATACACTGCAGGACTCCACATCCACAATAATACACACACTGATGCACACGCCCCCACACTGATACACGCGCGCACACACATAAGGACATGTCCGATTTTTATTATAATAATAGTAGATAATGCGCCTTTTACGTCAAGAGAATGTCGGGAAATGCTTCACAGGATACGCTGTAAAGTTTAGTGACTGTGTGCTTTGTCGGTGAATGCAGGGGCAGCTCACACACAGCAATGTCCCCAAATTGTCCAATTTTATTGTCAACTCAAGTTGGGGGACACAGACCACAGACGGACCTGGGTTTAACGTCTCATCGGAAGGATGGCACCTCCGACAATGCAGCGTTCCCTCAGTCCTGCTACAATGACCGGGGACTTGAAACCACAACCTTCTGACTCTGGAGGTGAGAAAGCGACGGACTGTGGAGCTCACAGGGGAAGATTTGTGGGAATCATAAACCAGCGGCAACTGAAGCTACATTAACATATTAATTCCTTCAAAAAATAATATTTTTTTTACCTGTGCCTTGCATTTCTGTGGAAGATTTTTTCCTGGCTCCGTGTCGCTCTGAGCCTCTGAAATACAAAAGTACATGAACATATTAATTCCTTCAAAAAAAATAATAATAATTTGGTCACTCATTTCACAACTGTTTGTGGCATTGCTGTGCGCAATTGGCTGCCGCGTTCGCCCATAAATATACAGTCAATTCACTTTACAGTGTGTTCTGTGAAGCGCTTTGGGATGTCCTCCCGACGTGAAAAGCGCTATATCAAATGCAATTATTATTATTATACACCCACACACATATGTTCACTTAGATACTTACACACACACACAAATGACAAACAAGTACGCACACCGATGTTAACCATTGCGTGTACACATACACACACAAAAAGACATTGTTTTTAAAAAAAATCCTTGCATTTGACACAGCGTCTTTCACGTCAGGGGGTCGTCTCAAAGCGCTTCGGAAGGTTCGCTGTATAGTGCAGTGACTGTTCAGAATTCTACAGCGCTGAAGCCGTGAATGAGCCGCTTTGCGACCCCACCCCACCCTGCGTGTAGGGCCCAGTGCAAACTCAAGTTGTTGTCGTTTGCAGTACTTACTGTTGGCTGTTTGGAGCGGAGCGGGATTCCTCACGCTGGGCGGGGAGCGAGAAAGAGGGAACAATAACAGGTACTTTTACAAAACGTTCACCAATTCATCCCACGTAAGAAGTTTCCAAACGGCCACCACCCCACAAGGAAAATACACCGTTTCCCCGTTAACGTAACACACTTTGCCAAATGTTAGACCTCCCGAGCCCTCCCCCACCCTCCCCAAAGATGTCCCTCTCCCTCCCCCTCTCCAAACCACACGCACACTTCACAAAACCGAGGATTTGGAACCTTCTGGAAGTATAACAGACCGTGTTTTTCTTGTCTGATTTGGAGGTTGAGATCTTGCTTTTTGGTCTCTGGTCCACTTCTCGCTCTTGTGCCCCATCTACAACAACAACAACTTGCATTTACACAGCGTTTCGAAGAGCTTAACGGTGATGGAGCCTGACATCCAGCTGGGGGTGGGGGGGTGACTGAGGGAGGAAGTGACCATCAGCACAGTCTTTAGTCATGATCTAAAAGTGGGGGAAGGAGAGAGGGGGCAAGGCGGAGGGATGGGGGGAAAGAACTTCAAAGCTTCGGGGCGTAGTGGGCTGAAAGTGCGGCCGTCGATGGTGGAGCGGAGGGGACGAGGAACAAGCAGGAGGCCAGAACCACACACTACAAGAATCATTTTGGGGCCTCAGTAGAACATCAACCTGCACCTTATGTCAAAACACCTTCACCTGGGAGTCACTGAACTGTGTAGTGACTGTTACGCTGGCCAGACCCGACAACTGAAACCCCTCCCCTTCTCGGAGACCAACACTTGGAGCGAAAGCTCATTGGGCAGGAATGACATTGGGGGTGGGGTTACCACTGGCTCCGACCCTGAAACCCCCTCCCAAAAAAATAATAATAATAATCCTTGGATTTGAGATCGCGTCTCACCACGTCTTCGAGACATCTCAAAGCACTTCAGGAAGAAGTAGATCGAGATGACTCCTGGGAAGGAAGTTAAAGGGGGGAAAGAAAGCGTCGACGGCAACTGCGAGGGAGAAAGATCACAAGAGGGAAAGTGAAATAGTTTCTTCCTGTTCTGTCCCCCCATCCCCGTCACCGCACTGACTCACCGGAACCCTGTAGGTCTGTATCCTTCATGTTGTCCATCAGGTTTTGCCACACCGCCTGCGATTGTAAAGAGGAGAGACTGTGAGATGTCGGAGACTGGGGATGGGGATAAGGTGGGGGTGGGGGGTAGGGGTAACGAGACGGACCGACACTGAACACTCTTCACTTACGAGGGGAGAAGCCGTTCTGATTTGGGAGAGAAAGATGACTGCAGCGAGCGAGTGAATAATAATAATAATATTAATAATAATCCTTGCAGTTGATATCGCGCCTCATCACGTTGTTGAGACGTCTCAAAGCGCTTCACAGCGTATACTGCAAAGTGAATTGACTGTGTAGTACGTGTGTGTGGACTGCGTTGAGAATTCCGATGAATGGTGTGAAAATGTGTGTGTTATATGGAGTCCTGTAGTGTTGTGCCTGTGTGTGTGTCTGTGTGTTTGTGTCTCTGTCTCTCTCCCCCTCCCTCCCTCTCTCTCATGGAGTCAGGCTACGTTTGAGGCTGTCACTTCTACACAAAATCTCGGACCTGAAAAGTTTAAGCTTTACCTGGAAATCTGATCCTCGCACAAGCCCGATCCCTTGTCCTCCCAAAGAATTTGACCACTTTCGGGCATCGAACACCATCTCAGGTTCTGGACGGTGTTTTTTCTGCTCTTCCCTGGACAAACAAAGAGATGGAATTGAACAGAAGAACGAGAGACAGAGAGAGAGAGAGAGAGACAGACAGACACACACACATAGGCACAATACGGTACAGGACTCCACACGCACAATAACACACACTGATGCTCGAACACAAAGACGTATTCTTTTCTTAAAATCATTTTTTAAATAATCTTCGAGAAGTCTCAAAGCTCTGCACAGAACATACTACAAAGTGACCGTATATTTTGTGGGCGAAACGCGGCAGCCAATTGCACACAGCAGCGTCCCACAAACAGCTGTGGATTGAGTGACCATTATTATTATTATTGTTATGTTTTTAAGGAATTATTACCCCTGGAAAGAGATCTGCCAATTGACTAACAATTGGGTTCCTACATATTGTTAGGGAAACAGAGACGTGTGGAGGAAGGAAACCTAAGATTTCCTAAGGTTTCGCCCCGACTCGCCCGGGAATCGAGCCCGGGCCCTTTGCTTACAAGGCAAACGCACTCCAGGCAAGAGAGTGAGAGATCAGAGAAAGAATTTGGAAATTTTTTTACCCCACCTTATATCAACCAATCGTTCTCAAGCTCTTCACGGGAATTATTATTACGTGTAGTGACTGTCTTTATGTTGTGCGACCTGTGACAGCCAATGCTTACCTCGCATCGCTCTGATCCTTTGTAGATTGAGCGCCATCTGCAAAAGTTAAACACACGACTACAGTAAAGTCCTAATAAACAACAACAAGCGTTTACACAGCATCCGCCAGGCGGGCTAGCGGCCCGGAGCCTCGACAGTGGCGGAGTCTGACCCCGAGCCGGGGGGTGAGGGGGGGAGGTGACCATAAGCACGACCAAAAAGGAAAGGTCTTTAGGCGGGATTTGAAGGAGGGGAGGGAGGGGGCGATGCGGGGGGATTGTGGGAGGGGGCGCCCCTCGTGCAAGGTGGCTTCCCTTACCTTCAAGTTTCATGCGATTCTCAATCTCCTGCATCTGTGCCTCCAGTACGGTGGCATCGCTCTCCGCAGCCTGGCACAGCTCAGTGCCACGCTTGTTGGCCATCATGGCATGTTTGGGGAAACCGGCAGAGAGGAGGCCTTTGGCACAGAAGTAGTGACCCTGGAGAAGTGTGGGGGCGGGGGGTATGGGATCATAATAATGATTATGATTATTATTCAGAAAATATCGTGAGGAAATATCCCGGCCAAGTGTATTTATTGTGGAAATTTATTCTGACAAGAATAACGGAGGAACAACAGTCCTCGTGTAAATATAGTTTTTTCCTCAATTATTTTCAGGAATCACCTGTATAGTTGCCGACTGGAATAAGGGATAATAATAATAATCCCTGCGTTTGATACAGCGCCTCATCACGTCGTTAAGACGTCTCCAAGCGTTTCACAGAATGTATTCTAAAGTATCGTGACTGTGTGTTTTGTGGGCGAAACACGGCAGCCAATTGCGCACAGCAGCGTCCCTCAAACAGCCGTGGATTAAATGACCACATTTTATTTTATATTTTTGGAGGGATTATTACCCCAGGGAAGGGATAAAGATATTTAATATTTAATTATGAATGATAGTTAAGATAAATGGATGGCTGACGAAACGAGACTGGAATCAGAAGCAATTGCTTAAGGAAATAACAGAACTCCCCACCCACCAGCCCTCTACGTTTCTTTCAAGAAAAGACAGAGAACCCACTCCGGAGTTAAGAATGTGTCAAATTCTGTTTGTTCTAAAATGCAACGTAAATCTACAGAGTGTTCACAAAGTCACGTTACCCCCCAACACCACCCATTGTCTTACAATGAATTTTTAATTTTCTGTTGCAGATGAGTTTGAGTGTAACAATGTCTGAGCCCCAGTAACGTCCTCCCCACCGACTCCATCCATGTTATGAACATGGTGACGGGTCATTATCCGCCATAAAAATGATGGCACTCACACACACACACCCGCATTCACCCTAAAACACACACACACTCACACACTCGCATTCACCCTCACACACAGATACTCACACACACACTCGTATTCACCCTCACACACACACACACTCACCCTCACACACACACACTCGCATTCACCCTCACACACACACACACACTCACACTCGCATTCACCCTCACACACACACTCACACTCACACACACACACTCGCATTCACCCTCACACACACACTCGCGTACACACACACTCGCACTTGCACACACACACTGATCCTCTGGGATCTAAATACATTTAAACACTTGTACTGAATACAACGGAGTAACTTCTCAATACAATGATCATCGTTCTCCCACGTGTTTCAGTTGTGGGTCAGTGCAGTGTAGAAAAATAACATGGGGGGTAACAGGACTTTGTGGACACCCTGTACATTGCCCAAACAGCCTTGAAGTGAATTGTTTGTGAACAAGTTTGTGAAACAGGAAAGGAGGAGGAAGGGATTTTACACACACACAATACACACACACACACAAACACATGCACACAAAGAGACGCACACAGAGACAAAGGGGACAAAAGGGAAATATAGTAATTCCTAAAAATAGCGAGAGGCTTGACTGAAATAAAATATCTCCAACCTTAAAATAATCTGGTTTTAACAGCGCTGCCCTGATTCCATCCAGCACCGCCATTCTGAAAAATAAATGCACAAGTTTGGAGGTTGGATTGTCGCTGTGTGGAGAGGACCACATGACTTCAGATGAACCGTGAACTGAACAATAATCCCGGCATTGGCTGCAATGCCAGTTTTTGGCCTTCAGGTCTCAGTTCCGGCGCAAATGACATTCATGATGATCACAAGATTGGTTTGGGTACAAATGGGCCTCCCGCCCATTTTATCTGAACCTTCCAGAAGAGCAGTAAATTCAGGGAGTAGAAACGTTATGGTACAGGCTCCCTGGGCAGACGGTGGGAGCAGAAAATGTCATCTGGTTCAAAAACAGATAGATTTCGGCTAGAAAATGATACCTGGGGAGACAGTATATAGTTTGGCGACACAACATGTCAAGCGACTGGCAGGATGGTGGAAGGCGAACTGGGTGGACCTGGGCCTTCTTTCACCCTCAAATTCTTATGTTCTTATAAACACGCGCCCTCCCATCATAGCACTTCTTCAATGCAGTTTAAACGGAGTCCTGTCGAGCAGTTGTTAATGTTTTTGGCCGCCCCCACAGGCTTCTCAGGAACAAAGAGGAGGAGAAACAGTGGTACAATTTGGGGATTGCGTTTGGAGACCTCCGCCATCACCCTCTCACCCCCCCCCCCACCACCGCCGCTGACAGTGTCTGGAGAAGGGAATTGAGTCTCTCACCTGTCTTCGTTCACCTGCAGGTGGCAATAAGCTCTTCGGCAGTACAAGTAATAGTTGTACGGGCTGCAAACGAAACACGGGAGAAATTCAACCAGAGTTTTTGTCGTTTCAGAGAAACGCAGCGCGTTCCTCCCAGTTCAAGGTGTTTTGGGTGGTCTTTAGCCGCCCCTCCCCCTCCCACCCCACTTCCCCCACTCGGCTCCCACCCCCAGCCAGGCCCGCAAAGCGCTTTGGGGACATCCTCCCGGAGTGAAAGGCGCTGTGTAAATGTCGGGTTGATTCGCAGTCAAAATGAAGTCAAAATGACTTGAGGACACGAGGCAACACTAGGCTTCTCACCCCAGCCTACGCGGCTGGAAATCACCGACTCATCACAAGTCTCTGCTGGTGTCCAACGCTCAGGTGCGATCACTACCTTATTTCGATGGCTTTGCCGTAAGTGATGATGGCACCTTTGAAGTCGTTGATGTTGACCTCGTCCTCGCCTTTCGTCTCCAGAGCACCGATTTTCTAAAGTTAAACGAAAAAGAGAAGAAGAAAAAAACCACACACCGTGAAGAGATCAGCTGATTCAGTCCAGACTGGGAACCCCACCAGCCCAGGTCCTCACTGGCCAACATCACCAATCCATTGCGGGTAAGAGTTGGGGAAAGAGGGGACAACAACAACTTGCATTCACCCAGTGCCCTTCACGAGGGGCAGTGTCCCAGAGTGCATGACAGTAGCGGAGCACAACGAGTCGGTGGGGAGAGGGAGGTGACTGTAAGTCGGTCGAAGAGAAAAGTCTTCAGGCGAGACCTGAAGGTAGGGAAGGATGGGGGAAGGCGGAGGGTTAGAGGGAGAGTGTTCCTGAGTGTTTTAGGACAGGAACGGAAAGCCGGGTTTAAGTAACGTACCCCATTGTTTATTTCGCGTTCCTTTTCAAAGCCACTTAGTACGGTCTCGCCCTCAACTGCAAATCTCTCTATGTAACCTGCAACTAAACAGAGCAAGGGGAGAACAAGTAAGAATAATAATAAACAATAATAAATTGGTCATTTTCAATCCACGACTGTTTGTGGGACATTGCTGTGCGCAATTGGCTGTCACGTTCGCCCACAAATATACAGTCAATTCACTTTACAGTGTGTTCTGTGAAGCGCTTTGGGACGTCGAGAAGACGTGAAAAGCGCTATATCAAATGCAAGGATTATTATTATTATTATTATAAGAACACGAACTGCGTTGACTGTGTATTTTGTGGGCAAGTCTCCAAACCTAACTGAGAATTCCAGGTATCCCACCTACACATGGAATTTCCATTAGTGGAATGGAATGCTCTCTCTCTCTCGCTCTCTGGAGGGATGTTTCCTGCTTACCTAACTCCGGAGAGTATTAGGTGCAGGTTGGCAAGAGCCAAGGTTTGTGGGGGGGGAGCCCAGAGTTTGTGCTTTGGGGTAACTGCTGGAGTCTAACCAGCTAAAACTACATAGGTTGCCATTGGTATTGCTGTCTGGCCGGCTTTCCTGCTGCTTGTCCAGCTCGGACCATCCTACCCGTGAGGGCTTTTGTTTGCAGGGTTAACAGTTGCTGAGTGGAAGGATTCCCTCTGTGCACTGATGACAATGGGGTTCAACGAACATTAAACACTAAGAAGAGCTCAGAGAAAAATAAAGGCCTTGGACCCAATTTATGTGGAACAAATCCCAGAAGAGAACTCACATTGAGCTAGGAGTATAGTAAGAGCTGTGTTCCTCTGCAGGTCTATCCATTCAGGAGCGATATCGTCAGTGAGCACTCGCTCCAGCAAAGGCATGATTGTATCGATGATGTCCATCAGATCAGTGTCATCCTGGCGGAGAAACGAAGAAAGAAGAAATCTGAATCCTATTCAGTGTAGAGACGGCCAATAGGCACTTGGTTTAAGGTATCTGTGTTTTCAGGGCAATTCAGGTGTCAGTCTGGCTCAGTGACTTGCACTCTTGCTTCTGAGTCAGAGGATGCAAGTTCAAGCCCCACGCCAGGACTTTGAGCTCACATAGTCTGGGCTGATGTTCCAATGCAGCGCTGGGGGTGTGCTGCAATGATGGGAGTTGCCGTCCTTCGGATGATCCATTAACCTAAGGTCCGATCTGCCCATCAAACACACACACACATACGCAAACACAAACACCCACACACACAAACGCACACTTATGCAAACACTCACTTATGCAAACACACACACATACGCAAACACACACACGCGCGCAAACACACATACGCAAACACACACACGCAAAAACATATACATACGCAAACACACACACACGCAAAAACACGCAAACACACACACAATCTCTCACCTTCACTTGTTCAAAGCTCTTCAGAAGATCAGTGACAAAGGCACTTTGGTTCTGAAAGAGAAATAAGAACCAGAGAAGTGAGTGACATTACATTGTAACTGCGATGACTTGCGAGTGTCAGTTAGTAACACTTCAATCTTATCGGCTTCTTCCTCCTTATCTCGGTGATCTGCCAACCCCCGACCAACCTGTCCGCTGCCTCCGCTCAGCGGGCTCCAGCCTGCTCCACGTCCCCCACATCCAACAGGGCCCAGCCCACCATCAGCCTCTCTGCCCCCACCCGCTGGAACTCCATCCCACAGTCCCTCGGCCTCGCTCCTTACCTCGCCTCCTTCAAGGCCCATCTCAAGACTGTGCTTTCGATCACCCTGCTTCCCTCCTGCCCTCCACCCTCCCCAATCCCGACCCCCTGGCTCGGGTGCGGATCCCTGACTGTCCAGCACCTTGGGACGTCCTCCTGACATGAAAGGCGCTGCGTAAATGTCATGTGTTGTTTGTGATTTTGTGGAACCACATTTCAGTGGCAGAACAAAAAACATGCAGTCGTGGTGCCCCTAATCCAATCTCCCCCCCCAATCTTCCCGTCCCCAATGTGACCCCCCAATCTGCTGTAAAGTGCCTCTCTCAGTTTCGTCACCAATGGAGGTTCCATCCCCTGTGAGGCCTGACAGCCATGACGGGACGTCACGATCTTACGCATTTTTTCTTTGTCTCTGCGAACAGGATCCACAGGATGTCCATCGTCTTGATCACAGATATATCCAGCGTCTCCGCTTTGAGGTGCCTGCGGAATGTGAAGGGATCAGACAACTGGGTTTAGATAAAAGACTGTTTGGCAGTGAGTTAAACAGAAGCAAAAAGACCGGGTACCCCAAAATACAGTATCACTTCAGCCGGAAATTCCGGTTCACCGATCGGATCTTCATCCCCTCTCCCCCCTGTAATAATTCCGGCTCACCAGGGTTTTAGTGTGCGTGCAGTAATAATAATCACTTTAGCTGCCCTTATCACACCCTCAAAATGTCTCACAGCTCAGCGCGGGAGTTACTGGAAAGGACGGTGACTATGTCTTCTTGTAGGGGAATCTGGCAGCCAGACTGCACACAGCAACGCCTCACAAACAAGCACAAGGTAAATGACCAACTTTAGAAAGATAGGAACAGGAGGCCATTCAGCCCTTCCAGCCCGTTCTACCGTTTTTTAAGAACATGGCTGATCTGTACCCCCAATTACCCGCCTTTGCCCCATATCCCGTGATCCCCTGAACTCAGAAACACCTCTCCAGCTCAGCCTTGAAAATGTGAATGGATCCAGCCATAATCCACAGCCTTTTGGGGAAAGAGAGTTCCAGATTTCCACTAGTCTTTGGGTGAAAAGGGGTGAGTGGGGGAGGTGGGTGGGGGGGGGTTAGGGAGAGAGGGAAAGATTTTCAACCGAAACACCGCTTGAGAATATCCAATTTTTATATTTGATAATAAGAATCCTTGATTTGATACAGCGCCTGATCACAACTTTGAGAGGTCTCAAAGCGCTTCACAGGATACACTGTAAAGTGGAGTGACTGTGTATTTGTGGGCGAAACAGAAGTTAGTGCCCGGTGTGTGTGTGCAATCACTTACGCTGTTTTACTCAGCAACGCCCCTTCTTGTGCCCACAGTAGGTACTTATTCGGCTCATGTCGTTGGCTGAAGAGCAGCTCCTTAAACACGCCGACAAACACCATGTGGCAGTGACGCAGGTAGTTCTCCTGCTTCAGTGTGCACCACTCCAGAGCCATGGCTTCTGCCGACACGAGAGGAAAGGGTTAAAGATGGACACGGATTCACGCTTACTTTTTGCCGTTTCACTGACACTCAACAACAACAACTTGCATTTACACAGCGCCCCTCACTCACGCAGGGGAGTGTCCCAGAGCGCTTGACAGTGGCGGAGCACGGCTCCGAGCCGGGGGGAGGGGGAGGTGACCGTGGGCACGGGCGAATAGGGAGGTCTTCAGGCGCGACCTGAAAATGGGGAAGGAAGAAGGGCAAGGGATCGAGGGATCCCGCGGTGCTGTTCATAAAGAGAAGGGAGTTTCTCTCTCTCTCTCCCCCAGTTTCTTGGCTGATAATCCCCCAAATAATATTGGTCACTCACTCCACGACTGTTTGTGGGACGCTGCTGTGCGCAATTGGCTGCCGCCTTTCATTCACAATACACACAGTCACTCCAGTATATTCTGTGAAGCGCTTTGAGATGTCTCGAAGACGTGATAAGGCGCTGTGATCAAATGCGCGGATATTAAATAATCTGAATGAGCAGAAGGGCCATTGATTTATCTCTTTCAACAATGCATCTCCCCAAATTGGGGCATGAACCCAAAACATTCTGCCCCAGAGGGAGGAAAGTGACCCACTGAGCCAGACTGACAGAGGTAGAAGGGGAAAAAAAATCCCTCCACCTCCCTATCTTTCTGACCTGTGTTCTCCCCACTCCCACCACTCTCTGCCTCCGGCCTCCTGCTCGTGCCTCGTCCCCTCCACCATCAGCGGCCGCGCTTTCAGCCACTGCGCCCCAAAGCTAGAACTCTCTTCCCCCAATCCCTCTGCCTTGCCCCCTCTTTTAGCTCACGACTGAAGCCTTTCCTCTTCAACCGTGCTCAGGGTCCCCCCTTGCCCGCTTCGGCTCGGTGTCAGCCTCCGCCACTGTCACGTGCTCCGAGACGCTGCCCAGTGTGAAGGCCACTGCGTAAATAGTTGTTGTTAAAACATGAATCTATTTATTTATTTGAAAATGCTTCTCTGTGTTACCGGAAAGCAACAAAGGAATGTACCACAAAGTCAATCACGGGAGGAAACCGAGTTACAACAACAAAGTCCTGAGTAGGACATACATTCTATACACATATATAAACATAGAAATAAAGAGAACAACTTAAGTTTTTCCAAAAAAAAACTTTTCTGTCAATCGCTTCGCAAAAAAAAGACACATCTTTTTGGGTGTGAACTCTTCCTGGGGTTTGTTTGCTCCCAAAAGATAAAACTGTCCACATGCTGCCAACTTGTGTTAAAAGGAAAGATTAGAAGACAATTTATTTTGCAATAAAATGCATCTTTTTTTTCCCCTTCTCTCCCCCCTCCCCCACACCTACAGTGTGTAGTAACTGGATCAGTGGCCACCACAGCACTGCAACAGGAAATAGGTTTGTGGTCTCACAAGAGAGAGAGAGAGAGAGAGAAAAGGGTTTGAAATGTTCTGTAATAAAACGTGAAAGACACGAATTAGAGAGAGAAAGAGGAGAGAGAGAGGGAGAGAGAGAGGGAATAAGAGAGAGAGGGAGAGAAAGAGAGAGAGAGGGAAAGAGGGAGAGAGGGAATGAGAGAGAGAGAGAGGGAATGAGAGAGAGAGGGAGAGAGGGAATGAGAGAGAGAGAGGGAGAGAGGGAATGAGAGAGAGAGGGAAAGAGAGAGAAGGAAAGAAAGAGAGAGGAGGGAAAGAAGGAAAAAGACGAGAGAGAAGGGAGAGAGAGAAGAAAAACGAGGGGGAGAGAGAGCGAAGGAAAAAGAGGGGAAAAAAGAGGTAAAGGAGAGAAAGGAGGGTACAGAGAAGGGGGAAAAAGAGGAAAGGGAGGAGGGAGAGAAGGAAAAGGGAGAGAGAGAGAGAGAGAGAGAGAAATGATCACATTGTTACTGACTCGTTGGCAACAAAGTATCCGCGGATTGTTACACAAACATCGCGGGGCCTTTCATGGTTCACAGTCACTTACCCGGTGTCCGGCGCTGAGAGCCCACAGTGTGTGACTGAGACAGAGCACAACACACACACACACAGGATATCAGCCCTATACACACACACACACACAGGATATCAGCACTACACACACACACACACACACAGGATATCAGCCCTATACACACACACACACACAGGATATCAGCCCTATACACACACACACACACAGGATATCAGCACTACACACACACACACACACACACAGGATATCAGCACTACACACACACACACACACAGGATATCAGCCCTATACACACACACACACACAGGATATCAGCCCTACACACACACACACAGGATATCAGCACTACACACACACACACACACACAGGATATCAGCACTACACACACACACAGGATATCAGCACTACACACACACACACAGGATATCAGCACTACACACACACACACACACAGGATATCAGCACTACACACACACACACACACAGGATATCAGCACTACACACACACACACACAGGATATCAGCACTACACACACACACACACACAGGATATCAGCCCTACACACACACACACAGGATATCAGCACTACACACACACACACACAGGATATCAGCACTACACACACACACACACACAGGATATCAGCACTACAACAACAACAATATTCCTTGGATTTGATAGAGCACTTTTCACATCTTCTCGATGTCCCAAAGCGCTTCACAGAATATACTGTAAAGTGAATTGACTGTATATCTGTGGGGGAACGCGGCAGCCAATTGCGCACAGCAATGTTCCACAAACAGCTGTGGATTGAAAATGACCAATTTATTATTGTTTTGGAGGGACTATTATTATACACACAAACAGGATATCAGCCCTATACACACACACACAGCCCAGTATTGGGCTCAGCCCCAGTAAAACAGAACTTCCTCATTTGGTACTGTTTAAAGCCCTGAAATTAACACTTTGTGTATCTCTGTCTGTCTCTATCTATACTGTATCTCTCTGTTTCTCTGACTGTGTGTTTGTCTGTGTGTCTTGCAGTATTTTAATAATAATGCTTACTTTTGATCATAGAATCCTAGAATCTTACAGCGCAGAAGGAGGCCATTCGGCCCATCGTGCCTATGTCGGCTCTTTGAAAGAGCTACTAAACTACTCTTTGCCTATAGCCCTGCAATTTTTTAAAATCTATCCAATTCCCTTTTGGAATATGTTACAAGTTTAATGTTGAATACCAGGCTTAATGGGGCAGATCTTTGCTCTGACTGAAGTGGAGCCACTGAACATCGCAGAATCAAAGAATACAGCACAGAAGGAGGCCATTCGGCCCATTGTGTCTGTGCCGCTCTTTGAAAAGAGTTTCCAATTCAATCCCATTCCCCCGCGCTCTCATAGCCCTGCAAACGTGCCTCCCCAAATAAGTATCTACTCTCTTAAAAGTTGATATCAAATCGGCTTCCACCACCCTTTCAGGCAATGTATTCCAGATCCCAACAACTCGCCGTGTGGAGATATAGCAACTTATCAATTGCTTCTTAAATTCATTGCCATTTAACAGAATCAAATATTGCTCATAGACTGCACTAGTGATGACAGCCTCCTTCGCCTACGATTCAGACATTTGTGGGTTCAAGCTCTCCCCTCTCTCCCCCTCTCTACGTTGAGGACTTTGAGCTCACAGTCCAGGCTGATGCTCTGGTTCATTGGTGAGGAGAATCATTGCTTTGTCGGATGTTAAACCACAGCGCTGTTCGAAACCAGAAGGAGTTTCTTCTTTCCTGGTGTCCTGGCCAACAATTCCCCAAATAAAATCACTTACTTCAGGCTGATTGCAGTGTGCAAGTTGGCTGCTGCACCGGCCTGCAAAATGCAGTCAATATATTATGCAGGAATTCTTGCAGACGTGCCTTGAGACACGTGATATAGACTCTATAAAAGTGCATTGATTGTAATTATTTATTACATCTACACTTTCAGTTGTTAAGTCTTTCGTTTGTTCCATTAATTTCTCCCCTCCTCACCTGGTGACTGGCTTTTCTTTCTATGCTTCTATAATATATATATTAATAATAATCCTTCAATTTGATATAGCAACTTACCACATCTTTCAGACGTCTCAAAGCACTTCACAAAACATACCATAAACTGTGTATTTTGTGGGTGAAATGCGGCAGCCAATTGCACACAGCAGCGTCCCGAAGTGACCAATTTATATTTTTTTAAGGAATTATTACCCCAGGAAAGTGATCCGCCAATTCACTAACAACCTGGTTCCTACTTACTGGTAGTTGAACAGAAGAGTGTGGAGTAAAGAAATTTGCCTAAGGTTTCACCCTGCTGGGAATCAAACCCAGGTCTCTCACTTGCAAGGCAAGTGCTCTAACCACTGAACTACAGGACTCCTTCTATGGGAGGGTGGGAGAGAGAGAGAGAAAGACAACTTGAACCTATATACTATCTTACACCAGGAACTAATTTTTCTCTTGAAGCTAACAATGAGGGGTTGCCTCAAATAAAATTAATCATTCACTCCATGGCTGTTTGTGGGACACTGCCATGTGCAAACCTACTGCTACGTTTCGCCTACAAAACACACAGTCACTCCACTTGCCCTATCCTGTGGGGTGCTTTGAGACATCTCGACAATGTGATATCGCGCTATGTTCAATGCAAGGATTTTTTTATTCAATTGGATTCAGATAGAGCTCTCGCCTCTGAGTTAGAAGGTTGTGGTTTCAAGCATCAGGTCCGGACTTGGAATCACTGATGCTCCAATGCCGTCCTGGGGGAGCGCTGCATTGTCAGAGGTGCCGTCCTTCGGATGAGACGTTAACCTGAGGTCCCATCTGCCTCTTCAGGTGGATGTTAAAGATCCTACGGTGCTATTCAAAAAAAAAGCGAGTTTCTCAGGTCAGCAATTCCTCCAAATAAAATTGGACACTCACTCCATGGCTGTTTGTGGGCCACTCGCTATCACTACCGACTTTCGCCCACAAATATACACAATCAATGCATTTCACAGTAAATCTGTGAAGCGCTTTGAGACATCTCGACATGATAAGGCGATAAGGGGGCAGTCCTGTTCGTGGTTAGAGCTTTGCAAGTGAGAGGACTTGGACTTCTTGAGATTGGGGCATAGTGACCTCCGATGGTGGGGCGGAGGGTACGAGGGACGAGCAGGAGCCAGTGCCAGTCGAGCGGAGGCGCCACTGGGTGGTGGATTGGGGAGTGAGGAGGTCGGAGATGCCAGGGAGTGAAGGGATTTGAATATGAGAGTGAGAGGATCTTGAAGTCGATCCGTTGGGTGATGGGGCGCCAGTGGAGCCTGGGCCAGAGCTGGGGAGGTGTGGGGACGGAGTTTGGTTGGGGTCAGTATGTGGGCGGCAGAGTCTGAATGAGCTGATCTTGTGAATGGTGGAGCCGGGGAGACCGGCGAGGAGGGGGTTGGAGTAATCCAGGCGGGAGGTGACAAACACACGCACCAGGGTTTCAGCTACATTTGGGGTAATGTTCGGTTGGAGGCGGGAAATGTGGGGGAGGTGGAGGAAGGAGGTCCTGGTCAAGGACCATATGTGGGGGAGGAAGGACAGCTGAGGATTTGATTTCCAGCAGGGTGAAATATGGGCAAGTTTCTTTTCTCCGCACACACGCCTCTGTTTACCAGCAGTCATTAGGAACCCGGTTGTTAGTCGATTAGTGGATCGCTTTCTGGGGGTAACAATAATTTCAAAATTGTTTTTTTTTAAAAAAATAATTTGGTGACTTAATCCACGACTGTTTGTGGGGATGTCGCTCTGCGCAAATTGGCTGCCGCGTTCCGCCCACAAAATATACAGTCACTCCACTTTACAGTGTATCCTGCGAAGCACTTGGAGACGTCTCGACGACGTGATAAGGCGCTGTGTCAAATACAAGGATTGTTATTATTATTATTATTAATAATATCACCAATAATCATTATTATTAATAATAATCATCAATCTTATTCATTATTACTGTTATGGTGATGGTGATGGGCAGAGCTGGTGATGGGCAGAGCTGGTGATGGTGATGGGCAGAGCTGGTGATGGTGATGGGCAGAGCTGGTGGTGGTGATGGGCAGAGCTGGTGATGGTGATGGGCAGAGCTGGTGGTGGTGATGGGCAGAGCTGGTGGTGGTGATGGGCAGAGCTGGTGGTGGTGATGGGCAGAGCTGGTGGTGGTGATGGGCAGAGCTGGTGGTGGTGATGGGCAGAGCTGGTGATGGGCAGAGCTGGTGGTGGTGATGGGCAGAGCTGGTGGTGGGCAGAGCTGGTGGTGGTGATGGGCAGAGCTGGTGGTGGGCAGAGCTGGTGATGGGCAGAGCTGGTGATGGGCAGAGCTGGTGGTGGTGATGGGCAGAGCTGGTGGTGGTGATGGGCAGAGCTGGTGGTGGGCAGAGCTGGTGGTGGTGATGGGCAGAGCTGGTGGTGGTGATGGACAGAGCAGGTGGTGGTGATGGGCAGAGCTGGTGGTGGTGATGGGCAGAGCTGGTGGTGGTGATGGGCAGAGCTGGTGGTGGGCAGAGCTGGTGGTGGTGATGGGCAGAGCTGGTGATGGGCAGAGCTGGTGGTGGTGATGGGCAGAGCAGGTGGTGGTGATGGGCAGAGCTGGTGGTGGTGATGGGCAGAGCTGGTGGTGGTGATGGGCAGAGCAGGTGGTGGTGATGGGCAGAGCAGGTGGTGGTGGTGGGCAGAGCTGGTGATGGTGATGGGCAGAGCTGGTGGTGGTGATGGGCAGAGATGGTGATGGGCAGAGCTGGTGGTGGTGATGGGCAGAGCTGGTGGTGGGCAGAGCTGGTGGTGGTGATGGGCAGAGCTGGTGATGGGCAGAGCAGGTGGTGGTGATGGGCAGAGCAGGTGGTGGTGATGGGCAGAGATGCCATGTGCACATCCGAGGCGACAGGGGGCGCTGCGCCTGGAGAAGGGGGAGGAAATCTCATCGCTCGTCTTAAAGGCGAAGGACGCAACCGACCTGTCAGCACCGAGCGCTCGCCTCGTCACCCGCCCCCTCTCCTTTAAGGCTGTTGGCCGACGGTTAATGTGGAGGCAGACACAGGGCCGAGCGATGGGCAAACAGAAGGCGGCCTTCCACTGTGAGCTCTGTAGGAGGACCTTCTTCTCGGGCCGAGGCCATGTTTATGGCCTGAAACACCAGGAGACCCTGAGGAACATCCTGGACAACTTCCTGGAGAAGGTATCAACCCAAAGCCCCTCAACCCCGAACCCCAAACCCGAACCCCACCTCAACCCCCACCTCAACCCCGAACCCCACCTCAACCCGAACCCCCACCTCAACCCCGAACCCCACCTCAACCCGAACCCCCACCTCAACCCGAACCCCCACCTCAACCCCGAACCCCACCTCAACCCCGAACCCCACCTCAACCCGAACCCCACCTCAACCCCCACCTCAACCCCGAACCCCACCTCAACCCCCACCTCAACCCCGAACCCCCACCTCAACCCCGAATCCCCACCTCAACCCCCACCTCAACCCCGAACCCCACCTCAACCCCCACCTCAACCCCGAACCCCCACCTCAACCCGAACCCCCACCTCAACCCGAACCCCACCTCAACCCGAACCCCACCTCAACCCCGAACCCCACCTCAACCCCCCAACCCCCACCTCAACCCCGAACCCCACCTCAACCCCCACCTCAACCCGAACCCCCACCTCAACCCGAACCCCCACCTCAACCCCGAACCCCACCTCAACCCCGAACCCCCACCTCAACCCCGAACCCCACCTCAACCCGAACCCCCACCTCAACCCCGAACCCCCACCTCAACCCGAACCCCCACCTCAACCCGAACCCCCACCTCAACCCCGAACCCCACCTCAACCCCGAACCCCACCTCAACCCCGAACCCCCACCTCAACCCCGAACCCCCACCTCAACCCCGAACCCCCACCTCAACCCGAACCCCACCTCAACCCCGAACCCCACCTCAACCCCGAACCCCACCTCAACCCGAACCCCCACCTCAACCCGAACCCCCACCTCAACCCCGAACCCCACCTCAACCCCGAACCCCACCTCAACCCCAAACCCCACCTCAACCCCCACCTCAACCCGAACCCCCACCTCAACCCGAACCCCACCTCAACCCGAACCCCCACCTCAACCCCCACCTCAACCCCCACCTCAACCCCGAACCCCCCCACCTCAACCCCGAACCCCCACCTCAACCCCGAACCCCCACCTCAACCCCGAACCCCACCTCAACCCCGAACCCCCACCTCAACCCCGAACCCCCACCTCAACCCCCACCTCAACCCCGAACCCCACCTCAACGCCCACCTCAACCCCGAACCCCCACCTCAACCCCCACCTCAACCCTGAACCCCACCTCAACCCCGAACCCCCACCTCAACCCGAACCCCACCTCAACCCGAACCCCACCTCAACCCGAACCCCACCTCAACCCGAACCCCACCTCAACCCCGAACCCCACCTCAACCCCGAACCCCCACCTCAACCCGAACCCCCACCTCAACCCGAACCCCACCTCAACCCCGAACCCCACCTCAACCCCCACCTCAACCCCGAACCCCACCTCAACCCCGAACCCCACCTCAACCCGAACCCCCACCTCAACCCGAACCCCACCTCAACCCGAACCCCCACCTCAACCCCCACCTCAACCCCCACCTCAACCCCCACCTCAACCCCGAACCCCCACCTCAACCCCCACCTCAACCCCGAACCCCCACCTCAACCCCGAACCCCCACCTCAACCCCGAACCCCCACCTCAACCCCGAACCCCCACCTCAACCCCACCTCAACCCCGAACCCCCACCTCAACCCCGAACCCCCACCTCAACCCCGAACCCCCACCTCAACCCGAACCCCCACCTCAACCCGAACCCCCACCTCAACCCCGAACCCCCACCTCAACCCCGAACCCCCACCTCAACCCCGAACCCCATCTCAACCCCGAATCCCCACCTCAACCCCCACCTCAACTCTGACCCCCACCTCAACCCTGAACCTCTATCACTGAACCCCCACTTCACCCACATCCTCCTCCCCCCACCTTAGAAGTTAATTGGCTTTATCATTAATAATAATAATCATTGCATTTGATACAGCGCCTTATCACGTTGTTGAGACGGCTCAAAGCGCTCAGGGACGCTATCCCTGCGTGAAGGGCACTATATAAATGTAAGTTGTTGCAGTTGTTGCTGAGAAGTCTCAGAAATAATAACAATAATTTGGTCACTTCAACCCACGGCTGTGTGTGTGACGCTGCTGTGTGCGTTTGGCTGCAGCGTTTTGCCCACAACATACACAGTCACTACACTTTACAGTATATCCTGTGAAGCGCTTTGAGACGACGACTCGACGATGTGTTAAGGCGCTGTATCAAATGCGAGGATTATTATTATGAAGCGCTTCACAGGATATATTGTAAAGTGTAGTGACTGTGTATTTCTTTGGCGAAACGCGGAAAATATTTGCTTTTTGACTCTATCAGACGTTTTGTCAAATGTAAGGATTATTACAGTAAAACTCACGTGGGTTCTGATAAATACATAATTAAATCTATCAATCAATCAAAGAAATGATAGATAAACAAATGGTATAATTGCCTAAGTCGTACATCTGCCCAAGTCCCATTCAAGAGTCTATATCCTGAGCAAGTTTGACATAACAACAACAACAAATTACGTGTATGTAGCGCCTTTCACATCAGGAGACCGTACCAAGGTGTGGATAATACTTTGGACAAGTCGTGTTAAATGTAAGGTCCCAACTGATACAACTAATGTGAAGTTCACTGTATTATATTATCTTACGTGAGGATGCAATATAATAATCATCATGATCGGCGTCATTGTTCGGAGGCTGGTTAACCGGTTGGACGCTGTTTGGGGTTCCCCAGGTGCGAGACGCCCGCAAGGTTCTGAAAGAGGCCCGAGTGGAGAGGTATGACTTCACTGAGCACGATCAGAACTTCTGGTGTTACTGCTGCAAGACGGAGGTGAAGAAACACGTGACGAACGGGAACATCGCTGTGGTGTACGGGGGATTCCTCGAGCACTTCGAGAGGTAATTTGAGACACGACAAGTGTGGTCACAGTCTTAAGATATCTACCAAAAGAAGCAGAGGGGAGGTTAGAAGAAATGTTTTCACTCAGTGAGTTGTTGGAATTTGGAATGATCCGCCTGAAAGGGCAGTGAAGTCCGATTCGATAACAGCTTTTAAGAGAGAACTAGTATCGGGGGAAGACGGGTTTGCAGGGTTATGGGGAGAAAGCTGGTGATTGGGGTTAGTGAAAGTGACGCTCTGTCAAAGAGCCGCACAGACTCGATGGGCCGAATGGCCTCCTTCTGTGCCGTAACATTCTATGAATCTATGAATATAAAACTTTCTCTCCCTTTCCCGCCCCACCATACAAACATCTGAGGAAGATAGTCTACAGCTTAGATTTATTTCCATCTGAGTCTTACTTTCAGCCACTACGCGCTGAAACTCTGGAACACTCTTCCTCAATCCCTCAGTTTTGCCCCCTTCCTTCCCCACCTTCAGGTCGTGTTCGAAGACCTTCCTCTTCGACCGAGTCTATGGACACCTCCCCCCGCTCGGCATCGTGCTTCGTCAGTGTCAAGTGCTCTGGGACGCTACCCTGCATGAGGGGCCCTGTGTAAATGCAAGTTGTTGTTGTATGGCTTGGAAGAACTAGGCAACTGTGGATCTCAGCTTCCCAAAGCTTTCCTCTGTGATGGTAGACTGTTCCACACAGAATTCGTTGCTATCAATATTTCCATTATTGTAGTATGTGACAGTAGAATGTGAGCGAGATGGACCTGGGTCTTCTTAATTTAGCGATTCCTATGGAACTGGAGCAACAAAAACCTGCATTTACACAGCGCCCTAGGCTAGACTTGTTAGGAAGAACCTCTGAGGAGCTTTTAACACTGATCTCTGCTTGTTTTTTGGGGGACAGCTCTGAACACAAGAAAAAGACCAGTGCGTTTTGGTGGGAAAACAAAGCAAACATCAAATTGAAGGACCAGTTTTCTCTCTCTCCAGAGGATTATGAGAAGTACGTGTTAGCAATGTGTGATCGAAGCTATAACCCAAGCTAATACCAATAAAGGGAACAGCTCATTCAATGCACTGATCAATCCAAATGATTATTTTCTAAAGACATTAAAAAAAATACTTCCATAAATATCGTATTTACATCCAACTTTGATCCTGAATCTTTCTCCCAGATTATTTGAGCTCAAAGTCCTGACGTGGGGAGGGGTTTGGGTGGGAGGGGGGCTCGAACCCAGAGACGAGACCGCTGGCCCGACTAAGCCAGGCTGACTCAGAGGACCAATGGAAGGGGAGGCAGAGGTGATGAGCAAAGATATTTTTCTCTCGGCAGATGAGTTTTAAACCCATTTGTCTGTTTTGTGTGTTGAGGTTCAAAGCTGCTGTGACAAAAGCTCTGGAAAGCTATGAGGAGAAAGAAGATGAATATATTAAGGAGGTGAGTGCTGACCAGTTGAATCTGTGCCGGAGAATTAAAACAGAGAGCTTGAGTGTGCCGTGCTTCCAGATGTCCGGTGTTTATCTGGAGTCCTGTGGAGTCCCCTAGAGCATTTGTTAAAACACTCATCTCACAAGTGAGAGGTCCTGGGTACAATTCCTGGAGCGGCAAAATCTTAGAGAAGTTTCCTCACTCCATACCCTCTGTTTATATCCAGCAGTGAGTAGGAACCTGGTTGTTAATCGATTGGCAAATCGCTCTCTGGGGAAATTGGTTTGTGTGTCAGTCAGGCGCACTCTCACCTCTGAGTCAGAAGGTTGTGAGTTCACCCCCACATTGCGACTTGGAATCACACAATCTAAGCTGACGATCCAATGCAGTCCTGAGAGAGGAGTGATTGTCAGAGGTACCATCCTTCAGATGAGACGTTAAACCACGGTCCCGGCTGCCTATCCAGGTGGACGTTAAAAATCCCATGACTCTATTTGCGCTCCGATAAGGACCCGGGTGTTTAATGAGCAGTTTTGTTTTATGGGGTTTTCTTCTGCAGGGAGCGGAGCGCATTCGAGAAGTTGAGCAGCAGAGACGGGAGTTGGTGCAGGCTGCCCTTGAGGTTGGTTTACCCAGGATGAACCTGAAGAGTATCCATGACAACTGCTTTTTTTTGCTCTCACATATTAATTATCGTAGAATTTCTACATTGAGCCTGAGAGAACTATGGTAATCTTGAATCTTCCTCATCGTGGAATCAAAATGGTAGATTCCACTGTGGTCAAGCGAAGGTTCCATCCCAGTGCAGCACTAGACAGTACTGACCGGACAGTGGGCAGTGCCTAGTCTGGTTGCGACCAGTTGCGAAGTCGTAACTTTGCAACAAGTTGTTGTTGTTGTTGTCTGTGCTGAGTTCAGCCAGTGAAGCAGCAGTGCTCTCGCCTCGGAGTCAGAAAGTTGTGGCTTGAAGCCCCAACGTCAGGACTTGGAATCACACAGTCTGAGCTGACTCTCCAATGCAGCACTGGGGGGTGTTACATTGTCAGAGATGCCGTCCTTTGGATGAGACGTTAAACCAAGCTCCCGTTCGTTCCTGTTCAGGCGGGCGTTACAGATCCAATTATTCAAAAAGGGAAGGGAGTTTCTCTCCCGGTGTCCGGGCCAGCAGCACCCCCCACCCCCCCCCCCAGAATAAAATCGGTCACTCACTCCATGGCTAGACATTGATGTGTTCAAATTGGGTTGTTGCGTTCGCCCACAAATACGCAGTAACTAAACTTCACCGTAAAATCCTGTGAAGTGCCTTTGAGACATCCTCCCAACCTGAAAGGTGCTGTGTCAAATGTTTTATTCCTCCCAAAATCGTTCAATGCTGTCTGGATGTCAAGTGAGGACAGTGTTGAGCTTGGCTGTGACAATCACCAGTGTTATGACACTTACACATAAATGACAGAGATTTGGGTAAGACACTGGAGGTTGAAACCATAGTAAAGCAGAAGGGAGTGAGATAAAAGACATCCGAGACAATACAACACAAAATGATATTTACACAGTGCCTTTCACAGCGGGAGTACATCCCAGGACACTGGACAGTCACGGATTTGGATCTGAGCAGGAGGAGAGGGGTTGGGGTTAAGGGAGGGTGGAGGGTAGGAGGGTGGCCAGAGACTGTTCGTCAGGCCTAACTAAGACCATGTGGAGCAGGTGAGTGTTGGTTGGAGGGGGTAGGGATCGCTGCAGTCGTGTGGTAATGATGTACTTTAAACTTCAAAACAAAGTGTTGATTTTTCCTGAATCAAAACCAGCCTCAGGCCGAGCAGAGCCTCGACATCGGAGCCTCCGAGCCTGGGGTCAGTCACCAATCCCACCTGAGGTAAGAGAATCGTCTGGACCAGGTCACTATGGGGTCCCATCGCAGCAGCTCGTAGGTTTTTCTCTCCTTGCCTGCTGTTGCCCGTTGAGCTTGGTGGGTAAATGACACAAATAGTCCTGTAGCGCAGTGTATAGTGCACTCGCCTTACAAGTGAGAGGACCCGGGTTCGATTCCCGGGCAGGCGAACGCTTAAGCAAGTTTCCTTAGTCCACACACCTTGTTTACCGCGCAGTAAGTAGGAACCCGCTTGTTAATCAATTGGCGGATCGCATTCCAGGGGTAATAATCCCTCAACCCCAAAAATAATAATACATTTGGTCACTCAGTCCACCCAGGTATGATTGCAGCGTTAATGCTTCCTGTGTCAGAGTGATGTCAGTTGTCACTTCCTGCGCACAGTACAGGATGTGATGTCTGCAGGAACCTGATCACCTGGACAGGCAGCTATTTTTGTTTGGTGCGGGTCTGAGTTTATGGACCCCAAAAACCACCATGTTTACACTGCGGGAGACTGTATGAGTTTTATAGGAAGGTTTTTTTTAGTATATAAAGCTAATTTTGTTCTCTCTCTGTATGTTGTGGCCTCAGTGCCTATTCCTCAGAAGAACCCGGACCGAGTGGATTACACTTCCCGTTTCATTCCGATGATCTGAAGGGGCAGAAGTTGACTTTCCTTGGGGACAAGGTGATGTCTGGAGAAGTGTGGGGACAGAGCGGGAAGGAGAGGGGAATAGTTGTTAGAAGAGCAAGTTCTTTTGTATGTCATGTAGTGGAATCTTTATGAACAAAGAGCAAAAGAGTAGACAGGTCCTTAAAAATGGAAGGAAAATGGAAAATTAAAAATAGAAGAACAGTTCTAAAAAATATTCAATCACTCAATCCGCATTGTTTGTGGGACACTGTTGTGCGCAATTGGCTGCTGCGTTTTGCCCGCAAAATACTGTCGAAGCTCTTTGAGACATCTCAAACGATATAAGGCGCTATATCAAATGCTAGGATTATTATATTTCTACTGTTCCTATTTCTTTCAATCAACTTTCGGGCATGTAATGTTCCAATTGTACTATTTTATTTCCTGCTGAAATCCATTCCCTTTGCTTATGATCTGAAGTGATCTATCTTAGTGATGGGGAAAACTGGAACATCAAGAGAAAATAAAACTGTTAGCTGGATTCATGTTTGGGAAATGTAACTTTGCTAATCTAAACAAATCAAATAAACCTCACCTTGTTTCTTCCACAGTTGCCGGGCTTCACCACAGAAAAAGGCAATGTTCACACAGGTGATGATAATAGATAATTGACTTTGGTGCTTCATCAACCTGACGCCAAAGCATTTTGCCCACAAAATACACAGCTAATTCCCTTTACAATATATTCTGTGAAGCGCTTTGGGACGTCTAGAAGGTGTGATGAGGCGCTATATCAAATGCAATGATTATTATTATTATATCTAGCACAGTTAGTTACTTTGAGGTGTAGTGAACAGTGTTACAGGCAAATGAGGAGGAAATTAATAATAATAATCCTTGCATTTAATACAGCGCCTCATCAGTCTTCGAGACGTCCCAAAGCACTTCACAGAATATGCTGTAAAGTAAATACTGTAAAGTAAAAAATAAGTAAATTGGTCACTCAGTTATTACTGTTTGTGGGACGCTGCTGTGTGCAATTGGCTGCCGCGTTTCATCCACAAAAATACACAGGCAATTCACTTTACAATATATTCTGTGAGACGTTTCAACTGCATGATAAGGCGCTGTATGAAATGCAAGTATTATATATTTTTCCTTTTATCAGTAAATGTGTAAAGTTGCAGTATATACGATTTTTAATATGGAAGTTTAAAGACAAGCAAATCGGATTTGAATGACCTACAATCTCCAGGTTGTGACAGCAATTCCCTACAAAGCACTTTGAGATGTTAGGTGCAAGTGTGGATTCTATCTTATGTGCGACTAAAATATTCTTTCATGTAACCTCAGGTGCTACACCGCCCTGGCTCATAGATGATGAGGAGGAAACTGGAACTGCAATAGGACCATCATACGAGGAGTTTATCCAACAAAGTATGAAAATCTGGCATCTCAGTGTCTTTACACACCACTCACACAAGGGGCGAGAGCACCATTGTTTCTGACATTTGGATTCATGTTCCACTTCTTTATGAAGTTATAAAGCTCCACTGCTCTGCTGTGGAGTCCTGTAAAGTATTAGTTAGAGCACTCGCCTTGAAAGCGAGGACCAGTTTGATACCTGGGCGGGCGAAACCTTGGGCAAGTTTCCTTACTTTACCTAGCGTAATCACTTGCAAAAAAATAATGATTTGGTCACTCAATCCACAACTTTTTGTGAGTGGCTGACATATTTTGCCCACAAAATATACAGTCAATTCACTACAATATATTCTGTGAAGCGCTTTAAGACATGTCGATGACGTGATAAGGATTGTTGCAAGGATTATTATTGTTTAATTGGTGAAGCAGATCATGAAAGGTTATAATCTTTGCATGTGATATAACGTCTTCGAGACATCTCAAAGGTTCAGAATGAAAGCCACTTTGGTCCATTGTCTCATCTTCCAGAATATAATTGTAAAATAATTTACGATTTATTTTAAAACAAAGTAAAAAATAAAATTGTAAAATTCAATTCATTTTACAATCTATTCTGTGAAACGTTTTGAGACGTCTAAAAGACATGAAAAGTGCTATATCAAATGCAAGAATTATTATTTATTATAATATCCAACATACCCTCATCCCAATTCAAACCAGTCTTTAGCGGGATGTTACCCTGCGTGAAGAGCGCTATATAAATGCAAGTTGCACAGCCTAATAAACGCCTGACATTCCTTCCCCATCATTCTGATGTCTGCCCTTAGCTTAGCCTTCCTGATCCTGTTCCCTCTCGTGCTGCAGCCTTCGTGTATCTTACAAGTGTGACATTCTCTGCTGAATTCACTCATTTTGATTTGCGTGTTTAGAGGAGAAAGAGAAACTCAGAAAACTTCCTCCAAATCGTGTTGGTGCAAACTTCAATCATACGTCAGAAACCGACGACTCTTGGCTGCCTTCATTTGGTCGCGTGTGGAATGATGGGCGGAGGTGGCAGTCCAGGTGAGGGCACCTTGCGTCTCGTTACTTATTTAGCACATTTGGGGATGTGAGGGTTAAGGTCAGGTTCTAGGCCTCAGCTGATCCGATCAAAATGCGGTGGATGCTGGAACCATTAACATTTTCAAGATTGAGGTATATGAACGTTTGTTAGTTCAGGGGATCAAGGGATATGGGGCAAAGGCGGGTGATTGGAGTTGAGGTACAGATCAGCTATGATCTAATAGAATGGTGGAACAGGCTCAATGACCTACTCGTTTTCCTAATGTCTAATATATATCTATTAATAAAAATAAACTGTATAGCTGTGTATCCGCTATGAACTTATCCGCCTTGCCCCCCCTTTTTCAATCCTGCCTGAAAACCTTTATCCTCTTTTTACGGCCACCTCCCCCACTCCGAGTCAGAGGGGGCTTAGCCCGTTCTCGAAGTAGATGTGTATACAGTGTGTTGCTCCTATATGGAGCTGCAGTCAACAGTGATACAAAATCAAGACTTGGAACGTGTTATGCAAAGCCCCAGGACTTCCAACCTCAAGAGGGACATCACAACTCACCCACATCCCTTCACCAAACAAAATTACATTTTTACAGCGCCTTTCACGTTGGGAGGATATCCCAAGGCAGTCAGGGTTTTGGACCCAAACTGGGGATCAGCAGGAAAGTGATCAAAGGCACGGTCGAAGAGGAGGGTCTTGAAGGAAGCAACGGAGGGGACGAGACAGAGGGACTGTGAGATGGGAGTTTCAGAGGGTGGGGGTAGCGTGGCTGAAGGCCCGGCCGCCAATGGTGAGCAGAGGGAGTGGGAAGATTGGTAGGTTAGGAGGTCGCAGAGGTAGGGGGAAGGAAGGCCATGGAGGGCCTTGAAGGTGAAAAACATTCAGTTTAGTTTACCTATTTATGAAGGATTCTTTTAACCTCTCATTTTGTTTGCAGGAAGCAATTCAGGTTAGAAGAGGGGAAGAAAGCCACAAGGAAGAGGAAAAGAAATGACCAGAATGAATGATGCTCTGTATCCAATTCCCAAGGTTTATGTAGTCAGCACTTCAGAGGATTTACTGTGCAACACTCGTGAGGACTAAAATATTCCCTTGAACTTCAGTCTGTGCTTTTACATGCTGTGTTCTTTATGAGATGCCTCCATTATTGTACAGCTATTTATCCATCTTATGCCAATTTAAATGTTGAATTGTTTTTTGTTATTAAAAATATAAAATATTTAAAATATTAAACTTATAATTTCACATTTCTAGTCGACGCTGCAATGAAAAATCTAGGTCAGAATAAAAATTCTGTGCAGTCTTCCGTATCCTGTTAGCGTCAGACAGTAAGATCTCTCTACAACACTAAATGGGCGATAAGTGCATTTATCTTCAGTACTGAGAGCAGCCTTCCTCCCCACCACCTCAGCCCAACTCAAATGTGAACCATTGGTAACCAGCATCTATACAATTAAACTAGTGAGACAAGTTCCTTGTTTATAAAGGCTTCATTTTATGACAATTTCCATTCTATAGGTCTTTTTATTTTATTGCAACTACAGTAACTGAGCAACAGTTCCGGGGTATGCCCTTCTCTTCCTTGGGGATTGATTCATTCTTCAACCTGAAAACAATCAGGAGAGAAAGTTAGTCCAATCACACCCCAATATGTCAGCATTAACAGGTAACTGTTCCCTAAATCACAACCTCGCAAGGGATACGGCCCACACCCTAGCATTCACGATAAAATGGTGGCCAGTGGCTTACAGTTAGACAGACGTCAAACAATTTCAATGACAGCCCCATCGAGAGAGGACATCAGTAAGATAAATCCGTGCCAAAAGTCATTCACGAGCCCACAGTAATTTCATCTGGACTCAGTGGTCCGGAGTTCTGTCGGCTTCACACGCATTTAAACCTCTTGTCCATGAGCAGAAGCAAATATAAACCGTAGTCCGCAAGAGAGGGCGAGAAAGGCTGCTACTAACTGGCACGAAAGCATCAGACTTAGGCAGGCTGTTCGTTGCAAAGGAATAGAAGCTAAACCCAAAACGCCGATCAGAATATTGTGAATCGCGTTTACCTGTTTACGCGTCGTCAGCAGCAGCACTGGCTGTGGCGGTGGCGGCGGCAGCAGCTGCAGGGGCGGTGGCGGCAGCAGCAGCAGCAGCAGGAGGCGGGTCTCCTCCCTTGGTGTTCCGTGTGTAGATGACCTGGGCTCTGTGTTTGGACACCAGCTTAATCAGGCCTAGAAAGAAACGGGAGACCATGAAGGAAGCACCAGGGAAGGGACTCCGTCTAACGGCTGTGATCTTAATAAAACGGTGGCCAGACTGCACATTCAGCTCCTGTATCTGGGACGATCGCGCAAGTCCTTTTGACCTGGTGCTCCCAAGTTTGTTATAACAAATTCATAATTTGGGATTATAAGTTTGGGGGTTCACAAGTTTGGGTTCCGAGCTTTATGACACAATAATTACTCTGGCGTTTCATACTTTGGTATTGGTCATGTTTCTTTTCTGATTATGTGGAGTTTTTTTTTGCAATTTGGGGTCATATGAAAATACACTGTTGGGGACAATTTAAAAGAGATTGTGTTATGTTGAGCATTTTTGCCAATTGGTGTTTTAACTGTGTTTAGCGTTTAAACACTCCATGGGCACAGAGAGAAGGAATTCCAGCATTCTCACAAGATCCCTTGAGCTTGTGATCTCAAGCTAAACCCTTCGAAGATGAACCAGTGTTTCAGGGTGATTGGCCGCCATGGTTTTCCCAACGCCAATCAGGCATGTAGCAAACGGGTGACAGAATCTGGAACAGATTACAATGTTCTATAATTGCTGGCTCTATCTGTGGATCCAAACTCAATTGCCAAGGACAGTATTCTAACCAGCCTAACTACACTCATCACAGTAGGGCCTAAGACTTCAGTATAAGTTCTCCAGACATTCACAAGGAATTACCTTTTGAGAGTAGCTCCTGGAGGGCAGACCTGGCCAAAGAGCCCCTGATCTTCAGTCTTTCAGAGACTACTGACGGGGTGATGAGTTTGTAGTTGGGCACCTCCTTCAACATTTTGTCGTAGGTGGCTTTGTCAAACAGGATCAAGTTGTTCAGCTTGTCTCGCACTTTTCCTTTTGACCACTTCTACTCAAGACAAAGAATTCAGAGTAAGAATTCAATTCATTGTAAAGAAAAGATCTACAGTAAAAAACTTCAGGGTGAGCATACTTGTTGCATCTCCCTCGGAAAATACAAAAGATGGGTTTATTTAATAATAATCCTTGCATCTTGATATAGTGCCTTATCACATCATTGACGCCTCTCAAAAGAGCTTCACAAAATATACTGTAAAGTGGTTGATTGTATTTTGTGAGCGAAACGAGGCAGCCAATTGTGCACAGCAGTGTCCCACAAATAGTTGTGGATTGAGTGACAAAATTATTCTATTGGGGGGGGAAATTATTACTGTTAAGAAAGTGATCTGACAATCGACTAATTATCGGTTTTCTACTCGGTAAACAGAGGCCTGTGGAGTAAGAAAACTTGCCTAAGATTTCGTCCTACCCGGTGATCGGACCCGGGTCCTCTCGCTTGCGAGGTCAACACAAAACCATTGAGCTACGATACTCAGATACAGGTTTCTCTCAGTGGAATCTTTACTGTTTTTTTTGTTGCAAACTCTGTTTCACATGACAAAGCTCTCTGTAACGCACCTTCTTTTTGGCCTTCCCCGCACTCTTGTTGGCTTGGTCTTTATCTTTTTTACCCTTGCTTCCATCCTTCTTTTTCTTGTCGTCTTTGGGAGGCTAGAAAGAAGCAGAACAATAAAGACCTCAGCACAAATCATCGTGTACCAGTGTATTTAAATACAGAATGCTCGCAGTGTCTTCTTCCTTCAAGCCCAACATTTGCACTAAACTATCAGCACCACGTGAAGCAAAAAAAACCACTAGATTGATTAGGACACAACGACAGTGGTTGAAGCAGGGTCCGTAATAACCTTCAAAAGGCAATTAAGCAACGGTGATGGGTTTCTGCGGGTGTCAAAGACACTCGGCGGCCGACCAAATAAAATACACCCGTGGAACTAACTCGCAATCCGGCCCAGACGCTCTCCAGATCGCCCGTGTCAGGCTGAACGCTGACAGAAAGAATAGGGCACGAGAGGCGAGCACCTCGAGAGAGAGAGAGGGTCCATCTAGCGACCGTCCAGCCGAACCAGGCTCGGACTCGCAGATCCCTACGGCGCAGGAGGAGGCCACTCGGCCCATCGAGACACAGCAATTCTAACCTTTTCATACATAAAAATCTGGGGATACGGTATTTAGTTTTGGGATTCGTGACATGTGCTGCCGGGAGGGTGAGGGCGAACTGCTCGGGCCCTGGTCTTGTGCCGCCCAGCAACATGCTTTATACAAACAGGAGGCCATTCACACCCCTTGAGGCTGTCCCACCGTCTACAAGATCGTGGCTGATCTGCTGTCTCCGTGCCTGTGCGGCTCTGTACCCCCCACTCCCCCTCCTACCCCAGACCCATCTTATTGTGTGTGTCTGTGTGTGTGTGGGGGGGGGAGGGGGTATTTTATTGCAAACCATCCTTTGGGGGCTGATCAGCCGCCTGAGTGAGGAGCCACGCGGCTGTGGCTGAGCCTCTCTCCCCCCCACCCCCCGCCCGCCACCCCAATCCCGGGGGGAGGGCGAGCGAGAGACCGCAGCAGGCGCTGCCCGGCCGCACGGGCCGACCCGTTGGCAGGAGACCCCCGGGGTTCGCTTTAGGCCTCAAGGCCCTGGGCTTCCCACACGAGGCCTCGGGACTCGATTTGGGGGCAAAGGCCCCGGGTCTCTCCACGCGGGGCCTCTGCCTCATCCCCGGTCTCGAGTATCGCCCCCCAACCGCCCAGTGTGTCCCCTCCCGGCGGGCGGGCCGGCCGGGGCCGGGGTGAGGCCCAGCGCTGCCCCGGGGCCCGCGGACACCGCTCACCATATTGCTGCCGCTTCGAGGTTTCCGACCGAAAGGAAGAGCCCGTGCGCCGCCAGCCCGGGAAACCCCAGCCCCGAATACTGCTTCCGGTTCCCGGCCCGGAACAGAGCTGTCAATCACACGGGGGCGGGGCGGGGCACGGCGCGGGGACACGTGATTCTTCTGACGCCGACTCGCCCTGGGGAAGTGCAACGCGCTGTAGGCTCAGCCAGGCGCGGCGGCGGAAGGAGACTACGTTACCCGGCTACCCCGCACCCGTCAACTTATCGCGCGATGCTCGCTGGGAGCTGTAGGCTAAGTCAGGCGCTGCTGCAGAAGGAGACTATATTACCCGGCATCCACCACCCACCTGTCGCGCGGTGCAGGATGGGAGCTGTAGGCTCGGTCCGGCGCTGCTGGGGAAGGAGACTCCGTTACCCAGACTCCTCCCCGCGCCCCGCCCGCCCGCCGCTAAAATGGTGGTGTTCAGTGTGTATGTGGTGAATAAAGCGGGCGGTCTGGTCTATCAATATGACAACTACTCGCCCCGCAGCGACGCCGAGAAGACGTTCAGCTTCCCCCTGGACCTGGTGCTGAAGGTGCACGACGAGAGGGTGGTGGTGGCTTTCGGCCAAAGAGACGGCATCAGAGGTCTGGGGGTGGAGGGGAGGCCTGAGGCCTGTCATTGTGTTTTTATTGTTAATTTATTAATTAATTAAAGTTGTGATGGTTTTTATTATCATCAAAAGAGGCTCTGGCGCAGTCACCGACTCCCTCAGCTCGAGAGGCAGGAGGTTGTGGGCTCTCAATAATAATAACTAATAATAATAATACTCCTTGTGTTGTTGAGACTCCGCGTCTCATCACGTCTCCGAGACGTCTCAAAGCGCTTCACGGAACACACTGTAAAGTGAATTGACAGTATATTTGTGGACGAACGCGGCAGCCAATTGCGCACAGCAGAACACACTGTCAAGCGTAGTGACTGTGTTTTGTGGGTGAAACGCGGCACCTAATTGCGCCGAGCAGCGTCCCCACAAACAGCCGTGGGTTGAAGTGATCAATAATAGTCCTTGTATTCGACACAGCGCCTTATCACGTCGTCGAGACGTCTCAAAGCGCTTCACAGAATATGCAGTAAAGTAAAATATACTGTGTATTTTGTGGGTGAAACCCAACAGCCCTCCCGGGCTCTGTGCTCAGTTGGTGGCGCTCTTGCCTCTTGAGTCAGAAGGCTGCGGGTTCAAACCCCCACGTCAGGACGAGGAATCACACAGTCTAAGATGAAGCTCCAACGCAGCGCTGGGGGTGGTTTGTTGTCACATTGTCGGAGATGCCGTCCTTCGGATGAGATGTAAAGCCAAGGTCTGCCTGTCGGGTGGCTGTTAAAGATCCCGTGGCACTATTCAAAAAGAGAAGGGAGTTTCTCTCTCCTGATGTCCTGGTCGACAATCCCCCAAATAAAATTGGTCACTCACTCTATGGCTTTTTGTAGGACATTGTTGTGCGCAAAACCCGATTGCAGCATTTTGCCCACAAAATACACAGTCACTACGCTTTACAATATATTTTGTGAAACGCTTTGAGACATCTCGACAACTTTTATTCACCATGTGCCTTAATGCCCTTATTTCCCCAAATATTTACCTGGCTTTATATCTGAGGTTACATGATATTTCAAAGTGCCACAGCAGAATTTTCCAGCTTGTTTTCCTTACCCTCTGATTTATTTATCTACATTTTCTACACCACACGAATCTGCCCCAAGCAAGTGGCAGCATTGTGTGCTGGGAGACTCGGTACGGAAACCAAATGTTTTTCCAGAAGCATGCAGCACTGATGGTTTGGTGTCCTTTGATTTTGTTCCCAGTTGGATACGCCGTGCTCTCCATTAATGGTACCGATGTGAATGGGCGCCATATGTCCGATAACCGAGACGTATTGGAGTTTCTGAACAACTCTTTCAATTACCCACTGGCCATTCGATTCGGACGTCCTCGCTTGACATCTAATGAGAAACTAATGTTGGCTTCCATGTTTCATTCGTAAGTTGGATGACCGCAGATCATTCCAGTGTTATTGTACATCCAAAAGCCTGTGGATTTGGCTGGATCCATTCAAATTTTCAAGACTGGGGTGGAGAGATGTTTGTTAGGTCAGAGTATCAAGGGATATGGGGCAAAGGCGGGCAATTGAGGTACAGATCGGCATGACCTAATAGAATTGTGGAACAGGCTCGAGGGGCTGAATGGTCTAATCCTTTTCCTGTGTGTGTGTGTGTTTATTGGGTGTATATATACAGTCAGAGAATCAGAGAATCATTTAATTAGACAGCACAGGATCTATTAAGCCTTACAAGAATTGGAATGTTTCTTTATATTCATTTGGTTCTTTGTGATGGGCTATGAGGTAAGGGGGATGCCTGCCAGTGGCACCTACCAGCTGGTGGCTGGAGATGTGGGAGTGTCTGGATTCCCCTTCCCCCTGGGGTCTGCTGTGCCTCTCCCTCAGTTGGTGCCTTTGCACACAGTGGAGAATTCAGGCTCCATATACTGGGCGCATCGGGGAAGATGCATTTCAAAAGAATATATTTTTATGAAGTCATTAATAATAATAATAATAATAATCCTTGCATTTGATATAGCGCTTTTCACGTCGGGAGGACGTCCCAAAGCGCTTCACAGAACACACTGTAAAGTGAATTGACTATATTTGTGGGCGAACGCGGCAGCCAATTGCACACAGCAATGTCCCACAAACAGTCGTGGATTGAAAATGACCAATTTATTATTGTTTTTTGTTTTGGAGGGATTATTATTAGGCTCTGTGTGGAGTAAGGAAACTTGCCCAAGGTTTCGCAGTGTCTGGAATTGAACTCCGGTCTCTCGCTTGCAAAGCGAGTGCTCGAACCACTGAGCACATTAAACTCCACATTAATCTCCACATTAAACGGAAGTCCCAGTTCAGGAGGACATTAAAGATACTACAACAACAAATTACATTCGTGTTGGGAGAACATTCCAAGGGGCTGGATATTCAGGATTTGGACCTAAGCTGAGGGTTTGGATCAGGAGGGAGAGGGCAGGGAGGATAGGGATAGGAAGGTGCAGTCGAAGTGGAGGGTCTCGAGAAGGGCCTTTAAGGAGACGAGGGAACGAGGCGATGGGACTGTGGGATGGAGTTCTGAAGAATCGGGGCAGAGAAGCTGAAGACCCGACCACTGATGATGGGGTGGACTGGGCGGGTGACATAGAGCAGGTCGGAGCTTGTGGAGAGAGAGTCTGTATGGGCAGAGAAGGGGCGTTTCTCTGGGTGTCCTGACCAACCATCCCCCGAATAAATTGGTCAATCATTTCATACGATCATGCTTTGTGCAAGATTGCTGCTGTGTTGATAACCACAGACTGCTCCAGTATAATCACACACATGGGATCTATTAAGCCTTACAGTAATTGTGTATTTAAAATAAATGTTCTCTGCCTACAATTCTGATGAGATCAATTGTTTGCAGTGTCCGTTGTAGTACCGTTGAGAGTGGACGTTCCAATGCAGCCCTGGAGGGGTGTTGTATTGTCGGAGGTGCTGTCCTTCAGATGAGACGTTAAATGGAGGATCTGTTTGCCTGTTCAGGTGGACATTAAAGATCCTATGGCACTATTGGGAAAGGAGAAGGGAGTTTCTCTCTCCCAGTGTCCTGGCCAACAATCCATGGCTGTTTGTGGGATATTGCTGTGCGGAACTGGTTGCCACGTTTTGCCCACAAAATACACAGTCATAGAATCACAGAATTATACAGCACAGAAGGAGGCCATTTGGCCCATCCTGTCTGTGCTGCCTCTTTGAAAGGAGCTATCCAAATTAATCCCACTCCCCCAATCTCTCCCTATAGCCCTGCAAAGTTGTCCTCCCCAAATAATTATCTACTTCTCTCATAAAAATTGTTATCGGATTGGCTTCCACCACCCTTTCAGGCAATGCATTCCAGATCCCAACAACTCAATCTGTTTTACAATATATTCTGTGAAGCATTTTGAGGCGTTTCAACAACGTGATAAGGCGCTGTATCAAATGCAAGGTTTATTAGTATTACTACTTGTAGCAACGCAAGGTCTGTTTTGTTCTTAGGTTATTTGCAATTGGTTCCCAACTGTCTCCGGAGCCTGGAAGTTCTGGAATCGAAGTCTTGGAGACGGACACCTTCAAACTCCACTGTTTCCAAACACTGACAGGTGAACAGTGGAACTTCTCATGTTTCAGACTCCTGAGGCCTGGAAATTCCACCGAGTCTCGGCCAGCCACACCCTTTGGCCTTAATATTGAAAGTCACCCAGAACTGTGGAGATCTCTTTTTCAATTCAGTTTCAAATCAGAAGCCTGTATATCGCCTTGGGTCGTCCTCCCAATGTGAAAGGCACTATAAATGTAATCTTTCTAAGAGACCATGAGCTTCCGGTCTCAGACCCTAACCCAAACTCAAACTCTAACCCTAATCCTAGTTTATAAAAAATTTCTTAACTTCATTTTAAAGATTATGTGGTCTCACAGGCTCAGGCTGGGTGGTAATTCAGGCCTCTGATTAAGTCTTAAGTCTACATTAAACTTTTTGCTTTCACCATCTCCCTGGGGAGCCTGTTCCATACGAGTAGTAAATGTATGGAACAGGCTCCCAAGGGAGACACTGGGAGATAAAGTGGCGATTCTTTCGAGAACAAACGAGAGATTTCTGTTAAAAAAAATATCTGGGGAGACAGTATATAGTTTGGGACACGACATGTCAAACGACTGTCAGGATGGTGGAAGGTGAACTGGATGGACCTTGGGCTTCTTTCACCAACAAATTCTTATGTCCTTGTGTACGTTTCCCTTTCAAACAGAGACCGCTCAGTAACGTTGGACCATCATGGTCTGTCATCTTGTGAAGTTTTACCCCCTTCCCAGTTACACTCAGTAAATTGGTAATCTAACTTTCTAACTTTTATTCCAGTAGCATGGCCTTCCTTGTCATTCATTAATCCTTTCAGATTCCCTCCCTGCATGAAAATTCCTCTTGTATATCAATGTACAGGGTGTCCACAAAATCCTGTTACCCCCCGCCCCGTCCCGTTACAAAACAGCAGTATGAGACTACGGAAGAGCCAAAACCAGCCGCCAGAGATACATTTCACCTCCTGACTCACTCCATGTTACAGAAGATGTTGCACTGAACATGGCGACGGATCATTATCTGCCATGAAAATGATGGCGCTCACACGCACCACACACTCACGCACACACTCACACACACACACACCACACACTCACGCACTCACATACACACCCACACACAGGCCAATCCTCGGGATGTCTACAATTAAACACGTGTACTGAATGCAATTAAGCAACTTCTAAATACAATGATCATCATTCTCCCGCGTGTTTCAGTTGTTGGTCAGTGCAGTGTAGAAAAATAACATGGGGGTAACAGGACTTTGTGGACACCCTGTACATTGTTCAAGTGAATTGTTCTGACTGTTGTCCTACTTGGGTTTAATTCCTGTTTCTCTTTGTTTGTCAAAAGGAATCAAGTTCATCGTATTGGCGGACCCGAGGCAGGCTGGGATTGATTCTCTCCTACGAAAGATTTACGAAATTTATTCAGACTTTGCTCTTAAGAACCCTTTCTACTCTCTAGAGATGCCGATCAGGTAGGGCAGGAGTGGTCGGTGTTATAAGGAGATCCTATTTCTCTCCCGAAGTTGGTCACTGACGGGGGTTGGATTATTAGGCTGCGATGAGTGTGTGCCTGTTCAAACTCCAGCGCCATAGGACGTCCTCCCAACGTGAAAGACGCTATATAAATGTTGTTGCTCAGGTGGACGTTAAATATCCTATGGCGCTACTAGAAGAGGTAAGGGAGTTTCCAGGGGTCCTGGACAACAATCGTCCAGATCAAATGAATCATTCACTTCACGGCTATTTGTGAGGCTGTTTCTGTGCGCAAATTGGCTGCCGCATTTGCCTAGAATATACACAAGTCACTTCATTTTACAGGAAAATTCCGTGAAAATTCTTTGAGACTAGTTCCAGGTTCTAGGTGCAATATCAAATGTAAATATTATTGGTAATATGAGCCCTTGGATGTACAACAGAATATTTTTTAATGTCTTTTTTTGCTGCAGGTGTGAACTTTTTGAACAGAATCTGAAGGCTGCGTTAGAAGTAGCAGAAAAGGCTGGAACCTTTGGGACTGGATCTTGAGCTGCTGGGAGTGTGTGTGTGACACTGACTAAGGTTCAGAACGTTCACGGAACCAGCAGGCAGACTCTCGTGTACATATTTTATCGCTGCGTGCGTTCAGACACCGTTGAAATGTTAAAAAAAAGTGGCAGTAAAATTTAATTTGAACAGAGATGTAATATAAATGTGTAACCGGGCTTCATGTACATATGGACAATAAACTTGCAATTGAAATTGCTTCTTCGAGCAAGAAAATAGAATCACAAAGATTATAAACGCTATTAATAATAATCCTTGCATTTGGTATAGCGCCTCATCACTTCTTCGAGACATCTCAAAGTACTTCAGAGAATTCACTGTATATTGTGCAGGCGAAACAGCAGCCAAGTGCACACAGCAGCGTCCTGCAAACAGTCGGGGATTGAGTGACTATTATTATTTATTTGAAGGGATTATTGCTACATGGCTCATTGAAACTTCACTGGTGCTGCTCTTCTGTTGGAACTAAATATTCTAATCCCAATTCCCTGCACTTTTCCTGCATTCTTTTTCATTGTTATTGCTATATTCGAATACTCATCCAATTACTGTACAAATGGTTATTCTCGTCATTGTAGATAATTTGTGGAGTCCTGTAGCTCAGTGCTCAGAGCGCTCGCCTTGCAAGTGAGAAACCTGGGTTCGATTCCCGACAGGTCAGGGTAAAACCTTGGGCAAATTTCCCTACTCCACACGCCTGATGTTAATCAAGAAAAAAAATAAAAACAATAATAAATTGGTCACTTCAATCCATGGCTGTTTGTAGGACACTGCTGTGCACAATTGGCTGCCGCATTTTGCCCACAAAATCGCCTCACCTGATTAGCTGGAGCCAGCTGAGCGGAGGCAGCGGGTGGTGGAGTGGGGGTTAAGCAGTTCCGATAGATACGGTGGTGTGTAGTAACGCGGTTGTTAGTCAATTGGCAGATTGCTTTCCGGGGCAATAATCCAAAAATAATAAGAATTTGGTCACTCAGCAGTCAATTCACTTTACGATATATTGTGCGAAGCGCTTTGACGTCTCAGAGACATGAAAAGCGCTATTATGAAAATGCAAGGAGTATTTTTTTTATATATATATATAATTTCACAACTTAAACTGCTTGCTTCACAGGGTATGTAAGGTGTCGTGACTGTATTTTGCCGGCAAACACAGTGCTTTTGTAAAACACGAGAGGAAGCCATAAAATAATACTAATAATCCTTACAAAGTAAATCTCGATGACATGGCAAGGTGCTGTATCAAATGCAAGGATCGTGCTGCTGTGGGCAATTGGTTGCCGCGTTTCACCCCCAAAACACACAGTCACCTCACTTTACAGTATATTCTGTGAAGCGCTTTGAGACGTCTGAACGACGCGATGTTTTTGTTGGTGATATACCGCTTTCTGTCAGTAAGTGGCGCCATTGCATTGTGTGTCACCAACTCTCTGGTTACCGCTGTGAGAGGCATTTCATTATGTGTTAAGTTCCCATTTTATTAATTTTCTTTTCAACTTTATATGTTTATTAAGCACTGTCTGCCAATCTCACTCTATCTTTATTGAATATTATATTTTCTTTAAACGTGTCTACTAATTTAAATTTTTATTAAGTACGTCCCTTCTGCGTTTAAACTTTTTTTTATTGAATTTACTTTTTTTGATTAAGCGCTAAGGGTTATTTGCAGTCTTGTTTTACGCTTTGATTAAACGCCTCTGTGCTTTGTTAGTTTGACTCATTTGGTACTCGTTCGGAGTCCTGTATCTCAGTGGTTAGAGCACTCTCCTCGCAGGCGAGAGGACCCGGGTTTGATTCCCGGCAGGGCGAAATGTTGGGCACATTTCCTTACTCCACACACCTCTATTTACCCAGAACCCGGTTGTTAGTTGATTAGCTTTCTGGGGGGGTAATAATCCCTCCAATAAATAAATAAATTTGGTCACTCAATCCACAATTGTTTGTGGGACGCTGCTGTGCGCAAATTGTTATGCACATTACATCTGCAAAATATACAGCCAATTCACTTTACAATTATATTCTGTGAAGTGCTTTGAGATGTCTCAACGAAGTAATAAGACGCTGTATCAAATGCAAGAATTATTATTAGAATGTGGATCTTAAAGCCACGACCCTCTGTCCTAGCGACAAGTACCAAAGCACAGAGGCGTTCAATCAAAGCGTGATAAGGTGCTATTTCAAATACAAGGATTATTATCCCCATCACACCAGTCCTTACCGGGCTCCACCTGCTCCCAATCACCAAACGGATCGACTTCAAGATCCTCTCACTCGTTTTGAAATCCCCTCATTCCCTCGCGCCTCCCTACCTCTCCGACCTGCTTACCCTCCACCACCTGTTACCTCCCCTCGGCTGGCTCCGGCCTCCTATTTGTCCTTCCACCATCCGTGCCTTCAGCCACTATGCCCCAAAACTCTCCTTCAATCCCTCCGCCTTGCCCCCTCCCCACCTTCTAGTCCCGCCTAAAGACCTTGCTTTTTGATCGTGCTTAAGGTCATCTCCCCTTTCCCTCTCCCCTTGGCTCGTATTATTATAAGTGGCCTGGGATTTTGAAATGGCTTCCAAATGAGCTGCTAGCACAAAACCTACCTCATTTGCTGGGTATTTACACTTCCCAAGATCTTGGCCTCAACGTGGTTTATCTTTAAACAATTTCACTGAAAACTACAGGTAACAAATGGTGACTACAGGTTAATTGTGGGACAATTCAGTGGCCACAGCACATACACTGCTTGTGCCTCGTACTAATAAAAATAATCCTTTATATTTGATTTATAGCCTCATTGAGGCGAAATCTCCAAGAGCGCTTCAGTCCAACTTGTTTTTCTCTTTTGTAACCCTCCGTGCATCTCACACGTAAGCCATGTGGCCTTGTCCCTCGCCTCACAACATAACGAACGTCACGGCTGATTCTATCCACATTCAGCTCACAGCTGTTTGTGTGTGAACCGCAGGACACCAGGAGAGCGAGACCCCTCTTTTCCAATAGCTCCACGAGATCTTTAATATCCACCTGGAAAAGACACAGCTGGGACCTTGGTTTAACTCGGTGTGTCGGCCTGGCTCAGTGGGTGGCACGCTCACCTCTGAGTCAAACGGTTGTGGGTTCATGTGCCACATGGGGATTGAACTCACAGTCTAAGCTGATGTTCCAATACAGCACTGGGGGGATGTTGCATTGTCGCAGGTGCCGTCCCTTCGGGTGAGATGTTAAGCTGAGGCCCCTTCTCCCTGTTCAGGTGGACGTTAAAGATCCCACTGCGCTATTTGAAAAAAGAAGGGATTTTCTCTCTCCTGGTGCCCTGGCCAATAAATCCCCTAAAATCGATCACTCACTCCAGGGCTGTTTGTGGGACATTGCTGTATCCAACTGACTGCCAACGGTTGCCCACTAAAGTATTCAGTCAACCATTTCACAGTAAATCCTGTGATGATCTTTGACACGTCTCGAAGAAGTGATAAGATTTATTATTATAGTTCACATTTCACCTGAAGGACACCTCAACAATGCAATAGAAGCAGAAACCCGGTAATTGGTTGATTAGCGGATCACTTTCTAGAAGTAATAATCCCTTCCAAATTAAAAAAAAGTGGTCACTTAATTTGGCTGCTTGTGGGTCACCGCTGTGCGCAATTGGCTGCCGCGTTTTGCCCACAAAATATACAGTCAATCCAGTTTATTACAATATATTCTGTGAAGGGCTTTGAGACGTCTCAGTGATATGATAAGGCGTTGTATCAAATGCAAGGATTATTATTATTTCTGAATTTACCAACAATACTCTGGTTGTAGGAGTCGGCTTTTTAATTTGGATTCCGCCTTCAAAAGAAGAGAAAAAAACGGGTTGCATTATGTATGTTAAAGCTGAATTCATCTTTTAAGCTTTTAATCTCTGTCCTCGTCGGTCGTTTTTGAAATTTTAATTAGAAATGGATTTGAAGTCTCTCTCACTCTCTCCCTCACTCTGTTTATTGTTGCTAGGTACAAGTGCAGAGCTGTTGCACTTTCTGAGATTAAATTGACACGGTTTGTAGTGAAAGCATCACTCTCACACGGTGTGGTGGGTAGTGGGGGGGGACCTTAATTGCGGACACATTCACCTACAAAATACACAGTCACTACACAGTTACAGTGAAACAACAAGACGATCTTGCATTTATATAGCGCCCCACATGCAAGGTAGCGCCCCAGAGCACTTGACAGTGTGCGGAGCACAACGAGGAGACAAGGGGGAGGTGAACGTAAACACGGTCAAAGAGGAAGGTCTTCAGGCACGATCTGACAATGGGAAAGGTGGGGAGCAAGGCCGAGGGGTAAACAACAACAACAAAATTACATTTATAGAGCGCCTTTCACATCAGGAGGACTTCCCAAAGCGCTGAACAATCAGGTGTTGGGGCCCGTGCATGGGGGAGGGGTGGTTTACGGGTGAGGGAAGGCAGAGAGGTGGGAGGGCGACCAAAGGCACAATTGAAGACCGGCCTTGAAGGAGGCGAGGGAGGAAACGAGGCGAAGGGACCGTGGGATGGAGTTCCAGAGTGTGGGGGCAGAGAGGCTGAAAGCCCGGCCCCCAATGCTAGAGCGGATCGGAAGGGAAGACATGGAGCAGGCCAGAGCCCGCTGAGTGGAGGGAGTCAGCAGGTCAGAGAGGTAGGAGGGGGCAAGGCCATGGATGGCCTTGAAAGTGAGGACAAGAATCTTGAACTCGATTCTCTGGGGGATGGGGAGCCAGTGGAGTCGAGGGTGGGAGTGATGGGTCACGGAGTCTGGTGTGTGAGAGAACACGAACTGCAGAGTTTTGGATGATCTGCAGCTGTGAAGGGAAGAGTTGGGAAGGCCGATGAGGAGGGAGTTCCCATAATCGAGCCTTGAGGTGACGAATGCGTGGGTGAGGGTTTGGGGGCCTGAGGGGTGAGGCAGTGGTTGGAGTCTGGCAATGTTGCGGAGGTGGTGGTAGGCAGTGCCGGTCATGGCGCAGATGTGGAGGAGAAAGGACAGTTCAGGTTCAAACAAGACACCCAGGTTCCTGACTGGCTTAGTGAGGTTGAGTGTGCAGCCGTGGAGGCTGACGCTGCCAGCGCCTGAGGTGCGGAGGAGCTGGCACGAGCCAATCAGGAGGGCCTTGCTGATGTTCAGTTGGAGAAAGTTGTCCCTCGTCCAGGACTTGATGTGGGACGGGCAGTCGGTCAGGATCCCAATAGTCCTGGAGTTCAGAGTGG